CGGCTCGCTAACTTTCCATCGGGTAATAAGGTTGGGGGTCCGAGAGCGGCGGGAGCACAGCCCGGCAAAGCCCGGCCCGGCCCCACAGGCAGCCTGGCGGGCAGGCCGGCTAGGTTAGCCGGTTAGCGCCGCCTCCTTAGCCATTCTCTCGCCTCTGGAATCGCCTCTGAAAAGGTATCAGTTAGGATGATTAAGAGTGCACCGCCGCTCGGCTTGGGCCCGGGAGGGTCTCTCTCTCTCTCTCTCTCTCTCTCTCTCTCTCTCTCTCTCTCTCTCTCTCTCTCTCTCTCTCTCTCTCTCTCTCTCTCTCTCTCTCTCTCTGCAACCCTCTGGAACGCCCCACGAGTGCGAGAGAGACAGAGCACCGTTGTGTGCGTGGGGGTGCGCATGTGTGTGTGCGCGAGCGCGCTTTGTTTTTTCAGGGGTGGGGGTTAAAGTATGCAGCCTTTTTGTGCGGACATGGCGGATCCAAAGTGCAGGAAAACCGCGGAGTGCCTTCCGACTTTGCGACGGCGACCCGGCCAGACCCGGCCCACTGGAATTCGTGCCACAACACAAAAACAAAAAAACGCCCCTCTTTTGTGGACGCTTTGCGACGAGCTTTTCGAGGCCGTGTGCTGTGCACGGTGCTTTGTGGGCCGAGGCCAGACAGGTATACACGAGCCGAGTCGCTCTGTCTCTCTCGCACTCGCTGGGGGCCCCACAAGGCTGCAAGGGTGCGAGAGGGACAGCGCGTCGAAAACGACTCTCGAAATCAGTATGCAGGGTGACCGACTGGCTGAGGGCAGGCCTGCGGCTTTCCCCGACTTTCCCCCAATTTTGCTCCCTTCCTCTTGGTCGCGGTGCTCGTCGTCGTCCTCTTGGTCCTCCAGTCCCTCCGGCTTGCCTCCTAGTGCCCCGGCCGACCACCCCGACAACGGGAACTGGGCGAGTTGGTCGCCGCCCCGTTCGCACTTCGCTCGCTTCGCTCCGTACTTCGCACCCTAGGTGGCGGCCGGCCTGTTGTGTGACTTAGTTAGCGCGCGGGTCGGGCCGGGCCGGGGCGGCAGGCTTGCCAATATCGGGGAGGGGATGGGGAGGGGAGGGGGAGGGCCCAAAGTGGCCTCGGCGCGGACGGCGAGGACTGCGAAGGAGTCGTAAAAGTCGGGGCACTAGGTCGGCCGCGCCACGGCCGCCGCGGCCCCGCGTCGCTGGAAAAGAGTGCCCTAGTCGGAGAGAGGGGTTGGGGGTGGGGGAATCAACGCCGGACACTATTCTTTCCATTGTCCCCGCTGATTTTCACTGCTTCGCTCTGAGAGTGCCCTCGTTGCGTCGCCACGTTCGTGACGGCCGCTTGCTTGTGGGGGTGGGGGTGGGAGGACCCGTTTCGAAATTCCGAGCGGCAACGCGCGCTTTGTGCGAGTCGGGGCGAGCGAGTTGGGCTTTTCGGAAGGCGCCGGGTCAGGGGTGGGCAGGTGCACGTCAGTGGCAAAACCCCCGGGGTGGAGTGGGGGGGCACTGGTATTTATAGCGCAAGGTCAGTTCGGCCCGCCGTGCGCCGATAAGGGGAAGGTCCCGGACAAAGACTGCGGTGTACAAAGGTGGTTCCGGGAAGGGGCGCCGCTGTCTCTGGCCGCCCCACCCCGTGATTTCCCCAGCGCGGCGGCCACGTCACTGAAAACACCTGCCGGTGACGCGGCGGCCGGGTGACGGGCGTTCTCGCGGGCGTTCCCCGGGTGGAGGCGGAGCAGGCCCTCTTGATCCCCCAGCCCTCCGAGGCCCTCCGAGGCGCTCCGAGGCGCCGTTGCCATCAGGAGGCTCGTTACCGCCAACCTGGCCCCCCTCCCTCTTGCCTGCCCTTGTTTGCCAATCCAATTACTCTGTATTTTTGATGTCTCTTTGGCGAGGCTCAGCCCGGCCAATTTCGGGGAGGCGTTGCGTAACGGGCCCACAGTGGCGCCGATGATTTCGTTGCAAATCAACTTCACTCCATGCGGCGGGTTTGAACTCTCTCGACAGTGTGGCGCGCGCCGGGCTGTTTGTCGAGAGAAAGGCCGGAGGAAACAGAGGAGAGTCCGCGTGAAAGGAAACAAAGGGGAAATGAGGATCGAAGGGGAGAAAAGCACGGAACTACTAGTCGGCCGGCGACCCAGCCTGCGACTGTGGTCGGTGACGAATAGGTGTCGGACAAAAGAAGCCGATAGAGGCATCGCGACAAAGGGGCGGAGTGACTGAGCCCCATTCTTGCTCCCTTTGGCCTTCGGCAGGCCGGAGCCGCAGGCCGGGGCGTGTTGCACATTTCCAAAGTTTCCCGCCCCTTGGAACGGTCCGCGGGGGAATGGACCGCAGTTCACACTTTATTTGGGGCGGAGAGAAAAAAAAATTGTTGGCGGAGTTTGGCCGATTGAATTGGCTCTGTATTTCAAGCAGAATCGGCGATCGTATTATCATCGGCCGCCGTGCTTACCGTTTTGCCTTTGTTTTCTTTCTCGAACTTTGAGCCCCTCTGCCGCGCTATGCGCTCCGCTATTCACTTTGAAGGCGGTGACTTGGGGTCCCTACCGCACTCTGCGGCTCGGTTCGACTCCCACCGTTTTCTCTTCTCGACGTTTTTGTTGTTGGCTCGTTTTATTTTTGTTTTGTACATCAGTGGAGGCAATCTACCTGGCCGCTCCGCCGCGCTCCGCCCTGCCTTTTGCGCTCCAGCCATTTAGGCGGCACATCAAAGCGCCATTCTTTCTCCTATTTTTTTCCACCTCGCTCTTCTCTGCTTTTTTTTCTTCCTCTTCTTTTTTTCCCTCTTTCTCTGTCTGGGCGTGAGGCCGTGCAGCGGTGGCGAGGCGGCCCCGAAATGTAGGCGGGCTGCGTCCGAGAAGCCCCTGGTTTATCCGCCTACATAAACAGGCCAATTTGCTGGGAGTCGTATTTATTTCGCCAGCCATCTTGAGCTTGCGGGAAGGTGGGGGAGGGGGAAAGGATGTATTTTGCGATTCCTTTCCGGCTGCTCTGCAGGGATATAAGGGCCCAATCTTGAAGTAAAGTTGCCGCCGTGCCGGCGGCTGGGACACCGTGGCCAACGGTTAAGCGTTACTTCAAAGCAGAACAAAGCAACAATTATTCTGTATTCGGTTGGCCGCCTTTAGACTCAGCCGACCATTGGTCTGCGACCCTCGACACGGGCCCCCTCCTTGACAGAGCGCGAGGCAAAATGTCGAACTCGGGACCGGTGCGGCTGTAGCGGGCTGTAGCGGGCCAGTGCCTACAGAACCCGCACTGCCTGCAGCAGTCTCGGCTTCCGTCCAGGTCCAGGGCCGGTCCAGGGCCGGTCCAGGGCCGCCGCAGAGGCCGAGGGGTGGTGAGGGGTGCGCTCTCCACGGGGTGGCGGTGTTCCCAGCGCCTCGGATTACAAGTCTGGGAGCCAAGATATTGCCCCTACCCCCACTCTCCCCCCTCCCCCCCATCCGGCAAGAGCAGCAGGCGCCGATATGATCTGGTTCTCCAAATCTGCCCCCTCCATCCTCCTGCATCTTCTACTTCTTCTCCTCCGCCGGCGTGTCCGGGGGGTAAGTGCCACGCATAGAGGCTCGCTGCCTCGGCTCGCACAGATGCCGGGGGAATGAAATCCCCAGGAATTCGGTCCAAATCATGGGACTCTCGATAGGCGCGGGAAAAAAATAAGAGGAAGGAGTATGGATGGGCGAACATGGCAATGAAGGAGGCTTTCGCGCCTCGCCGCTTCGCCGCGCCTCGCGCCGTCACTTGCCAATCCAATAACCCTGTTGTCAGGCAGGTGGCACTGTGGGGAAACCGGAATCGGAAAGGCGTCGAAAAAAATCGCTCCATTTCCCGCTGGAGCACAACACTCCTTCAGTCCGACACTTTATTTGTTTTGACATCGTTCGTTAACTTTATAAAGCCCCTACTGAATACACCGCACACTTGACGGAAAACGGGGGCCACAATTTTCGTTTTTAACAGTGTGTGCAAACGAAGGGCACTGATGCGACCGAGAGTAGGGCGATTACTACTTCATCAAGGAGCCGCAGGACGCAATCGCCTAGTCGAGCGAGCGAGAGAGAGCACACACACACACACCGTGCTTAGCATTGCAATGGGAGTGCACGCGAGCGTTGTGTGCGCCTGTGTGCGTGAGCCTCCTGTGATTTGACTTTAAATTAAGTGTGCGGTGTGTTGTCGCCCCCCCCTTCCTCTTCCTCCCTGCCGTGTTCTACCTGCGGCACTCGACTGAGACGGTGGAGGCGGCACAGCGGCACGCTGTCCAAGAGGGCGACCCTCCCCCCCCCCTTCCTCTCGCAGTCAGGTCAAAGGGGTGTCAAAGGGGTTGGGCTGTGGCCGCAGTTGTTCCTCCTCCTCCCCCCCTCTCTCTCTCTCTCTCGGCCATATTGCCAAAGTTGCCGCGACATTTCCGTGCAGGAATCCCTTGTCGCGCCCTAATTCGCGTTTGATGAAAGGACTTTTTTTTGTTGTTGTTGCCCCAGTGCGCTCCTCCGATGCGACACGGTCGGGTCGCCGTGTCTTCGATATCTCGACCACGCCACCGTAACCCGAATCGCCCGAATGCAGCGCTTGACGACGTGTCCTCTTGTGTTCCAGGATGACAGCTCCAAGGGCGGCGAGAAGAAGCGCTGGATCCTGGACCCAGACAGTGAGTGTTCTTGCCGACTCTACCAAAAACCTTTATCATTTATTTTTTTTTGTAAAGTGAACTGACCGACTGCGTTTTTTTTTCTCCAGGTCCGCTGTGCCGGCCCCTGCGGTGCAAGCAGTACAAGGAGCTGTGCCTGCTGGAGGACCTGACCACGGCCGTGTGCGTGGGCAAGAAGGAGCTCCGGCGGAACGGGTGAGTGTTTGTCTTGGAATCACTTTTTTTAATTTTTTTAACAGTGTGGCTGACTCGTTGGAGGTGCCCTTCGTTACGCAAGTGGTGCGTATTTCCACAGCCTTGTGTGGCTATTTCGAGTGTAGTGTCCGCGTCCACGGGTCCACGGTCCCACTGATGTAACGAGGCGGCTCCCCGAAACGGAGGCGTCTTCGTTGCGATTCCAAATGCGGACGCGAGAGACGCCGGGCCGGGTGCTCTGGATGTGGCTGCGTCGGCTGCGTCTTTGGAGGGTGCCGCCGTGCCGCCTGCCTACTTCGAGTCTGGGGGTCCATTTCATCGAGTTGCTCCCGCACCCGGATTAGCGGCCCAGTCGTTGGGATTATTACCTCAGGATGATGCCTCCGGGCCTATCCGCAAAGGGGTTGGGGGGGGGGGGCTGTTTTACGACCGAGGCATAATTACCTCGGCACAGTCTGCTGACTAGACGCTATATGCGGTGCCAATGTTGTTGTTGTTGACTGCCTTTGTTGTCGCTGTTATATTATTAGTGTCGGAAATTAGGCGGCCAAGTTGTGATCGTTAGGACGGCGTTGGGGAATTTGCCAAATGGCGGTTTCAAAATTTCGATTTTTTACTCCGCCGCTGGAGAACTCCAGTTACACGGTCTCGGGGGAGAGCACCAGCCGCTTCCTTGGGAGACGCGCGGCCCCATCTCGCGCGGATTGAAATTTAATGAGTCCGGAAACAATCACGCCTGCAGTTTGATTCGCTGCCGTCGCGCGGCGGACGCGTCCCGGCGGCGCCACCGGCCGGCCAGCGCCGCTTCCGGTTCGCCTCCGGTTTGTTTCCGGTGGAGGGGGGGAGCCCCTCACCTTGTCGCGTCCGGGGAAAGAGCCACCGCGCTTCCGGGGCCTTCCGAGTGGCTGCGGCGCAGAGCGCGGCAGAGCGCCTGCCGGGTAGGCAATCGTGAGGCACGCCTGCGCCGCGGGACGGCCCGCCGCACAGGCGCCGTGGCCAGCGAGGCTGCCTCTCTCTCTCTCTCTCTCTCTCTCTCTCTCTCTCTCTCTCTCTCTCTCTCTCTCTCTCTCTCTCTCTCTCTCTCTCTCTGACGCTCTGTGTGGCTGTGTTCCAGGGACGTGGTGATTCCGCGGTCCCGACTGCCGTCCTCCACGGCGTCCCCGTCGGGCTCCTCCGAGGACGAGTTCTACGACAGCGAGGACGACGAGGAGGAGGATGACACGAGCGAGTCCATCACGTAAGTCTCTTTTTCTCTTTTTTTTTGTTGGGCGGGTTGGTGTGGCGTCGTGGCAGTGTAGGAGAGGCTTGCGGTGGGGAACCCCCGGCCACACCTGCATATCGAACGGGAGGAGAGGAGTGAGTCACCGGGAGGGACTTTGTCACTTTGGCGGGGCGGGCGTCGGGAACCAACATACCGGTGAGGGCGGCCGGGGCACGCGGGGCGCGCGGGGCATGCACACAGCGCGCGGTCTGGCCAGGCGGCTCGCTTCAGAGGAACGTTAAAAGCGTCCTTCCCCCGATTCATGGAATATTTACGCCCTTTTATTATTGTTATTTTTGTTTGTTAATTTCTTTCCACCAGCCTCCTCCTGCGCGCCCTCTTCCCTCTCTGCGTGTCTCTCTCTCTCTCCCTTTCGCTTTCTTGCTCGCTCTCCCTCTCTCTCTGACGCCGCCCCTTTCCGCGTCCGGGGATACATGCATAATTATAAGTTTTCAAGAGGCGCTGCGCTGCCTGCGCTGAGCCTGGAGCTGCAGGCCGGCGGCCCCGCCAGCCCCGCCAGCCGCCGAGTTTGAGAGTTGAAAAACTCGTGCTGTCATCTGTCGACCGTTCTGGACGTGCGCAGAAGCGCCGCGACCAACTTTTGAAAAAAAAAATTAGTAAATAGAGGCTTTTCGGTAATTCATTCCGAGGGCAACGGAGGGATTATTCCTCGTCCTGGGGTTGGCTGTGTGCGCCGTCGTGCCCGTCGTGCACCGCGCCGCGCAGTCACCGCAACCACTGACAGGGCGGCAGCAGTGCTGTTCTGGGATTCCGCTGCGCCTGTCTGCCTGCGGGCTGCCTGCAGGACTGCCAATCGGGTTGTCGTATCGAGACCTGCCAGCCAGCCAGGCAGACCGAGCAGGCAGACACTGATGCAGCAGCACGGCGTGCGTCGGGCAGGTGGAGTGGAGAGACTCTTGGCAGTCCGTTTCGCAGACTGCTGCCTGTCTGTCTGTCTGTCTGTCGGTCCGCTGATATCTCATCTCGCTAATCGAGTTGCTGCTTGGATAAACCCGACCTGCTCTTTCCGCTCGTTGACTAAGTTGGAGTCTCCGAGGAGTGGGGGATGGGGGTGGGGAGGTTGGCGCCAGGGCCGGGCCGGGGCCACACGCGGCCTTGACTCGCTCAGCGCTAAATCATTCGTCATGCTCACTCCGCAGCCAGCCCCCTGGCAGCCCCTCTCCCTCCCTCTTTTGCACGGGGCCATTCCTCACAGACCTCATCCCGCAAACACCACCGCGGCACCGCCCTACAGGCCTACATCCATTACGACCCTTATCTTTACAACCCTTACCCACAACCCTTGCCTTACAACCCCCACGCGCCGAGCGCCGAGACGACCCCACAACCCGCTTCCTAGGACTCTCCTTACGACCCCTTTTCCCACAACCCAAAGCTCCACGAGCCATTTTTACGGCCCTTTTTTTGTGACTCTTTTATCACGACCCTCTTTTTCATGACCCTGTTTCTACGACCCCTTTTCCACGACCCCTTTTCCACGACCCTTTTGCCACGACCATTCCACGACCCTTTCCTACGGAGTGCGTTTTACGACCCGCTCTCCCCCGTCCCGCCTCCGCGACCCCTTTCCTCACGACCCTTTTGTGCGGTGCCCTTCGGCGGCACGCCATGGCGGCAACTTAAGTCCCGAAATCTGTTTGCGAGTGGCGCGGCAAACGAGGCGGAGGCAACCAAGGCAGCCGAGACTTTCCAATGAAGGCGCCGTGCCGGCGTGAGCGGGCGTGAGGCACCACGGAGCACATGTTGCACCGCACGGCTAGGCACGGCCAGGCACGGCGGGCACCTCTCGACTCCGGGGACTTGGAGAGAGAGAGAGAGAGAGAGAGAGAGAGAGAGAGAGAGAGAGAGAGAGAGAGAGCTGTTGTTGCAGCCCCGCACCCTTGGCGTGGCCATGGCGTGGCGGCGGTGCTGACACAGGTGTGCACAGGTGCGGAACTCCAACCCGGCCCAGCCGCGAAATACCGCCAAAGTCGCGTCGGAGAGAAAGACAGAGACAGAGAGAAACTCACAGTAGCGCAGCGTGCGGATTAGATTCGCCGAAAACTTGCCGCTCGCTCGACAGAGCACGCCGTTTCGGAGGGTACCGTTTTTGGGCGGCGCTTAATTTTAATGAAGTTTTTTTCTTATTTTTATATCAAACGTGGGGAAGAACATCATGAATGCTATTATGGAAGTGGCCGTGCAGTGAGGTCGAAGCTCCAAGTGCGCCAGCGCGTCAGCAGTACCGGAGTACCCGGAGTACCGCCCTCCGGAGAATGTGGAGAATTGATGGTATTGCCGGTCGTCTCGCCGTACCTCCCTGCCATTCGCCGAGACAACCCTCTCTCTTCCCCCTGAGTGCTCCCCCGTGGGGCTGCGGCTCTCTCTCTCTCTCTCGCACACACACACACACACGCACACACTGGGGCAGGACTAGAATGCTTCGACACGGGCTTACGTCATTCCCAGGGCTGAGCTAGTGTTTACAGCGTATCACGCACACACTCCGTGAGCGAGAGAGCGAGAGAGAGAGAGAGCACCCCGTTCCGCTAGGTTGCCTCCTCAGGGCTCCGGCGCGCCAGCGGCCCAGCCGCATCGTCCAAAGATGTTTATCGGAGACATGTAATGGAATTAGGTTCTTGCTCCGGACGGTCCCGGACGCGCAGACACACACACATGCATGCGCAAACTCGCTTCGGCCTTGGAGGCTAGCGGAGCGGCGGAGCGAGGACGGTCTGGAAGCGAAGAAGGGCCGACGCGTCTTACGGTGTAGCAGAGCTCGCGAGGAATTAGGGGGCGAGACAGAGCGAGACGAGGGCGAGAGTCAGTGAGAGGGAGTGAGAGGCGAAAGCAGGAGAAAGCCGAGGCGACAGTGGCGGTGTCACGTCCTGACAGTTCGGTTTCAATCGGGGGCAGCCGAGCCGAGCCGAGCCGAGCCGAGCCGAGCCACCGCATCGTCCCCGCTTTAACACTCCACGGGGCTTACGGGGCAAATGAATACCGAGGGGCCGAAGGGGGTCCTATGGCACGGCACGGTGCTAACAATGAGAGGCAGACAGACAGACAGACAGACAGACAGACAGACAGACAGGCGGGCAGACAGGCGGACAGACGCTCGCACTCGCATGCGGCACTCCCCAGACACTACGCGGTACCTGGTTGGTGTCTAATTAATGTGTCTCCGGGTCCCAATTATCGTTGTCGTGCTCCGCGTTGCTCCGCGTTGGCCCGCGCTGCTTCGCGGTGTGCGCATTGCCGCATTGCCGCGCGGTGCTACCCGCGCCTGAATGCAGGGTGTCGTGCGAATAACACGGCGCTATCGGATGGGCCGGGTGGCGCGACTCGTGTTCATCCCGCGTGCTGCCGTGTTCGCCGCCTCGCCTGGTCTCGCCCTGGCGGCGTCGGGACCATGTTCCCAATTTGGACCTCCGTGCCGCCATTTTCAACCTCCACTTTAAAATTTTTGTCGGTGTGCTTTGGTTTTGCCGGCGGGCCCACATTGGCGCGCTGTGCCCGCTCGGCCGGGTGGCGCCCCTATACGGCCCCCATGCCGGCCGTGCCGCCGTGCCGGGTGGCACCCTATCTCATTATGATATCGCGCGCAAACGCTTTGACGCGGCGATTATTATTGCGGCCCCGCCATTATTTCATCTCGCTTTGTTTTCGAATGAGAAGAATAATGGTTTATTTTCTGTTTCTTTTCCCTTTGGGCCTATGTTCTTCTTCTCCTCCTCCTCTGGACGGTCATGAATAATAAATTTCCGGCATGGCGCGGATCGCGGACGGCCAGCCGACTGTCTCTCTCGCACGCCCCACGGGACGGCCAATGAGTACGATAGCAAGAGAGAGAGAGGGGGATGAGCGGAGAAACCACACAGTTCGGAATACGGCGGGCCCAGGCAGGATAGCCACCCTTCCAAAGTTTCACTTTCTCAACCACAGGTGGTTCCACTCCCGCGTTACCCCCTCCCCTCCCCTTGCGGCCGTTGCGGCCCAACAAGACAGTGATTGGGTCCAGCCCCCTCCCCTCCCCCAGGACCAGGCCCACCAGGCCCACCAGCCCCACCGGGCCGTGCCTGCAGCGTGACAGGGGACGCTCAGGCTGGCAACCGCCGCCAACCCTGGGAAAACGAAACCAACGCTCTCGGAGCGGTGTCCATCAAAAATCCAGCAGGCAGTGTTCTGGCTCTTTCACTAAAGTGTGTTCAGTCCGACCAGGCAGGCAGCAGCTGAAGAGCCCTCGGCGATGAACACATTGGCAGGTTGGCAGTGGTTGGCAGCAGCGGGGGCAAGTGGCGCGAAAACCCCGAGAGCTAGCCGCCATGGCGCAGCCCGCGTTTGGCTTCTGGAATGTCGCCTCTCAACTCGGCGGGCCCTGCCTCCCTCTGCCGCTTGGCTGGGCTCGGCTGCCGACCGCCGAGCAGCCGAATGAAAAAGGGAAGAGGGGCGGCCGGGGAAACTTTTGCCATCAGTGAAGTCACTTTCTAGCCGGATCGAAATTCGACACGCAACTTTTCGCCTTGTTTCGCCGCATCGCCCGCTGTGTTTCGCCTCGCCTCCCGCTCGCTGCACGGCGAGAGGGGAGGGGGGCTGTGGCCGCCAAACGTAAACACTGGACGATGTGTGCTTTTCCCTTCCTGCTTTCCGGACATTCCTCTGGCGTTTGGGCCGGCCGGCCGGTTCGAACTTGGAGCGGCGGGGCGCGCCGGCGGGGTCCGTCGGTCGACCACCTGGTGCGGCCGTACATCGCCTACATCGCGATACTCGCGCTGCACTGTTAAAACTTTTTTCGTCACTCGGCGTTCAATCCGCGGCGAAGTTGCGCCTGTTTGTCCGCACGAAGGCGCCGCCGGCCGTGCCGAACGGGGTCGCCCCGTCTCTCTCGCACCCGTTCGTAGCGCGCCACGAGTGCGAGAGAGACGGGGTGACGGAAGCGGCAAGGCTGGCGGCACGACGCGCGCGGAATCATTCCCGGAAACTTTCCTTGTTTGAGTTTTGCCGCGTCAGCCGCCTCTGCACGCCAGTGGCGGCAAAAGTGGCGACGGATTCGCCCAAGCGCGCAGCAAACCGCCAGTATGGCCCGGGTTCAAATACCCGCTCGCCGAGATTTTTTTTTCGTCGTCGCCACTTTGTCGTCGCTGGCGAGGAAGGTGCGCCGCCGTGTCTGGAGGGAGCGAGAACGCCCTCGGGGGAGAGGGAGGGGAAGAGAGAGGAAAAGAGGGGGAGGGGTGGGGGTGGCCCTGCCCGCCCGATTTGCATCTGTTATGAGCGTTGTTTGTGACTGCAGTAAATTACTTTGCGGTTTTTGCCCGGCTGATGCTGTGGGGCTGGCTGGCTGGCTGGCCGGCTGGCTGGCCAGGTTCCCCGGCCGCAACACGGGGCCAAAATGTGTCTGGCCCGCTCAGTCCTTCCGCCCGAGGGACAGAGACAGAGAGAAACAGAGCGAGCGAGAGCCCTTTTGACGGCGGGGGGCGGGGAGAGGCCACCGGGTTCCTGCCCTTGGCCCTTGTTTGTCCCCGTCGCCGGACGCGCGCGCTTTTCAAACACTCAGATTGGATTTCCCGCGCGTTTGACTGGCGCTGGAAATGATGGGAGCGGCGAACACCGTGAACACGCAGTCGCTCTTTCTCTCTCGCACTCGTGGTGGAGTCCCGCATGGAAAGGCCGAATTTCCCGCAGCAGCGTTCGCGTCGGAGATGACTCTTCTTTTCGCATCGCGACTGGGAGACGGTGTTGCCACGGACCTGCTGGCCGGCTGCTCGTCTGGGCGGCGAGGCGCGCCCCGGAGTCTTTGTCCAATAAAACGCAGGATGCTGCCCCTATTTACCCCCACTCAATTTGGAGCGCCAGTTGGCGCCAGTGCAGTGCGGACCGCTGTGTGCATAGGGGTGGTGCTCGCCATCGTCACGCTGCCGTGCCGTGCCATGCCGGCCCCCTCGGGGGCTAGGTGGCTGCCTGCCTGCCTGGTCTGTTGGCGCGTTAGCACAGACCCCGCACAGCCCCCCTCACGGCCCCCCGGATTGCTGTCGGGATTTAGTGCTGCTGTGCTGCGGCCTCCCCTCCACTGCCGGCGTCCTCCGTCTGCTGTCTCGTCCTGGTCGTCCTGGTCCCCCAATTGCGGGAGGGTCGGCCGAAAAATGTAAGCCTGGCTAATCCCCCCAGGTCGCTCCCCGCCCCGCCCCGCCCTGCAGGGGGAACAGAGAACCGCCCCTCCACGTCCTCCGAAATCCACAGGAATGTTCCGGGTCGTCCACGAGAATGTGACGTGGCGTCAAGTAGTGTGCTGCCCCCCCGTCCCACCCCGTCCCCCCCGCCCCACCCCGCCCCACACTGCCGGAACGCTATTATCCCGTTTTATATTAGTCTGCAGTCGCGATTAAAATCTTGCCTTCCTCGGAATTGCAATTTCTGTTTGGTTGTTGTTGGTGTTGTGGGCCTGCCGCGGCGAAGGGAAAAAGGAAAAAAGGAACCGCGAGGAGTCCGCCGTTGTCGCGGCGCGGCAGGCAGCTGCAACAGCAGCAGGCGGAGCAGGGTACACGGTGGACTCCCCGGGCTGGAGGCACAATGGCTGCACTGTCAAATTTGCACGGGCAGTTTGAGAACGAGGAAATTGGAGCGATACCCCCGCAGGGAATGCGGCCCAGAGACTCTCTCGCCTCGCTGCCCCGGGCCTGGAGGGCCTTAGTCGCAGTCCGTTCAATCTCCTTCCTCATTCTTCTCTCTGGTCTCTCTCTCTCTCTTCTTCTCTCCCTCAACTCTCTCTCTCTCTCTCTCTCGCACCCGTGAGGGACGCTCCGTGAGTGCGACAGAGACAGCGACGAAAGCGGCGCGTGGAATGGCTCTGCGGAGGCACGCCGCCGTGCGGGGTAGGCAAACGACGCCGCTGCGGTGCACGCGTGCCCGGCGGGCCGGCCTACGCCGCAGGCGTTCTCCTCGCAGACTCCGCCGCTGTCTCTGTCTCTGTCGCACTCATTGGCGGCTCCGGAGTGCGACACGGACAGAGCAGCGTTTTCTCCAAAGTGCCGCCAGTATTTTTGTGGTTTGAAAGGAACGCGCCTTTTGCCGAGTGACGAGTGACCAATGGTCGCGGCTGGCCGGTCGAACGCTACCGCTCGTCCGTGTTGGCTCTGGCTCCTGATTGGCTGCTGACCCCCGGTCTGGCCGGGTCAACAGACGGTGGCAGCGTGGCAGCGGACCGGTGCGGCCAGTGCGGTGGGGCCGGTGCGGTGCCTCTATTTGGATTGACGCGGTGGGTGGGGGTGCTGTGGGCGGCCCGGCAGCCGTGTCCTTTTGCGTCCGACCGAGGGCCGGGGCGAGGGTCCTGACCAGCCAGCGCCCTTCGAGGCCCTTCGAGGCCCTTCGAGGACCTCAAGGACTCGCCGCGTCCTTCCTGGTTCCCTTCCGCACCTCATTACCGCTACCCTTTGGTCCCCTAACCTCCTACACACGCTCACGAAAAAAAATTAATGGAAAGTTGTATGAAAAAGTCGGCTTTATTCTCCGATTTTCTGTCATTGCTGTAAACTCCATTTTACCCGCATGTTTTTTCTCTTTTTTTTGAATTTTTGCTGTGTAGGAAATTGAGAGCGGTCTTTGTTTCGCAGGAACTGCTCGCCCTGCCCCGTGGTGCGGCCCACCTTCCTGTGCGGCGCCGACAACCGCACCTACTCGTCGCTGTGCCGCCTGGACTACCACAACTGCATCCACGGCACCGCCGTGGGCGTGGCCTGCAAGGGATTCTGCCCCTGCAAAGGTAAACCTACACTATTAAAAAGTTCCGCCAAGGCAAGCTTAGCAAAGCGGCTTGCCGTGGACCGGCCGGGAGGCCGGGGAGAGAGGGGGCAAGAAGGGCGGGGGCGGCTGTGAGGATGGGGACTGGCGCGGCGAGGGGGCGCGGCGTGGCGGGCAGGACGCGACAGACGCGCCACACGCCCTGGGCCCCGGCAGCCCGAGCGCGCCGATGGTGGTGGGTGGAAGGAGAGTGGGGTCGGGCAGAGCAGAAGCGGGGGACCCCTTGTCGCCGGCAAGGGCAAGCGCGCCGTGGCCCGGGCCCGGGAGGCGCGGCAGGAGGGGGCAAGAGGGAGGGGGGCTGTGAGGAGGGGAGGGGGCGACGGCTGGCGGCGCAGGGAGGAAGCGCCCCACCGCAGTCCCCCCGGCGCGCGAATGGGCAGGGGGATGCGCGAGGGTGGGGGGCGGCAGAGCGAAGCGGGGGACCCCTTTCGCGGCAGAGCAAGCGCGACGCTGCCGCGGCAGGGAAGCCGACGCTGTCGCGGCTTGTGAAGCGCGGTTGTCCGGCAGGGGCGCGACGGGTTCGCGGCAGGGCATTGCGCGGCTGTCCGGCAAAGGGTAGGGGAGCGTCCAGGGGACAAGTCGCTGTCACGGCCCTGGCGCGCCGACGGGTCCTGCAGGGAGAGGGGCGACGGGGGTCGCGGGGATGTGGAACCAGGTATCGCGGCAGGCAAGCGCGACGCCCCAGCCCACGCTGTCGCGGCAGAGCAAGCGCGACGCTGTCGCGGCAGCCGAAGTCCTTTCGTCCTTTTGTGTCGCGGTTGTCCTGCGAATAGGGCGCGGCGGTTGCAGTGTGCAGCGGCATTGCGTCTGGCTGTGTCCCTCAATGGGTAGCAAATCAATGGGACAAGTCGCTGTCACGGCCTTGGCGCGCCTTGGCGGACCTCCTGCAGTTGGAGAGGGGGAGGGGGAGGCGGGCATGTGGTACCAGAGTATCAGGCAGGCAATTCGATCGCCCCTCCCACGCTACGCGAAGCTAGAGCGAAGCCACGCGCCCATTTTCGCCCCCTCTCCTTTTTTTGTTTTTGTTGTTTGTCATTTTGTCTCCCCTCGCTGTGGCCCCCCTTTGCCGCGGGGCACCCTTCCGAGCCCTTGCCAGCACCGCCTTGGGGCCGCCACTCCTGCTTGCTCCTGCTTGCAGCGGGGTAAGAATCTGCCGCGAATGAGGGCTGACGTCCCACGAGCAGGGCGCCGAGCCTGGGGCCGAGCAAGGATTGAAAGAGCGCCGCGTGGAAAGATTTTTTTGTTTTTTGTTTTCGCGTTTTTTGTGTCTGCCAACCTGCATAACAAACCGACTGAAAGGGCGAAAGGGCGCGCGCGGTTTGATTGAGGGCCGCTTCATCTCGGGCAGGAGTGCATCGCTGCAGTCGGCTGCAGTCGGCCGCAGGCCCTTATGACTGCCTCTCTCGCACTCGTGGGGCGGCCCCTGAGGGTGCGAGAGAGACGGGGCGAACCGGTTCCCGCACAGCCACTCCGGCCAGCCCAGCCCGGCCCGCCGCCTCTGTTCTCTTTTCGCCAATCTCTCCTTTCCACTTTTGTCAAGGGAGGGGATTGGTTGGGAGCGGACAGGGGGGAAAAAGGAGGGGGGATAGAAATCCGCTTTGCTCCGCGCGCCCCGTCGTTGGCATTTCTCTTTCTTTTTTTCTTTTTTTTTTCTCTCCGCTAATCCTAGTCTGCCCGGCGCGGGCTTCGACAATATTCATGAGTCTTTATGACGGGGAATCCTTAGCCCCGTCTTTATTGAATTCGTTTCGTCGTGTGAGATCCTGAAAGAAATCGAGCGAGCGCAATCCACCCCTTTCCCTCCCCCCCCCCCCCCAAAAAAAAAATTGATGAACCGTTTTGCGATGGTAATGAATACGCGTCAAGAAATCGCTCATGTTCCACTTTTTCTTCTTTTTTTGCGTTTCTATTTGCGTTTTTGACACTTGCGACTATGGCATAAAGTCAGGATTAGAATCACGAGAATTGGCTCCGTCTGGGCGACTCTGGAGCGACGCGCGCCAAAATCGCATCTGAGAGAGAGAGAGAGAGGCGCGGACTCGCCCAATGGGCTTAGCGGGGACGCGACGGCGCCGATAGACGCCCCCTTTCTTCTCGGGGGGGGGGGGGGGGGGGCAGAAGCAGAGATTCGCTTTTGTCTGCAAGAAATATACAGGCTCACGGCTTTGCACCAGGCATATCCCATATTCCCTTCTCCTTGCACCCCGGTGGTGGTCTTTTCCGCCTCACACACGCACACTAGAAAAACGGGGTCGGGAAAACAGGTGCGCCTGACCCGAAACGGTTTCCCCCGAGGCTTTTCCCGAGCCGTGATGAGATTTTCATCATTTTTTAAAAGGTGTAAAAATGTGAACATGTCATCCATTTCTTTTTTAAATTTTTCAATTTTTTTTCAATTTTTTTTTTCAATTTTTTTTTTCAATTTTTTGTTTAAATTTTGTTTTTTATTGAGTGGCGGCAAATTTTGACAGTGTGTTGTCGTCGCTGTTGCAGAGAAAGAGCTGGTCCAGCGCAAGAAGGAGCGGCAGCAGGAGCGCTACTCGCAGTTCGTCAGCAAGTACCGCGCCACCGTCGAGAAGCAGCAGCTGCAGACGCCGCAGCCCCTGCAGCAGCAGACAGCCCAGGACGTGACGGCGCCCACCAAGAAGGCCAACAAGAAGGCCGTCAAGCTGGACAGCAAGTACACCTTCACGCCCGAGGACTTCAAGTACGACAACAAGCACTACAAGTACATCAAGTACACCAAGTACAACAAGGTGAGTGGCGGACCAGTCTGGGAGCAAACCGCGGAGCAATCGGGGAGAAGGAGAAAGGAATGAGGAGCCAGTCACTGGAATAACGTTTGATTTGGTTTCCCCGAAGCATTCGACGTCGGGGACACTGCGGAAAGATTCCCACGCAGCGCGTGTTGACAAACTACCCAAAACGCTGCTTTTTTTTGTGGCACCCTTGTTGGTGGTAAGGGCGTGCACTCTATGCGCGGCTCCGCGGCTCAAAACCCGGAACACCGCGAGGTGGCATTAGGGTGGCACGGGAGTGCGAGAGAGAAAGAGAGAGGGAAAGAGAGAGAGGCAGATAAGGAGGTGCCGCTGAATGGGACGTGTGCCCCTTCCCCCTCCACCCCTTTCTCTCCTTACTCGGCTCGTTTCGTTCCGTGGAGAGGTGCCAAGTCGTCTGGATGGCCTGGATGGGGTCGAGGAAGGCGGCGGGGCGCGGCAGGGTGCTGGGGACAGAGGGGTTCGAGTAGGGGAGGGGTGGAGGGGGCACAAGTTTCGAGTAACGCTTTCCGACAAACTTGAAAGTGCGACGCGATGTTGTTCTCAACGTGCAGGCACTCGCGCGCGACGCGGAAGAGGGAGAAAGAGGAGGAGGAACGAGAAGGAACGGCCTTTGCGCGATGAAATTGTCTTGGCAAATACGAGGCCTCCGCCATCGGTTCGGGTCGGCCTGGGGCCTCTGGGGCGTGGAGGGGGATCCATGCGTGTTTGGCATCTACACGGCCTGGCTCTACTTTTTATATCAGAAACGAGTTAGAAAGCAATTTGTGTGGACTTCCATCCCACACACGGCCATGGCCTGCTGTCTTTTTTTTTCCTCTCTCTCTCTCCCTTTCTTTTTTTTTTTTTTTTTTTTTGCCCTGCACAACTCACCGTGTTTCTTTTTTTTCTGGCGATACTTGTGACGAGGGAGGAGCTGTCGGCTGTAGAGAACTAATGGATTTATAATGCACCGGTCGCCCAAATCGCGAGCATTAGACTGACTTATGACCCGGCTGACACCGGAGGGGAGGGGAGGGGCAGGACACGCACACATACACACGCGCGCGCACACGCACGGAAGCAAGGGTATTGGCCTGTCTCGTGGAAGGAGATGAAAATTCGGCTTTATGGTCGAGCCAGCCGGCCGGGCCGCGGGGCGGTGGAGCCTGGGGCAAGGCAAGGCCTTGGCCAGGACGGTCCCGGCTGGAGGCTGGAGGCTGGAGTGTCGCACCCAGAGTCGGACAAGACTGTCGTCCCAGGCATGCAGATGCGAGACTCGAAACTCTGTCGCACTCAGAAGGGCGCGCCACGTGGGGGTGCGACAGAGACGGAGAGAGGAGTGCGGGCGGTGGGATCGCTCGACAGCCCCGCGGAGGCCACCTAAGGACGCTCCGCTCGCCGTTGTCGTGTCGGCGACATCGTGGCCCGCTTCGCTAAGCCCTGGCCGCCCTGGCCGCCCTGGCCGCCCTGGCCCAACTCGACCAGACCGCGGGGGGCAGCGCGGGGGCGGCGGGGTTTTAAAGTCCGTGGCACTGGGCGGGGGGAGCGGGCTGCCCCCGCATCGTTGGCTACACTTTGGACCCCAAGTTGAGGACGGCGAAGCTGCTGCCGCAGTTGGCGGCGGTGCTGAGGACGGCGTCCCCTCTGCCTCTCCCGGCGAAATGACGGGCGCTACTCCGCGCGCTGGAGACTCTGCGCGGGCAGAGGGCTGGCCGTCGCTACCCCTCGCCCTCGGGCAGCCTAGTGGCGAACTATCCCCGGCCGGCCGCACGGCGCGGCGTCGTCGCGCTGTCTCTCTCGCACCCCTGCGGGACACGCGCCGCGAGTGCGAGAGAGACAGAGCGTGCTACAGCGAGCGCTCTTGTTGTTGTTGCAGGGCGGCGAGGAGAAGGACAAGCAGCGCGTCTTCAACGAGGTCCTGGAGGGCAAGCCCCAGTCCGGCGACCGGCCCGTGTCCGCCGCGCCCCCGCAGGCCAGCGCCGAGTGCGGGGCCTCGCAGCTGCAGAGCATGGGCGACCGCATGCTGGACTGGTTCTCCGTGGTGATGGCCGACGCCGCCTCCCGCGGCCGCCCCCGGCAGCGGTCCAACTCCAAGGGTATTTCCACCACTCTGTGAAGGTATTTGGTTCCTCCGTGAGCGCGAGGTTTTGAACCTGGTTCCTCTGGTTCCGCAGCCAACTTCCCCGGCAGCTGCCAGGCCGAAGTCCGCTGGATGTTCGGCCACCTGGACCGCGACGCCGACTCCCGCCTGTCCCTCCACGAGCTGTACGGCCTCGAGCACGACCAGAGCGAGAAGTGCATGAAGCCCTTCCTGGACTCCTGCGACACTGACCTGTGAGAGACAGATGCACCCCCGCCTCGTTTCATGTCGTTTGCTTCGCGTTCCGGGGTGACACTGTGGTGCGTTTGGTTGCAGCGACGTGTTCGTGGGCCCCGACGAGTGGTGCCGCTGCTTCGAGAAGACGGAGCGGCCGTGCGAGGCCGTCAAGCGCGGCATGTCCCCCAAGGCCCTGCGAGGTAAGCACCCTTCCCGCTTTTTTTCAGGTTTTAGTGGCGGGGAGGACCGCCTGGGAGGTAGGCAACGGCGGCACACGGCTGTGCTGCCGCCTCCCCCATTGCCTACCTCCCAGGCGCTCGGCTCGACTCAACTCATCCTTCTCTCTCGCTCCCGCAGAGGTGTACGTCCCCGACTGCGACCTGGACGGCTTCTTCCGCGCGGTGCAGTGCGGCCCCACCGGCAACGTGTGCTGGTGCGTGGACAAGCACGGCGTGGCGGTGCCCGGGACGCGCGTCTTCGGCAAGCCGTCGTGCAACGGTGAGAAGCCAAGCGAGCGTGGTGGGGGTGGTCGTTGCGCGTCGTCAGACTAACGTGACTCTCTCTCCGTCCCGCAGAGCTCCTCAACAAGACCAACAAGGACCAGCGCCAGGGCCAGGAGAGCAACCAGCTCCACGACAGCAGCGACGACGACGAGGACGACGATGACGACGACGACGTGGAGGGCAGCGCGGACCAGCCGCTCGACTTCTAGGCGCAGCGCGCAGCGGGTACGTCTCGATCAAGGCCCTGCCTTGGCCCTGTCTCAAGCCTCCCCGACTTACAGTGGTTTGGATTGCAGGATGACCACCAGGGCCGTGAGCAACAACAGGCGCCCCTGTACGCCAGTGCACTGTATCCGGTGTGGAGCTGGGAAAGTGGTTCCGGTTCCGAAGCAACCGTCCGAGCGTCGTGACAAGAACTACCCCGCCACGCCCGGCCCCGCCCAGCCCTGCCCGGCCCCACCCAACAGCCGCCAGCCATGGGAGATGCAGGCAAACTTCGGTCTGACCAGGGCACGGCGAGGCCGTGGCGAGGCCGAGGCCGCGGCGTGGAAGTCCGGACCGGATCGGACCCAAGTTACGGCCAAGCGACTGTAGACTGTAGCCGCGGGGGGCGGCCCAGTCCGTCGGTCGGCCGCCGGCCGCCCCTCCTTATTATTTTAACAGTACGTGTTATGAGCTTCTGTTACGCACTGGGAAGCCGGGCTACCATAGCAGCAATGTGTTTTCATGACCCCTTTTCATATTACGTATTTCCTCCGACTAGAGTTTTCATTTTACAAATCCCCCGAGTGGGAGCATCAAAACACATGAGGAAATCAATAAACCCATTCTGCTCATCTAGCGATCTAAGCCTTTGTATCTATTTCTACCACGCAGTGTAACTATTAGCTGAAACGTAATGTGTTTGATCTTAGAGTAATTGTAGGCTGTGTCCATGTGTCCACAGCCTTTTATGTTGTTAGATGTGAGAATTGAGTCCATGTAATGTCTATGTTTGTTTTTTCTTGTTGAAATACTTTGTAGGTTGATGAAATATCGCAGCAAGGTTTGGAAAAGAGATCTCCAAATCTGCAAGACCACTAAGGTCACTTGTACTTAAGAGTGTACCTCCAAGGTACTACAAGAATAAAAAGTGTTCAACTTATTCTGTATGTGTTTGTGAGTTATTGAAGAATGAGCGGAAGTGAATGATATAATTTGGTAGGATACTTGCTACATTCCGTATTTACAATCTGTGTGAAAATTTTGTTTTGTCTTCATTTGCTTGCAGCTTGGTGGGCTGGATTGCCATTTCCTTGTACTTACGTACCTTTAGTGTCCTATTTACCTACCTAACAATTTGCCAGCCTGCTCTTGTCTCACTTTATTGTATGTCATCTGTAATATTTTTGTATTTCAATTTCATTCCCTTGTGCTTTGGACAGTTTTATCAAATTAGGACACTGTTATTTTTTAAATGTTCTGTATAATATGTTTATTAATATTTGTTGTGTGATTTAGATGTTTTAATACTCTTATTTTGTTAATTTCTTTCATCATTCTTATTGTAAAATGTCATAGGCACCAACATTCATAGAAAGATGTTTGTGATTATGATATGTATTTATCTGTCCATTTCTCCTAAAACTGCCCTGGGAGTCCATGTGGGTGCCGTAGTTATCTTGTATATTTGACAGTTTCTTATGTATTATAGTGGGTGTCTGTCATAGTCGGCTTTTTAAAAAGAACGACACCCCACATGCTAGTAGTTATGAAAAAGGTTCTTTAAAGCCTTTGAAGCCCATGTAGAACATAGGCACATCTCTGTCCACATTATTATAACATTCTCTTATCTGGCAATCCATTTCACCTTTCTTTTATGTTTTGTTTTTAGATAAAACTTTTTTTAAAAAAAGACAGGAATGTTAGGCATAGCCACATATTTATTACAAGAGAATGCAAAAGCAGAAAAAAAAGACTCCAGGCAAGCCATACGAAATCTCAATATTAATAATTAACAAGCACAAATTTATAGTGTACTTTGTTTAATCAGTGCCATTGTATGTGATGTAAAAAAAAAATGGGGAATGCAATTTTCATTGTTGCTAAAATTAAATGTATTTATGGCAAACGCCAGACGAGAAACTGAATTATATAAAATGAATGTCACAAGACAGGTGGTTTATTTTTTTTATCATATGCGCCCTTTCCTCCCCTCTTTATTGGCAGCAGGGAAGGAGCGAAAGTTTGGAGTAACAGCCCGGCGTGGCGGTGCACCGTGGTGGGCGGCAGCAGGGGCAGGTCGGCCAGGTCGCCGGGGAGGCAGGCAACCCTTTGGATTCGATCCGCGCATCGCTTCGCGACCGGCAAACCTCGCGGCGAAGGGCGAGGGCTCGCCTTTGTTCTTTGTTCCTTCCCCTGGAGGGTCTGGGCAGGTCTGGGCGCGTGCCAACCCAAGCCAACGGCCTTGAGCCCTCGCGGCCTCGCGGCCTCTCGGCTCAGGTGAGTTTTATTTGGAAGCAGGTGTCGCCCCTCATCAGCCTGCTGGTGCCTCAGCCTCAACCCCCACCCCTTCTGGCATACCAACCTATTGTTCTTGAGTCGTATTAGATTTAGAAACGCGCTCCTGACTAACGATCCAACGCGCAGCTTCGCTCGCTTCGCGCGGCTTCGCGCGGCGCCGGCTTAAGTATCCGGGAGAATGTTGGCACGTGAGGCGCTGCTAAAGACACACGCGTCTTGCACAACAAAAACTCGCCGCACTGCACGCAGGCCGCCGCGCGGGTCATGTGGGCATCAGAGCCTCATCGCGCTGTCTCTCTCGCACCCCTGCGGGACGCCCCACAAGGGCGAGAGAGACGGGGCGCCTGGCGTGTAGCGTAGTCCGCGCTCGCTCCGTCTCGCGTCAATGAATGGCGGAACGACAGCTGCCCTGCCACTGGCCGCCGCACTGCGGCACTGCGGTACCACAACCATGACGCCACTATTTCGGGCCTGCACTTCGGCGGATGAGGTTAAGCGCAGACCGAGGCAGACGCTGCAGCCTCCCGCCCCCGAGGTCCCGGCCGAGTGCACCGCTGCGCCACGCTTCGCTTAGCCTCGCTGCCAACAGAGCCAACACGTGTCGGCGGCCACACTGTATATAAGCAGCGGCTCGCCCAGAATACTCGCCCGCACCGCGCCCACGGCGGTGATAAGGAATCGCAAAGCGTTTTGGGGGACCAGGCGTGCGCTGCAACGACACGGTTTAGTTTTAGTGCGGCGAATTGGAGCTTTATTACGGTTCGCCCGCCCTGCCGGCCACTGCCGCCACTGCCGCCAACCCCAGCGCACGCCACCCCGCCAACGACCCGGCAGGCTGACCAACCACGCCCACGCCTTCTTCCAGTTCGGCTCTGCTGCCTCTCCGTCTCTCTCGCACTCACGGCCCGTTGCGTCCGGGTGCGAGAGAGACGGGCGTGGGAGCACGAGCACTTGCCAGCATCGATTGGTGTCATTATCGGCAGCGAGTCGATCTCTGTTTTCCGTGCGTCGCGTTGGCGGCAGTGTTGTTGGCAGATAACGTTGTTGTCCTGCGATGCACGCCGGCACGCCCCAGCCATTCGAAGGAGAATATCTGTATGTATGTCTCTCCCGCTCTCCCACGGTGCACGCCCCAGCCATTCGAAGGAGGCCTGCATGTCTGTCTCTCTCGCTCTCCCACGCCGCCGGACTTTTTCCCGCGCTTTCAGGTCAGAGATCCCGTGTTCATCAAAGGGGCCAATAAGAAGCTATCGACTCGATTTTACAAAGATTTATTGTTTTGTCTTTCAGGTAAAAACGATATAATGGAGTCTTGAACGTTGATCTCTACTTCGATAATAGGGAGCAGTCTCTGATTAACAATCACATGAACACTTTTCAAGATCAAGTTCGAACAGAGGGCGTTCTTTCAAAGTATTTGTTACAACAGTTCGGAAAGGTTCAAATTTTCGTATACTCGTTTGGTTCTTCTGCCGCAACAGTAACTGCCAATTTTCTAATGATACTCAAGACCAAGACAAAAGGGACAAACAAAAGGAGGCTGGATACATGACTTAACAAAGACAAAGTGGTTGATGATATGAACAGAATATATACAAATATAATGTAAATAACATATTGATAAAAGGAACGTTTAAAGAAATAAAAACACGTGGGTTCCCCTCGAGGGGTGAAAAGGGTGGGAAGCAAAAGGAAGGGGCGGTTGAGGAACAAGGGCAGAGGGTCAGCTCGAGAGGGAAGGGAATGGAGAGCAGAGATTCAAGTCAAAATTAGAGGGGGTGAGTGAGGAAGGGGTTGGGGAGGGGGGCGTTAGGGGGTAGGTTGCTTTGGGGGGGAGGGTGTTGGTTCCAGGCAGGTTGTGGCAGGTTTAGGTAGGAACGGGGTGTCGGTAGGGGAGGGGGTGTGGAGGTGAGGGTGGGGGTTAGGCGGAAAGTCGGGTGTCACAAGTTGGGCAAGACAGAATAAGAGCAGGTTTAGAAAGGTGAGAGAGGAGGTGACTGCGGTCGGGTAGAGAGGGGCAGAAAAGGGGCGGGGGGAAATTGAGGGGTGGGTTGGGGTAGCAGTGGGCGTATGGGCGGTGGGGCCGGAGATAGAGCAAGGTTGGGTGGGTAGGGTAGGGTGTGGTTGGGGCAAGAGGGGAAGGGGGCAGGGGAGGGGGGTTGGGGACGGGTTACTTCTTGAATAACATTTGTGTCTTGACGAGAAGTTCTCTCTGTCTCCTGTCGGCCTTCCGTCTCTCCTTGATGTCCTCCGGGTCCTCGATGGGGTTGAAGTAGTGCTGGAGGTCCTTCCTGGCCGTCCGAAGGGCGTGTCGCACTTGCGCCGTCGTCTCGCACTCCTTGAGGACCTTGAGGCTCCCCGTGAGGATGTCGCCGGCGACCTGGCGCGGCGACCGGTTCAGGTACGGGTTCTCCACTACACTACCGTCCGTGAGAAACCTGGGTCGGGCAAGCACGGGCAGGGGATTAGCAAAGGGGCTCTGCGAGGCAACAGCGCCAGGGTGCCTCGCCTATCAGGGACCCGGGCGCTGTTCTGTTCGACCTCTGGTGTCGCGTATCGGCGAGTGACGCGTCACGTGACTCGCGGTGACACTCGCAGTGACACGCCGCGCGGACGGACTGCACCTGCCGGCAGACAGGAATACAGTGGCGGCACATCGCGTTGGCAAGGCCGTTTGAATCTGCCGCCCACGACGCGGCACTCGGCTAGCCCGGCACTCGGCCGAGACTTGACCGCCTCCGCGACGCCACGCCGCCATGCGTCATCGGCCCGTGACACCGTGACTGTGACACTGAGACGGCGACAGGGGTCGATCCATCACCGCCTTTTGTTGGCCTGCTCGGAGGCCTGCTCGGACCGTGGCGACCAGCGCCTTTTCGAAAGTCTATTTCGCGCCCGGTTCGCGGTTTTGAGGTTTCGAGTCGCGGAGGCCGGAATGGAGACGCGCTTGCGAGAATTTGGAAAGACGGACGGTCCGGAAACTTAGAGGCTAGGGTGAAAGGAGCAAGTCCAGGTACCAAGGGGACGGGCACAAACTCGTCGGGATGGAAAAAGAAAATGAAAAATCACACACTTCTCCTCAGTTACAAGCTCTGTGGAGAAAGCACGGGGTGAGGCAGCAGCGACCGCGGACGAACGGATATGATTCTATTTTGACACTTTGTTTGAAAGCCAAAGTCAATGGGCGGAAAGCAGTGAAAGCTTTGAGGGCGCTTCGTCGCCTCGCCGCTGCCTCCGCGCCGACCAAGCAAGCCGTGAACGCCATGCAGGTACGCCCTGGTCGGGATCACACCATGCAAGGCCCTGATAGCGGACGAATCGCAGTCTCGATTCCAAATGATGAATCATTTTAAAACAAAAATATGAATTTTAGGCGGCGGCTCTCTGCGCCCGCCGCGCACGAGACTCGATTGAGACTCTATTAACTACCACGAGCGTAGAGACGTAGACACATACATGGGCAGTAGCGGATCGTGTAGCTCCTGATGGGGCGGCAGGAGTCGTAGGAATGCTGGTGGTTGCCCAGGTACCGGTACGAGAGGGGGTACTCGCAGGCCCAGGGGGACATGGTGTAGTCGTAGCGGGGCCTCTCCCAGGCCAGGTACTTACTGGTGGGCGCAATGGACTTGTCCTCCCAGGACCAGGGGAAGTACCTGCAAGCAGCACAGCACGACCAGGTCGGCCAGTCAGAGGCAGGGGCGAGGACGGGGGGACAAGGACGCCAAAAGCGGAAAACAAAACAAAAACAAAACACGGGACGGGGAGGAAAATTCAAAAAAAGTCGCTGAGAAAAAAACAGCAAAAAGCGAATGTTGGTTTTCGGGTGTGGTTGGCGGTGTCGGGGTTGATACGGGTTCTGAACTGAAAGGGGTGAAGTACGCTTACGCCAGGACCAGTCGACACGGTGGTGTGTGAGAGCTTCCACGCGGTTCCACGGTTCGCCGCCCACCGGCGGACGTTTCCGTTCACTTTGGCGAGCCCTCCGGTCGTGACGTCACCGCGACCAATTTCCCCTACACTCGACGAAACAGAATGGCACAGAACGGCCATTACGCCGCACTGACTGAAAACAGTTACTTCATCGTCCTGGCGGTCCCGGCGGTCCTGGCTGGCACGGCCCGTGGCCCCCTTGGCCCCCCTTGGCCCGGGGACCAACAAACAACAACGAAGCCGCATCTCTCTCTCGCACTCATGGGGCGCCCCGTAAGGGTGCGAGGGAGACAGAGCGACGAAAGCGACTCTCGGAACCAGTGTGCAGGCGGGCCGGGCCGCAGGCAAGCCGGAAAACGAGCGGGGACGGCAATTACTTTCAAAAATACAACAGACGGGCTTAGAGAATGAAGCGGGACTCGGAAGTGGCACCCCTGCGAGTCTGAGGCCGCCTTGTGGGCCTTGTGGCTCCCGTGGCTCGGAACCAACAAAAACCGACCCTACTCACGTTTCCCACCATTTCGTCGGGGCTTTTTTTTTTTGTTTTAATATTTTTTGCGATGGGTCCATCGACGCGGCTCGCGAGCCGTACTGTCAATATCCTGAGGAAGCAGGCGTTATTCGCAGGGCCTGGCCGCGCGCCAGGCAGCCAGCCAGGCAGCCAGGCAGCCGACTCACAAATGAGGAGTCGAGCCATCGCCGTAATCGGGACGGACGGCGGCGTCGCGCGCCGCGCCAGCACGGCCAGCACGGCCAGCAGACAGTGCCGCTCTGTCTCTCTCGCACTCGCGGGGCGTTGGGCCCCAGGGGGTGCGAGAGAGGGGCCACTACAGGCACCCGGCCGCTTAATCAAACACGCGGGCCAATCTGCGCGGGTTATTAAATCCCATAAAGCCAGCCAGGAAGACAAGGACACTGTCAACAAGACAAATCACGGAAAGCTCGGTCTTATTTTTAAAAAACAAATTTTTGCGGGAGTTTGATGGAGTGGATAACTGGAAAGGAATAGGTCGTCTGGTCCGCGTCACTTCCGGAAGACGCAATTCGGCACTCGCAAAAACAAGTTGAAAATAAATAAAAATGTAAAGCAATCGGGAATGAAATGAAAAAAAATCAATGGAAAGCCAAATCCCTTGAAAGCGAGAGACAGACGTCATGTCAGCTCTGACAGCAACACTGCGCACACCGCGGGCTAGAGTCCGATGCCCGTGTTCATGTTCATACCTCAGAGGGCAAAGACTCCCGACACAAGACACAGACGCTTCACCACATGAGTGGCCATTCCCAGGGGTAAATCCTGAAAACACGGTAGGCATTCAAACTTGGCGCCAAAAGCAGCCTTTTGGCGGGAAACGCGCACAGTGCATCGCCATGGCATTGCCGCCCTCCGTTCCTATCTCAAACGTATCGAAAAATTAAAGTCCTCTGTTAGAGAATGACTTGACGCGGAATTACGCTCTTAATTAACTAATGATCGCTAGAAAAAAAATTAAGACAAGTCCAAAAAAATCATGGAAAAAAGTTACTAGTTTCACTTGGCACTGGATAACGGCTTGGACATAAGTTCAGGCTGCAGGTACCGGCATCTCGAGAACGGAGACTCACAAGCTCCAAGGTGGCATGGCATAATTTAAATGACTTATGAATGAAACCAGCCACTGAATGGACTCCGCTTGCAAGTCTCCAGCCACGAGGCGCGCGCCTGGAGACTGCCGCCCAGCTGTCAGCGCACGGCCAACCTAACCTCACTCTCCGGCCCGCCGTGCGCAGCATGCTCACCAGTAGGGTGTCTGGTACGTGCGGACGCCCCTCCTCGTGTCCGAGTAGGCCCTCCTGATCTGCTCGTCGGTGCGGCTGTCCTGCAAGTGCCTCATGGACTCCATGATGAGCTCGTTGGCGATGGCGCGGCGCGACTTGGCGCGGTAGGAGCTGCTCTCCAGGTCGGTGGTGGCCATCACTTTGCTGGGCACGAACTCTAGCAGGGCGTCCTCGGTGCGGCGCCGCAGATCGGCAAGCTCCTTCTCGCGGAAGATCTTGTCGGCGTGCCTCTCCTCGTGGGACTCGCCGAGCACCTTCTTGGTCAGCGAGGTGGCGACTTCGACCTGCTTGGCGAGCGAGAACGGCGACCGCGGGTGCGACAGGGGACCGACTTCCTTGCTCTCCCTCAGGCTCTCCTGTGCTCGGAGCTGGGCGTCGACTGCGAGTTGCCTGGCCCGCTCCTTGCTGTACGTTTTAATACCCTGCTGCGAGGGGTCGTACTGCTTCAGCCCGCGCTCGTTGAGCCACGGTAGGTGGGGAGGGGGTCGGGGTCGCAGGCCGCGGTCACGGTCGTCCAACCAGTCGATCATGGGCTGGTAGAAGTTCATGCCGAAACTGTAGTTGTTGTCATAGTACTTGGTGGCCGGCTTCTGCCAGCGGGGGATCGGCATGCTGAGCTCGCGCTGACGAGGCATGCTGGGGTCAGGGGCCGTCGGGGGCACACGAGTGCTGCACACACACACACAGGCAACCACTCCAGGCAAAGTTCGGCTTCGTTCGACGGTAGGCTGGTCCGCTGCTGCTGGGGATCCTCTCGCACGGACTGATGGGCCTACACTGCGACAGTGGCGGCGCAGGCGGCGCAGCAGACGACGCACAGTGACCGGCCGGACAGACGGGCCGCCAGCCAGCCGCAGCCTCCCGGCCTACCGAACGCGCCCGCCCAGACGAGCTGGCAGCCGGCCTCCCCGGCCTACCTACCCCCAGCCCTCGCGGCCCGCGGCCCGCGGCCCGGCCGCCGACGCCGCCAAGTCCAAGCAGTGCGTCTGGCCAATCGGCCTTGCTCGCCGCACCAGCCACGGCCTAGCCTGCAGGCCGCGTGGTGCACTGTCGGAAACAAATTCATCGCTCCACGCGAAAACAAAACCTCGTCTGTTCGAAACAGCGTTTGTTTGCCCCACCCTTCATCTCCGTCCTCCTCCGGACTCCAGCTTCCGTTCCAGTCAGTCCCGCGCGGACAACGCGGACCCGGAGCGGGGGCCGCTCGCCGCTGGACCGGCGTTCACCCGCTTTGAGTGACAGTGTAGGGACGTCATGGTCAAGAGAGAAAGCAGGAGGCGTGCGCGGGGGTGTGAGGGGGAGAGAGAGGGAGGGACGACTGGTGTGTACGCTATTCTTAGGCACATTCTCATCACGGTGTCCACACTGCAGCGCAACCACTGTTGTGGCGCGTGGCGTGGACTTGGCGTGGACGGGGAGGGGCGGATCAAGGCGCCCCCCCCCCCTTTCCCACTCGCCTCTCGCAAGGCGTTGCCGGGCGTTGCAGTCGCAAAGCCCCCAGTCAGGGGGTCGTCGAAGGGCCGGCAGGATTTCGTCGCTCCGTCTCTCTCGCACCCCTGCGTGACGCCATAGGAGTGCGAGAGAGACGGAGGGAAAGCGCAGCGACCGTGGAGAGCGCCTGCGGTCAGGAGGCTAGGCCGTGCCGCCGAACACGCTGGACCACCGCGCGGCCTAGCCTCCAGGCGGCAGGCTGCTCTGGTGATTTCTCCGTCGAATTTTGGAAAGGACGACGCGGGACTCGCGGGACTAGCGGGGCGCTCCGCGAATGCGAGAGAGACGGAGAGTGGGCGGCGTGCTAATTGGTGATTGGCTGTCCCCCCGGCTGTCCGCGGTCCGCTCCGCCATCGCTCCGCCCGGCCGCGCGTTCCCGCCGAATTACTCAACCCCTCTCGCGTTAATCACTTTTAATTACGTTCTAAATCGGGGCTTTGCCGCTTTGCACCTTGGCTAGCTTCTAGCTCGCGGCCCCTTGGCCTCAGCAGCGCGGTGGGGGCGACTTAGGCTTTCCATGAAGCGGTGGTCTCCTCAGCGAAGAGCGGTGTGTCGTCATTTGTTTTCGTGTCACATTCTGTTAGTAACCAAAAAATAAACTTAAAAAAAAAAGCGAGTTTTTGCGTGTTTTCTTTTTTAATTTTTGTTTTATCGCGGGGACGAGATTACAGTTCTGTTTCGAGAAGGGCTGTCAGGTTGGCAGTGCCGCTCTGTCGTCGACACGATGCACCGCGATGCACAGAGTACTCGCGGGGGTTCGGATTGGCAAGTCGCGTTCGGCCGAAGCGACGCGGCGCCATCGACAGTGCAGTGCGGCCGAGCCGGGCCGAGCCGAGCCGAGCCGAGCCGAGCCGTCCGTCGAATGCCGACCGCAAGCCACGCCACTGCCGCCACTGCCCCAGTGCTGCGTTGGCGCGCCGCCAGCACGCCGAATGCACAAACGCGAAGAAAAAACACAAACTTGCAGCGACCGTTCGAAACAAAACAAAGAAAACAAACAAAAGCGCATTGTCCATTGGTCGCCGGCCGTGGTTCACGCTCTGCTTTCGCGCTTTCATCAAGAGCCTTGTGTGCCGCGCCTTTGCGGCGGGCCGCGGCAGTAGATAACGCAGCGACGTGTTTCCTCCAAACACCGCAATTTGCTTCCATTTTTGTTTTGTTTAATTTTTTTGGGAGGAGGGGCAATCTCCATCTTGTGACGCTTCAAACGACTGCTGCATCCAAAAATACATTCGTATTAATCAGTTTTTTGTTTTTCCGTTTCGTTCTGCTTTGCGCGCGAAAATGCGAAGAAATCCATATTTGGCTCGGATAAAAATAACGGCGTATTTCCTTGACCTGTTTTAGAGTCCTTAAATTTTTTTCTCCAAGTGTGCCTCTATAACTTGCTCTGCCAAGCGAACAAAGGTGGGTGTGGTCATCTAGAGGCGGCTTCCCCTCACCTACGCTGTAAATTGGGTGGCAACACTGTGTCGGGCGGGCAGTACGTCCGGCCGGATTACGAGGTGGAGACTGCAGCGACGCGGCGACAAAGTCACAAAAACAAAACAGAAAATGAAGACAGCCGCTGGCTTGCCGCTGAGCCGCCCCGCGGAAATCGCCGGCGCTGAAAAGAAAAAGCAGTCGCCGACACGTCACCGACGAATGGCAGAAAATGCGGGTCCTTGCAGACCGATTCCGCTGGTCGTCGCTCTGTCTCTCTCGCACCTTCACGGAGCGCCCATGAGTGCGAGAGAGACAGAGGGACGAGTGGGCCGGTTGACCAACCGCGGCGGATCGGCATGTCGGAGTGGAGCACGTGGCGCGTCGCTCGCGTTGCATCCCCGAGGCCCGGCGGCCCCGACCTCGCCGCGACACGTCATGGAATGCAGGTTCACGTTCACGGCGTTCATGGCAGTGATCTTGAACCTGTCTATGCGACCGCCAGGCCGCCAGGGCGAGGCGTCGCGACGGGCCATGCCTCATCGGCCGGCTAGAATTAGATGCAGCGACACCCGCCTGGGGGAGGAAGAGAGGGCGAGAGAGAGGGAAGTGAAAAGAGAAATCCGTTGCAGTCGCACACGGATGTTAAGACAGGCCAGATCGGCCTTTTTTTTCCTTCAAAAAAGTGAAAACTCCGATTTTTCTGCTTTTAAAAAGTTTGTTGTTGATTTCTTTCAAAAGTGCTAGGGTACAAAGGATTTGACACAGTGGCTAATCCTGAACTGACACGTTCTGAGTTCGATTCGAGAATACATCAACCCTTTTTTTTGTCCTTTTTCAGCCCTGTCGGGCGACTGGGGGCGCGGCGGGTGGCCTTTTTCGGCCACGTTTTTTCGCGCCGCCGCGCCGCGTCTGCCAGTGGGACTAAGTGCTGGCGCTGTCGGTGCGATGCAAATGGAGTGCTGAGTGAGACGGTGAGACGGCGAGGGAAGGCCGCGCCAACTTTCGGCACGCTCTCAGATTCCCTTGTCGCAGGAAGAGTGTTGTCAGTTTAGAGTACAACCTGTTGGGTCTCCCGCCCGCCGCGCCCCGCGCCAGCCGACACGGACACGGCCGAGACGTCGAGACGTGGCGGTGGTGGCCGCCGTGGTGGCGGTCGCTCCCTCGCGCTAGCCAGAGGCCGAACAACGGCGTCGCCCTGTCTCTCTCGCACCCTCACGGACGCCCCGAGGGTGCGAGAGAGACAGAGCGCTGTTCGGAATCGCCCTGCTGAGGCTGCTGAGGCGGCCAGAGGTTCGAACGGCCTATTTCTGTCGCCTAATTATTATTGTCGCAGCGGGCCGACCGTTTGGCCGTTTGGCCGTTCAGCGCCGAAGGTGAAAATTTGGCGGGCGGTGGGGGTCGTGCTCGCTTGCCTCGGCGTTACGTCATTGGTGCACGGGTCGTAACGCCGAGAACGAGAAACGTTCCGCCGTCCAGTTGGGCGGCTTGCGGCGTTCGTGACGGACGGCAGTCCACACTGTGATGACACTCCAGATGCCGCCGTCTCTGTGGCGCTCGCGGGGCGCCTCGTAGGCCCGTGGGGGTGCGAGAGAGACGGAGGGAATGAGCCGCCGACGGGCCGCTCGATGCAATGGCCGTATCGGCCGGCGAAATCAGCTTTCGGCCTCCGTGTGGCACCTGAGGCGCGGGCCCCGGCCCACAGTGGGCCAGAAGACCGGTGGAGGCGGACAAAACTCTAGACGCGAATTGAGCTCCAGAGTCGCTAAACAGACCTCGAACCGAACGTGTGACCCCACCAATGGATTCCTCGTTCGGAGAGCAATTCATTGGTGGGGTCACACGTTCGGTTCGAGGCTTGTTTAGTGACTCTGGAGCTCGAAACGCGTCTAGAGTTTTGGCCGCCTCCGCCGGTCTTCCGGCCCACTGTGCGGCCAGCCCCGGCAAGCCCCGGCCAGGCCAGCCTTGGCGCGTTGGCACCCGGTGTGGTGGACATTGTTTCCGACCGACGGAACTCAAGCTCGGGGCTGCGCCGGGCTGCGCGCTGAGTGAGTCCGTCCGAGTCTCTCTCTCCCCCTTCGGAACGCCAACGCACAGAAGACCAGTAACGCGCAAAGCATGGCTTGGGCTTAGGTAGTGTCCGAGTACTCCAAGGGCGTGGCGGTCCCGCCAGGACAGACAGATCGGACGGCATCTGCCCGCTTGTAATTGCAAAGGTGGCCCGGCCCGGCCCGGCCCGGCATTGGCAGGCCTCTAACGCGGATCGGGCTTGCAGCGTGCCTGCAGGCAGGACTATAGCGGGGCTCCGTCTATGAATGTAGCCAGGCGAAAATAGCGAGGACGCTCCGCGACGAACAATAGGCCGGGCCACGCCAGGGCAGTCAGGGCATCAAGGATCAACGCCGCGCGCTCTCTCTCTCTCCCTCTCTCTTCCTCTCAGTCCCCCCCCCCTCTCTCTCTCTCTCTCGCACCCGTACGCAACGCCGCGCGAGTGCGAGAGAGACAGGGCGACGAAACCGGGGGAGGGGCGGCAGGGCTGGTCGCTTTGACTTAGTGCCAGGCCCCGAGCCCCGACCGGCGCGCTGCGGAGCGCTGAACGCCCCACGGTCAAGACGCCTCTAGAGACAGTCCAGGTATCGCCATGGCTCCACCCTCGCGGTCTCCGTCTCTCTCGCACTCGTGCGGCGCCGCTGGCACGAGGGTGACAGAGCGACTCTCAGCACGGGTTTGTTCTGGATTGTCCACACAAGGGCACGCTGAATCGATGACAGCTGTGTGTGTGTGGGGGGGGGGGTAGTATTTTCCAAAACGGTGGTAACGAACCTCTCCAGACAAACAGCTCACTAGAAAAGGAAACTCTTCTGCAAGGAGACAGCTCGACTCAAGAAAAGAGGTACTTCCATGTTTTACAATCAAGTGAGCCATGTGTGAAACCGGAAACCGGAACAATTTGGGCGACAACCGCGGACACAAAACACACACAATTTCGCTTGTGTATCCAAGGCCACGCCACATCGAAGGGGCGGTTTTTTTTTCTGTTTTTGTGGTCCTATTATTGAACACGCATCCGTCCGGTGTGGTTGTCGCGGCATCCCATCACGACACCGCACGACACCGTCGAGGTCTCGTTACAGGTCGTCTGCCCCAATCACAGGTACGACCGGGCCGGGCCCGGCGGGCCCCGCTAACGCCGCTAACGCCACTAACGCCCTATAGCCGCGCGTGCCTGCCGGTTGTTTATGCTTTTGTTTAGACGGCGTGCCCCGGGGGACCGACACTGGGGCCACCGGGGGCACCACGCGAGGCGGGGCTCGATCGCCCCCTCCCCGCCAAGGACAAACAACATGAATGGCAGCCGATGCCAGCGGTAAATCCCGGGAGTGCGTGCCGGCCGAGCAGTTGCCGGGCCGGGCCGGGGGGGCGTAGGGTCAGTCCGGGTTAACTGCCGAGGGCGGCACTACGCGGTGTCTCGCAGTATCCGCAGCCCGGCGCCTCCAGTACGGCGTGCTCCCCCTTGGGGTCCCCGCAGCGCAAAGGCCCGCCAAAGGCAGCAGCATGGCGCCATGGGCCTCTTGGGCCCGCATGACGGCCTCCTTGGCCGTGCACCCCCGCGGACCGTCCGCCCGGTCCACCCCCGCGACTGGGACCAAGCGGACTACTCCCGCGCGACGACCGCCACCCTCGGCGACGACCTGGACGAGCTGGGCAGCCGCCACCGCCGGCGGCCCAGCGCCGACCCGCCGCCGCGCTTCCTGGACGTGGTGAAGAGGAAGCCGCCGACGCCGCACATGCAGCTGTTCATGCTGGGATGTAGGTACTCAGCCGTTTTCGCAGATTTTGGGCGGCCACTGTGTCTGATCTAATTGCGGCCAACGGCCTCCCTCGACGTCCTAGTATTCTTAAGACCCTACTCTTTCATGCCCTGTATCGGGAAGACGTTGACCACAACGATTTTGGCTTTGACCGCAACGATTTTCCGACCAAATTGGTCAAAAAGTGGTCGAATCACGGAAATTTGCTGATTTTGCTGACTTTGGGTGGCCACTGTGTCCAATGTAGTTGCCGTAAAAGGCCTCCCTCGACGTCCTAGTATTCTTAAGACCCTACTCTTTCATGCCCCGTATCGGGAAGACGTTGACCACAACGATTTTGGCTTTGACCGCAACGATTTTCCGACCAAGTTGGTCAAAAAGTGGTCGAATCACGGAAATTTGCTGATTTTGCTGACTTTGGGTGGCCACTGTGTCCAATGTAGTTGCCGTAAAAGGCCTCCCTCGACGTCCTAGTATTCTTAAGACCCTACTCTTTCATGCCCCGTATCGGGAAGACGTTGACCACAACGATTTTGGCTTTGACCGCAACGATTTTCCGACCAAGTTGGTCAAAAAGTGGTCGAATCACGGAAATTTGCTGATTTTGCTGACTTTGGGTGGCCACTGTGTCCAATGTAGTTGCCGTAAAAGGCCTCCCTCGACGTCCTAGTATTCTTAAGACCCTACTCTTTCATGCCCCGTATCGGGAAGACGTTGACCACAACGATTTTGGCTTTGACCGCAACGATTTTCCGACCAAGTTGGTCAAAAAGTGGTCGAATCTCGGAAATTTGCTAATTTTGCTGACTTTGGGCGGCCACTGTGTCCAATCTAGTTGCCGTAAAAGGCTTCCCTTGACGCCCTAGTATTCTTAAGACCCTACTCTTTCGTGCCCTGCATCGGGAAGGCTTTTGACCGCAACTAGTTTGGGAGCGGTAGCCTCACAAAGTTGGTCATGAAGGGTAAAAACATAATGATAATCGGGGGCCTTTTGCGGTCTTATCCACTGGGGCCTTTTGGGGGCCAGTCCGAGCCTGCTCGAGGTACTCCGGGGCTGGAACGTGCTGAGTCTTATTCGCGCGCTGTGGACACGTTTCTGTGTCCAGATGGCGAGACGAACGGCAAGGACGCTGGAGGCCAAGGCGCTGGCGCGAACCCCGCCGTGGTGGACGCGGCGCCGACGCTCGCGACCACGCGCAGCACGTGGAGCGAGGCCGGGGCGCGGGGCGTGTCCCGGACGCGGCACGACCACGCCGCCGACTCCCCCGACGAGGATGACGACGACGGCGACCGTGGCGCGGGGACCACCGCCCCCGCCGACGAGCACCCCGACGCGTTCGCCAACGCCATGCGCTTCCCGCTCCGCGTCGGCCAGGCGTTGTCGGTGCTGCCGGTGGACGCCATGACGGGGGCCCGGAGCCGGCCGCGCGCCGTCTACTCCGTCGTCACCAACGTCGGCCTCAGCCTCCTCGCCATCCTCAGCGCCGTCATGCAGCTGAGCAAGCCGAAGCGGCCCGACCTCGTCGAGTTCAGTACGTGCCTCCTTTTAAGAACCGCGACCGGAAATTGGAATGGCCACAGCGCAGCTCAGTCTCCTGTCTGGACCGCGTGTTGCAGTGGTGGTCGTGTTCTACACCATGGCCGCCATCAACTCCTGGCTGTTCTACCGCCTGGGCCGGCGCTGGTGGGCGGCGCTGCTGCGGGCGTTCCGGGTGCAGGACCGCAGGCAGGGGCCGTGTCCGGGGCTGCGCCGGAAGATCTTCGCCATCTCCTCGCTGCTGCTCGGCGTCTCCTTCGGTAGCAAACGGCTGATGGACGACGGCGTCCTCGTCCGCGCCGCGCCCTCCGTTCAAGGTGTGCTTCGTGTTCCAGTGGAGCACAGCCTGTCCGAGATGACCGCCGTCGTTGGGCTCAGCCGGGCGCACCCGAACGCCTCCTCCTTCAGCGAGTGCCTGGAGCTCTACTACTACGCCAACTACCCCATGGTTGGACTTGGCACTGGCTCCCCCCCTCCCCCCCCCCGCTTGTTTTTTCTCAGTTTTCACGTCGGTGCTGTTCGGCAGGTCATCATGGCCGTGGGCTACTGGCCCTTCATGGCGCCCTTCGCGTTCATGCTCAACTTTGTGGCCACCTTCCTCTGGAACTTCAACGACTTGTTCCTCATGTCGATGGGCGTGGCCGTGGCGAGCCGCTTCGAGTTCCTGCGCGAGTCCATCGAGAAGGACGTCGGCGACGTGCTGGACGCCAAGGTGCGGCAACGCGGCGCCGGGTATCGACTGGAGTCCTAGAGTTCTACAACTTGGTTCTGGGACTATCGACTAGAGTCTCAGAACTAGTTCTAGAAGTTGGTTCTAGGACTCTAGAGCTGCGCCACGCCGAGGCGACGCGACGCGGCGTGTGCCTGCGTGTGTCATAGTGTCTCTGACGCGCGGGTGTCTGCAGGCCGCGGGCACGACGCCGCGCCTGCTGGGCAAGGCGTACTGGCGCTCGGCGCGCCGCGCCTACAACGCCCTCAGCAAGCTGGCCCGGCTGGTGGACCAGGCCCTCAACGTGCAGCTCTTCGTGTCCTTCCTCAACAACCTCTACTTCGTCTGCATGCAGCTACTCAGGGGATTCGAGTGAGTGCTCGAAAAATCGTCTCGTCGCTCCGTCTCTGTCGCACTCGACGGGCTCCCGGTGGGTGCGAGAGAGACAGAGCGACAAACCGCTCTTCCCGATCTCAAATGGCTCTCCTGCCTCCAGCGGCCCGTCCGTCCGGTGGTGGGAGTCGCTGTACATCCTGTTCTCCTTCGGCTTCCTCGTGGTGCGAACCTCGGCGGTGTGCCTGATGGCGGCCTCGGTGGTGGAGAACAGCCGCTCCGTGCTGGGGGTGCTGCACTCCGTGTGCTCGGAGGACTACAACGAGGAGGTGAGTGGAGTGAACACCCTGCCGAACCGGCTCCAATGCTTTGCGCTTTGACGGCCTCCTTCTCGCGGACAGGTGCACCGGTTCCTGGTGCAGGTGGCGTCGGACGACGTCGCCCTCACGGGGCTCAACATGTTCAAGGTGACGCGGGGGCTGCTGCTCACCGTGGCGGGCACCATCCTCACCTACGAGGTCGTCCTGGTGCAGCTGCACTGAAAGTAACCCGACTGTGATACGCAATAAAGAGTTAAGTGGGAGAGTGCAGCCCCGGCCACCTCATTGCCACAGCAGGACGCCGTGCACCACAACTCGCTGCCAAAAGAGCTGCATCGGCCGGGAATCGAACCCGGGCCGCCCGCGTGGCAGGCGAGCATTCTACCACTGAACCACCGATGCTCACATGTGTCGTAATGGACTACGGACAACGACTTTTGGTGGGGGTATGAGCAGCGGCGCTCCCGGGCCCCAGACCACGCCCCACTTGCCCGGCGCGCCGACCGCGGGCCCCGAGACGCGGCTGGCGCGGCCGGCGCGGCCCCCTACCCGAATCCGCCGCCGAGTGCCGAGCGGTACCGAGCGGCGGGGCGGGCAGCGCGCCGGGGAAGGGAAGGACCGAGGAGCCGAACACAGTCAACACAACAGCGCGTAGGAAAACAGTCTTTTAATTATCGCAAGTTCATACAGTGGTGGAGATGCGACGCGGCAAGAGTCGCGTGATGCGGCGGCCTGGCCAGAGCGGCCAGAGCTTGGTGATCCTCTTCACTTCCTGAGCCCGGTCTTGGGCATGGCCTCCACCTCCTTCTTGAGGACGGCCAGCTTGGTGAGCGCGGCGTCGCGCCACTGCCGGCGCTCCTGCAGCTTGTCCAGGGGGATGCGGTCGCATAGCTGCTTGTCCACGGAGGCCAGGACGGCGCCCTGCATGTGCGGCACGGGGCCCATTCCGCTGCTCACGCTGTGGATCGTGGTCGCGTAGCGCTCGGCGTAGCTCTGCATGCCTGGAGCACAACACGGAAACTGTTAGGGGGAGAAATCGCTCGCAGAGGCTGCGCTAAAGATTGCTGCTTACCCTCGGCGTTGAGGTGCGCGGTCTCGAGCGCCCCCAGGAAGGCGTAGCGGGGGCCGAGGCCCTCCGACATGACCTTGTCCACGTCGGTGACGTCAAGGACGCCGTCCGCCACCTGGCGCCACACCTCGTTCAGGATGACGTACTGGATGCGGTTCAGGGAGAAGCCGGGGACCTCCTTCTTGAGGGACACGGGCACCTGCCCGGTCTCCTCCATGATGGCCCTGACCTTGACGGCCACCCAGGACTCGGTGTAGGGCGCCGGCACCAGCTCCACCAGGCGGACGTAGTAGGGCGGGTTCACCGGGTGCGCCACGATGAAGCGCTCCTTGTTCTTCAGGTCCTTGCTGAGGATGGAGGGCATGTGGGTGGACGTGGAGCTGGCGATGATGGTGGGGGCCTGGACCACGGCGTCCAGGTCACGCAGGGCCTTCATCTTGATGTCCAGGATCTCCGGGGTGCACTCCTGCACCATCAAGGCGCCCGCCACGCACTCCTTGAGGCTAGTGGTGCCTGCGAGAGTCAGCATGAGTCAGAGGCAGTCTCGACGGCCACCCCGCGGGCACTTCGCGCTGCGGACCTTACCTGAGATGAGCGCCATCTGCTGCTTGGCGGTCCTGGTGCCGCGCAGCAGCTTGGTCTTCTCCAGCTCGGCGAGCTGGCTCTCGATCTCCTTCAAGGCGCCCTGCACCTGCTTGGGCTCGATGTCGAACAGCCTGACCTGGTAGCCGGCCGCGGCGAACAGCATCGCCCAGCTGCGGCCGATCAGCCCGCTGCAACAACACCGCCGGTGTCAACCACACCGTCATCGCCTTCCCGCGCCCGGGGGGCCGAGGCCTTGCTCACCTCCCCAGGATGCCGATGGTCTCCATGTCGATGTGCTCGGTGTTGCTTGTTGTGCCGCGCGCTGGTGAAGCCGGTGTCTCGGACGCGCGCGCGAGCCTGTTGCTTTTACTCCCGTTGCTATCACCGGCTTCGCGGCACTTCGCGGGGCCGCGTCCGGGACGATCCCCGCCGCCCTTTACGTCCCACTGCCGCCCCGGCGATAACGGCACCACTCGGACGCCACCGCGCCAACGCCATGGCTATCAGTGGGCTCCGTCCGAACAGCGCCCTGTCCCTCTCGCACCCTTACGGGACGCCGCAGCAGCGCGAGGGAGACGGAGCGCCGCTGTTCGGAGTCAGCCTGCCGCCTGCTTAACCTTGAAAAGAGAGCGTCAACAGGTGAAGGTGTTGCCGGGTAGCGTCCCAGAACGCCCACTCACTCCCACGCGACGTGGGCGACGCCACAACGCATCCCGCATCATTCGCCTACACTGTAGGCACTCGCACTCCGCCGGCGAACGCCGCCAGGTCAAGTACCAACAACGTCCCATTTGACGAAAACGAAAATCTGCTCCCACATTGCAAGCGGCGCGAAGGACGCGAAGGCAGCATCCTGTATCTCCTTTTATTTGAGGCCCTAAACAACAACAGTCCGATAGCGGCGGGCCGGCGCGGCTTTCCTCCTAGTCTGGCCATCGAATCGCCTTGCCCACTATCGCGGATGGCTTTCAGATGGAGTGACGGCAACCACTTGACACCTTGTGTGTTAGTAGTCTGGGTTGCCTCACCTGGATCTCTCCGCCTCTAACCATGAGAGGACCTCATGCTCTGACTTGCGTTAGTGGGGTGAGAGGACTCAGTAAAAGTGCAAGAAGCGTTTCATTTGACTAGCTATTTATTTCTTTAGTTGCAGCCGTACACAGACACTCGCGCTCACTCTGAGCAACTTGGGAGACGCTTGCATCTTACATCACAAAAGAGACTAAAAACGAAAATAAATACGTACACATGACATAAATTAAAGATCAGTCTGGCTCCGTCCGTCGGGTCGGAGTACATGGCGACAGCGACCGCTGTCCCAATCACACTGTGAATACTTGCAGACGCTTTAGGTCAAGCAAGACGATTAACTTTTCATCACTCTAGGACAATCTCACCACAAATGGATGACATTTTCATGAAAACTTGTATTCCTATGGGCGTGACAAGAATGTCATCAACTGATTTGATGACAATCTTGTAATGTAAGAAAATTTAGCATTGTCAGCAAGTGACAACCAAAATTTTTGCAGCGCAGTAACGGATCGGTTTTGGTTAGGTTCGGGTGGCGGTGGTGACTAGCGCTGAAGCCACAGCAGGGCGGCCAGCGCGGCCAGCACGGCGCGGAGGCTGGGCAGGGCGAAGTCACCGCTAGAGGGCGCGGCGGTGGTGGTGGTGGTGGTGGTGGTGGTGCCGTCACTGGGGTCGTCGCTGGGGAACGTGAGCACGGGGATGCGACGCGTCTCGCCGATGTGCTGGAAGAACCAGGCCGAGTCCTTGAGCGTTCGCGCCAGCGTGCCGTTTTCGTAGTCCACGTGCACCAGGCCGAAGCGACGTCTGCGGACAGGACGGACAACACAGTCACGGTGAGCAGTCGCTGGATTCACCCCACGCGGTGGAGACTCGCAAATGGCAGGAGTTGACAGTCACTCCGAGTCTCTCAGGCACGGAGTATCGACTTTCGAGACTTTCTACACTGCCTACACTCCGCGCTGGTACTGTCTCTCGCGGGTGGCGTATCGACGGGGCCACTGATAGCACCGCCCAAGTGGTCCAACCAGTTGGCGCGCCGCGAGGTATCACGTGTCGCTCTTGGAAGCGGCCTGTGAATCATCCTCACCCGTAGTTGGCCGTCCACTCGTAGCTGTCGAGGAGACTCCACGCCAAGTAACCGATCACGTTGACGTTGTCCTCCTTGATGGTCTTGATGAGGGTGCGCAGGTACTCCTGCAAAACGACGCACGATGAGGACGCTGCCATGGCGGCGGAGGGAGGGGACTTTGGGCGACCGTACTCACGCTGTGGTAGGCGGAGCGGTAGGGCTCGTCGTGCATGGGGAGGTTGCCGTGGATGCCCTCGTCGCCCCAGCCGTTCTCGGTGATGAAGATGGGCATGTCGTAGTTGTCGCGGATCCACATGGTGGCCTCCCGGAGCACCTCGGGGGTGCACTGCAAGCAAAGACATCGGCTTAGAGAGGGAAGGAACCCCTCCACCCGAAACAATGTTTAATGCTTACGTGCTCAAACATGCCCTGCATGTTGCCCGGAGTGGCGGGCCGCGCGCTGGTCTCGATGGCGTCGCGGTCGGACGCCATGTCGCCGTACTGGCTCGTCTTGGGGGCGTGGGAGTTGTCCGCCATCACGTTGGCCATGTAGGCGTTGAAGGAGAGGAAGTCAGCGGCGCCTGCGACGCCAACCGGGATTAGAGTCCGTGCCGCGACTCTGCCCCATGAGTGCGAGGGAGACGGAGCGAATAAGACCGCTGCTCTGCTTACCCCTGATGAGCTCCTTCTGCTCGGGCGTGAAGGTCGGCAGTCTCGACTCGGTGAGGCCCTCCTCCAGACTCTTCTTGAGGATGTTCCTCTTCATGAGCTCGGGGTAGTCGCCGTGCACCAAGGGGCCGTAGATGGCGCCCAGGGTGTACAGGTTGGTGCGCTCCGCGGCCTGGATGTCCTCGTACTTAGTGGAGTTTGGGGTGGCCCAGAGGGTCAGCGCGGCAGCGCCCACTCGGCCTGCACCGAAAGGTTGGCGGTTCAAACACTCCCTCGCATTGCTTTTGAAACTCGTGCAAGGCAAGGCAAGACAACCCACCCTGCTGCGTGGCCTTAAACTCGCGCTCGTAGAGGCGGTAGGCCGCGGCGTGGGCCAGCACGGTGTGGTGGGAGCACTTGTAGTCGTCGCCGGGCTGCCTGGTGTAGAGGCCGGGCAGCTCGATCACGGCGAAGTTCATGCAGTAGTAGTTGGGCTCGTTGACGGTAGTCCACAGCTTCACCTGCCAAAGCACGCAGAGCACGCAAAGCCGTCAGTGTCAGCGCGTCAGCTCACTCGGCGGCCCCCTAGGCAGCCCCCTCGGCAGCCCGCCTCTACTCACTCGGTCCCCGAAGGTCCTGAACAGGAAGCCGGCGTACTCCTCGAAGGCGGGCACGATCCTGGGGTCGGTCCAGCCGCCCGTCCTCCGCATCACGGCCAGCGGGTAGTCGAAGTGGTTCATGGTGACCTGCCGGACGAAACCGAGCCGTCACACGGAAGCCCAACTCGCGGCGACTCGGTTACCTCTTTCTCGCCCCTACTCACCATCGGCTGAATGTTGTTCTTGACCAGCTCGTCGATCACGTTGTTGTAGTACTGGACGCCCTCGGGGTTCGGGTTGGAGATGTTGCCGTCGGGGAAAAGGCGCGACCAGTCCACGGAGAAGCGGTACGCTTGCAGCTGGAAGAGCAGGCACGTCAAGCCGGGTAACAACATGAACATGAACACGACAGGCTCGGCAGCAGCCAGTTCGCGGTCTCCTGCCGCCCACCTTGAGCTGGGCGGCCATCTCGACGTCCTCCTTGTAGCGGTGGTACGAGTCGGCGGCGCGGTCGGGCGGCACCAGGCTTGGGGCGCCTGGGGGCAGCTCTCCGGAGTTGGCCACGATGTAGTCCATGACGCTCATGCCCTTGCCGCCCTCCGTGGCCGCGCCCTCGGTCTGCATGGCGGAGGAGCCCGCCCCGAAGATGAAGCCCTCGGGCAGCGCCGAGTACTCGCCCGAGTCGTCCACGGCCGGGGGCGGCGTCGGGGAGGCGGCCGCCAGCACGGCTAACACTCCGAGCCCCACGACGAGCAGCAGCGGCGCTCTCCACATGGCGGTGCTGGTGTTCATGGCGGTCTGTGTCTAGGTTCCGTCCCTTGCGGCTCCTCGAAGCGACGTGCCGATATTCCGCCAGTACCAGGTTTTAAACCAACCTCGGCCGGTACTCGAGGCTGAGTCCAGCCGTCGGATTACTCGTCTCTGAGAACCCTGTGAGTGCTTCAGGAGAAGGACGCGGAGAATGACGCGCAGGCAGGCAGGCAGGCAGGCAGGCGGCGGGCACTCGACATTTTCTATTGCTCCGTTGTTGCATGTGTTGCGCACTTTTGAACTGGTGCGTGACGACGTTTCTGTGCAGAGACCTGGCTCGTAGGGATCCTTAACAAATCATGCAAACATGCGCGCCCAGAAGGAGAGGAACATAAATGGTCTGCTCTTTGAACTGTCGGTAAAGGCCACAGCATTTTTTGCCTCGGTCCTTTTGACCCTGAAGCCGCCTTAAGGGTTGCCAAAAGGCGCCACTGTGCCTCGTAAGCGGTCCAAAAGTGGTCCCTTGCCCCTTCCTCAGGCATGCCCCAGGCGGGCCCTGGGTCCGCCACCTTCCAGCCGTTCCAGCTCCAGGTGCCGAGGCGCCTGCAGCGCAGAGGGGTGCAGGCCCGCAGTGCCTACCCACATTACCATTAAGGGCTAGACCACACATGATCGTGGCGCTCTGGCCACGGGCGAAAGTCACTAGGGAGTTAAGTGCCGTTTAAAATGCTAACTAATGCCTTAAAATGTTTACAAATGTGAAATTTATGAGCAAATCAAAATGTACTCACCCGTACTCATGTACTCATGTGTACACCAGAACGCCGAGTGATTCACCCCTCGGTGCACGCGGTGACCGCGTGGTGGCGTGGAAGGAGGCTGGCGTGCTGCTGCAGGTGCGGTGCTTCAGATGGTCTTCCCCCGAGCTCAAAGCTCGACGGACCGGCCGAGGACTCATGTCTTTCGGCGAATAGCACTCACGGACATCGAGGGCGGTGGTGCAATGTGGCCTCTGCGTTGCTCAACCACCGAGATTTCGTTTCAAGCTCGCGTACTTGATCATAAGCCGCATTGCCGTTTCGGACTTTCATTGATTAAAAGTACGCATTTCTCTTCTAATTGGAAGAAGACATGAAATTTTTGTTTATCGCCACGATAATTTTGAAATAAATCTGCCGGTTTCAAGCCTAGAAATAATCCAAGAAAACGCAAACAGTTGCCACGATTGCATGAAAGTATTCACAGGAAGCTCTTGAGGCCGATATCGCTATGTACGACGCAATAGTGTGTTTTCGTCTCGGCGAGCTCACTCACAAGTTGCTCGGAAAAGAAAAAAAAAACTTCACCGTGGCATTTCTCCCGCGGCACGACATCGCTTGGGAAAGCGCCTGAAAGCCATTCAGGTGCTAACAACTTCTTCTTCTTTTTTATTAGAAAAAATTGTAATGAGCCATTAGGCATTTGAACATCCCCCATGTGGCCCTATGTGTACCAGAACCGGTGGGCCAGGAACCCCGAGATAAAATGAGAGGTATGCTGGCCCACCAGACACTGCTCCCCGCACCCGCAGGCCAGAGGGGGCAAAAGCAGAGGGGAATGGTGCGGGCGTGTTTGGCGGGACTGCACACCTCTAATTTTGTCGCGGCGTTTCTGCACCACCTGGTACAGGCTATCCAATGGGCAGTGTGTTTGGATGACAAAGGTGGTGCGACATCAAAGTCGATTCTTGCAAACGAGGAGAACTAAATGATCGCCACTCACCCACCCATGAACATGCTTCCCCTGAAGATGTGTTGATAACGCTCACACTCGACAAACTTCAAACGGATACTTGTGCTTCGCGAGATGAGATTCGAGTGGAGAGCCCCAACCGCACTCGTGTGCTCCAGTGCAAACCAAAATTGTGGATTTATTTGCTTAATAAATAAATGGCCCCTGTGTTCTAATGCATTTTCCACTTCCACACGTGGATCACGAAGACTTTGCTATTTTCGAGTATGGCTCTAGTAGGCTCGCTCAGACTTATCCCCTTTCCCCCAAAAAAATCGTTGAACGTCATAATTTTGGACAAAGAAAACGTGTGAGAAACCCAAGAGGATCGCCTTCGAAATCAACTTCCTGAAGAAAAACCTCGTCCCTGTAACCTTAAGAGTAAAGAACAAAGTCCTATACTTGCAGAGGGGATTACAGGCCTCTAATGTCCCAGACAGAAAAAGTTTTCATACCGAACCGAACCAAACCGGCTGTCCCCTTATGAAAAATTGCAAGTAGCAGAAACTAGCTTAGCATGTGAGCTTAACTTAACCTCTGTTACACAATTTTTTCTGATTTTGTTGTTTAGCCTTGTGTATTGTGACTGCAACCCAATTAATTTTAGCCGAATTCTTAATGGTCTGTCACAAAGCGGTCACGCAATGTTCCGAAAACATCTTCCAGTATTACAAAGAAGGGTGCGATTTACTAGTGGGGCTTTTCAGAAGGTGAGTCCGCTGTATTAAACATTATTAAAGAGTTATTTTCGAATGACAGTCGGGTACTTATCGTCCCCGACGCATTTTATGTGCTACCATCGTTGAATTCAAGATAAACATGCGGTGACCAGTTTTCCTCGAACATTGGCTCTTTGAAATGTTTTTCATTCTGTCTCTTCTTCAATCTTCCCACTCACTTGGTTCTTTAAATTCTAATATAAACATGTAAATAATGTTGTTGATCTGGCAAAAGTTCATCAAATTATTTTTATTACCGATCCTATAAGAGTGATGCATCTACACCTGCCCTTGCTCTTTTACATCATGTGTCTTTTGTTTATTCTTTTTACAGGGAAAAATAACTCAAAACGTAAGTCAAGCAATAGTCCCAGTACATCAGCCACTGCTTCAGCCGCACCCATCATTTTGCATTGTGAGACATGCAAGCACCAATTCTGTTGTCCCTCCAATAATTGCCAAAGCCATTGAGGCTTCATCACCACAATCAAGTGACGCTCTGCAATCATCAAACATTCAGTCACTTATTGAAACTATTGGGCCAATACCAGAAGCACCAAATCTTCCGGGACCCAAAGTTTTGGAATTACTTTCGGTATTTGATTTATTTGCCTTAGTCAAACACTGTGTTTGTTAAATTTTGTCTTATGGCAAGTAATTTCTTTTCCTTGCTCTCTCTCCCTCTCTCTCTCTATCTCTCTTGAAGAATGGTGAACCAAGTTTATCTAGTCTGGGTCTTGGTGGCTATTATCCTACGGGAATTCTCCAACAACTTTTGGAATTGGTCCATGTTTCAGCGGACTTGCCTTGGGGATGGACCATCGTGTCTGGTTAGTTCACAGAAAAGAATTGGTTTTATATTTGTTCAAATTCATTACTGCACTAAACAAGGTTTTCTGTCTAGTTGCTGCTGCGATCCGTATTCTCTGTTTTAAACTTGTTGTGAGACAAAGGCAAGAGAGTGCCAAAATGGTCTCTGTCATGCCTCAGTTAACATTTCTTCAGCAGAAAGTGCTTGAGGCTCGTCAGCAAAATGATATGTTTCAAGGTAATTTGTTAGTTACGTTTCGTTAGTTAATATACTATTTGACAAATATTTTTCAAGACCTCTAACAAATTTGTGCTTTTTAGCTGCCAAATATGCAAGGGAACTGTCATCATTCCAGGAGAACATGCCATCCTTGTTTTCTTCACTGAAATATGGAGTAGCTCAGGTAATTATATGTACATCCACAAGAATTATCGTCGCAGCTATCATTACTTAGGATCTGTGTATTTTCTGCCACACCTCCCTCTTCATGTACAATATGTTTGATACAACTATTTCTTAAAAATGTGCCCCTTTCTAATTTTATTATTATTGAGACTTTGTTTCTATCCTTTCTAGGGTGCCATACTCATCAGCTTTACACAAGCTTTGAGACAAATGTGTAATCTGCCTGTAGAAAGTCTCCAGACTGGTGGCTTCTCTTTTATGATGGACTTAACTCTTAGAGATCCCACCTACATTCTCCCATTAATAAATGGGTTGTTGTTCTACCTTCACCTGGCTGTAAGTATTTGAGAGATCAGATTTGTCTGTTCTAGCAATTAGCTGATCCAGACTCTTTTTCTCTCCTTTTGAACAGTTTGGCAAGGAAATGCATGCCTTGTTTCCTGGAAAAAGCCCCTGGCTTATTCAACTAGGCATGGGAGGTGTATCAGCTGGTCTGTTTCTTCTTAGTATAAACTTTCAAGGTGTAAGTATATCAGAATTTACGTTTCTTTTTTAAAATCTACGCCTGTTTTGTTACCGTATCCTTTTATCATTTCCCAGGCTATTGTTTTGTACTGGATATCTTCACAAGTAGTCACAGTTGTCCAACATAGAATTCTAAGCATGCCTAAAGTAAAAAAATATTATAAGTTGGAGGTATCTGGGAGCCCAACAGTTGCAGCAATGTTAAAGAAAGAAGCTGATAAGAAGAAGTCCGGTGTGCAGAATCTTGGATTTTATGCTCGTTTTAAAGAAGGTAATTATATAGCCAGCCACTGCAGCATATGTCAAGTCATTGTTTTCAATGATTACTTTTGTCTTCCTAGGACGAGCCAATAACAGAATAGCAGAAGAAGTTAGGCGAAGGACTGAACTCGACAGTGCTGCATTTGAAAGAGCAGGACGTGAGCCTATCAGAAAAACCTACAAATACGACATAACAAAGCAAAAAAATAAATAATTAAAGTGTGGTTTAGTGGCCAGAATAAATATGTGTTTTCAAATATGTACATTTTTTTATTATTTACCCCACTGACTTAAATTAATGCAGAATAAAGACCTGTTAACATGCTGCCAACACTGTTTCATAATTTTGGATCAGTGAAGGCTCCTGCAAGACATTCATTGATTACTCTAATCAGATGAGAGTTTTCTAAAGCAGCAGCAACCCTCTCCTTATCCGCAAGTTGCTTATTGACAGCCTCCTCAGAAACATGTGCGCCAGGAGATATTTTGACAGATACTTTGAATCTAGAACAGAGTAACAATGAAGAAATTAGGAGGTCAACAGTCGGAATCAAGAACCAAATGTAAATAGCTGTTACACTTAGTTACCTAGACGGCAGAGTCCTCAATAACTGGACCCTAATACAGAGACCAATAAGAGTAGCCATACTGCAATGAGGAATCGTTGGAGTGTAAGTCACATCAATAGTATTTCTTGCATCATCAACCTGAAATAAAAAAATGGATTAGAGAACGAGTGACATTGGCTGTGTTAATTAAAAGACCAAGTTCTAACTTACGACTACAAGCCGTTCCTCAACAACATTCAGCTCTTCCAAAGAGAGAGGATGTTCTGGGTCATTTATACCTCGGATGAGATCTGAAACACAAATGAAATCAAACAGATTAGAATGCACAAAGTCTTTCAAAAGTGAATAGGTTATTTCAAAGCATACCAAATATTTCTCTTGCATCAAACGGATCATAAATTGTAGGATCTAACTCCTTTGTTGTGACTTCTCTTTCTTCAGTGCGTTTGTACAACTTGGGATTAATGTTTTCCAAATCTGTTTTGGGTGTCATTTTTCGTGGAATCTATTGTTTCTTTTTAAAGAAATCTGCACACCACACAATCTTAACCTATCTCTGATAACTCTCTTGTTTTGAAATCAAGAATGTCGTCTGCTGAGAACAACCACGACTACATATGAGAAATTGTGGAGCCGGGTGAACGAAGAAGCGAAGAGTCTAAACCGGTCTCAACGAAGAATTGACTGAAGGGTGTTGCCACCGAAAAGGGGACCTGAGAAGAGCCAAGCAGTTTGCTATGATTTCTTCGCAGATATGTGTACCATTTATTGATTGTGATTGAATCGATGTTGCCAGGTTTCGCGGGGCCGGCATGAGGTTCACACCGGCCTTGGCCTTCCCTTCTGTAGAACACATCATTTTTTCAAAACAAGAGGAGAGTTCCAGCAATTCCTGACCAATTTTTAACTGTTTCACTGACAGCCATTTATTCTGTAAAAGATAGAATAGGTACGGAGGGAGGCTTGTCAAACTTCATGTTCGGTTTTGTGACAAAAAGTAGGCAAAATATGATTGTTTAAAACTTTTATAAAATTCATTTTTTTTTAAATATAAAAGTTTAAATAGTTTGATTCATTAAAAATACAAAATTAAAAGTATTTAGTAACCTAATTGTTCTTCCTGCTTCTTGTAAAATAGGTACTTTTGTTTGGCTCGTCATTTTCTTGGTTTTCCTTGTTAAAATTCTGAAAAACAGACAAAACATAAGTTAAGGGTAATAACTTTCAAGGCATGTAGCATGTACAGAGTGGAAACTTCACCTTAATTCTTTCTTGTTCAAGATATTCGATGCGTTCCTTGCGCTTTACACACAAAGCCTTGTAGGCTTCTTTTTCCTGTTCCAGTTTCTTAACCTTGCTTTCAAACATGGCTTTGTTTGCTTCCTAAATAGACAATAATTAAAAGAGTTAACCAAGAGATCAATTATCAATAGGAAAGGTTAAGGTAAAGTGTTATCTACTTACTTCAACAATTCCACTCGGAGCACCAGACCAATATTGACTCCTATAAATGTCAGAAGTAGATTCTGTGGTTTGAGTAGCAATATTAACTTTAGATGTTTTTCGACTCGTTTCGCGTACCGTTGTCTCATATTTATTCACGGTCCGCCGCATTTCTGATTTAAGGGATGTATTCTTTAACAGAAATAATACAACAATTTGGATTAAGACCCCACCAAGTCTGATAATAAAATACAAAAGGCAAGGAATAAACTCACCTCATCTTTGATCCGGAGAATTTGGCTCTCAAGACGCTTGACAGTCTCTTCAAATGGTTTGTTCTGAAGTTGCTGACTTAACTTTAGATGGACAATCTCAGCATTTTTATCAGCTATTTCACTTTTCTGACTTTGAAGAACCTCTTTCAAACTAATACAATCAGAACACAATGCATTCGATCTCTCTTCTTCGCCATGTTCAACTTGTTTTCTTCGAGATGATCTTGTATTAAACGGTTTCTTTTCATGTTCAAGGAGTTTTATCTTCTCCTCCAACTGACTCACCAGGTTTTCTAGTTTTATGACCTTAGCCTCTTCCTTTTTGCCCCACTCGGACAATGCACTGCATTCAGTGCATTTCTACAACATTAAGAACAATCATTTGAAAAATAGAGCAGATACACATACAGCACTGTTACTAACCCAAACAATGCATTTAAATGAGGAAACTTACGAAAGTTTTTGGCTTTTGGTTGGGCAGTTTCTTCCAGATTGTCAGAGATTCATCAACAATATTTAAAACAGAGTCACTTTCTTTCTTGAGATCAGCACAAAGGTTTTCTAGTAAAATTACATTACATGTAGCTTCTTGTATTTTCTTACTGAAATCTGCTGTTCTCCCATTGGCGCTCCTAGCTGCTATTTCCTTTGCTGACAATTGCATCTCTACCCGCTCTGCAGTAACTCTATCCAATGCAGAAACTGACTCTTTGCACAAGTTAGACTGCAACAAAGATAAGTAATGTAAGATATGAGGAACAAGTTTCACTCTTATCCGATTGATAAAGGAAATGAAACAAAAATGAACAACTCACCAAAAGCTGAATCTTCCCAATGGCCACTTTTGTTAGTTGTAACCTTGTTTCAGCCAAAATTTTTAATAGTTCAGCAAATTTATCAACAAGCTCGTTGTAATTTTGTTCATGGCTCCTTCCCCAAGACAACAGATCTTCACACTCTTTATCCAAATCACTCTTTTCTTTATCTAGTTCTGCTATCTTGTCCAAATTATCCTTGCACTTAGGACAATCTAGCAACTGAGCAATCATTTCTTCTTTTTCCTTGACAATTTTCTTCAAATTAGTCAAATCCTGGGACTTTGATGTAATCTGTAGAAGATTGAAGATAAGTTGGAAGACACACGTTCAATAAAAGAACAAATTTAATACAATATTCAACCCAGACTCAATATTTCGTGCTTATTTTGCAGCCAACCACAAAGTCTCCATTGAACTAAACATTTTCTTTTAAAAATAAGGAACATCCATGTCATAGGCAAAAGCCCAAACAATTAATGGAACCATGACTACAATTCCCCAAGAGCAAGGCAAGAGACTTATTATTATTCACCTCAATTTTGTATAACTCCTCTTTTGACTTCAAGTTTTCTATTTCCTCTTTGGAATGCTTGACATCGAGTGATGCTCTTTTCTTTTGAAGTTCAGACACCCTGCTGGGTTTGGACCTTTCTAGCTTGGAAATTTGATCCAGCTCACTTTCAAGTTGTTCTCTCCTACAAATTTCTTCATTGAGCTGACTACGTAAGAGTGACACTTCTGTGAGAGCCCCTGAAGTTGACTTCTGAACCCAAAGAGCAACAAGAAAATAAAAGTATAAAAATTGGTTGAAGTAACATCTCAAATGAAATGAAATGGAATGAAATGAGATGAAATGAAAAGATAAGGAATGACCAGCATAATGAAATGAACCAATCTGGTTATTTGGTTAACATGGAAAAGCATTAATGAATAATAATTTCAAACAGATTTGGAGTATGGGCTTTGGCTACAAATTGCGAACATCCTAATGAAAAGTGGGTAGACATTTTTAAAACCAATGGACACAGCACACCTGTGAATGAGCACTTTTAACTCACCTTGTCCTCTTCTAACTTTTCTTTTAACTTATTTATTTCTACTTGTAACTTCCTATTTCTTGTTCTCATGTCTCGGGATGATTTAAGAACTTCCTCATGCTGTTGCTTCAAAAACTCATTTTCAGCTTTCAGCTCTTGAACTGCTTCAGTAGGAGTCACACTTGATTTCAAGGCTAAATTCTTCAAGGCAAGCTCTTTTTCTGCTTTAGATTTCAGCAACTCCGACTGAAGCATATTGGTGTTTTTATCAAGTTCTTCCATACACTTTTGCAATGACTCAATAGTGGTTTCCTTTTCATGTATTAGGGAGGTCTTGGCAGAAAGATCTGATTCCAACCTACTAATGAGTTCCTTTTTCTCAGTAAGCTCATTATACAAAGATGTTGCCTTACTATGCAGCAAGTCCTTCCCAGCCACCAGTTTAATTTGGGCTTGCAAATTCTGTTGGACTTTTGACATTTCTTCTTCTAGTTCTTCTGTAAGTTTACTTTTGCTCATGAGCTCTTTCCTCAGGTCATCCACAAGATGCCCCTCTTTTAACAACTGAAAAAAGAAAAAAAAAACAAGAAAAAATAAACAAATTACGCTAAAAAGAAAAGCAGTTTAAAGAGAAACAAATTGCCACAGTTCACTAACCTCTTGACTTAATTTGCCAGATTTTGTTCTCTCTTCAGTGAGGTTGTCTGATAACTCACGCAGTTCGGATTCCAGTTGAAGCAGTGCTTCCTCTTTCGTGGTTATTTCTGCTTTGAGGTCGCTTATGAGGGCAGTGTCTCCAGACCTATCATCTAGTTTCTGCTGTAGCTCTGATAATTGCCTTTCGAGCTTGACAACAAGATCCTGTTCCCGCACAACTTCTTCACTTAAATTGTCAGATTTTGATCTCTCTTCAGTGAGGTTGTCTGATAACTCACGCAGTTTGGATTCCAGCTCCAGCAGTTCTTCCTCTTTTGTAGTTATATCTGCTTTGAGGTCGCTTATGAGGGCAGTATCTCCAGACCTACCATCCAGTTTCTGCTGCAGCTCTGATAGCTGCCTCTCGAGCTTGACAACAAGATCCTGTTTCCGCACAACTTCTTCACTTAAATTGTCAGATTTTGATCTTTCTTCAGTGAGATTGTCTGATAAATCACGCAGTTTGGATTCCAGTTCAAGCAGTTCTTCCTCTTTTGTAGTTATATCTGCTTTGAGGTCGCTTATGAGGGCAGTATCTCCAGACCTATCATCTAGTTTCTTCTGTAGCTCTGATAGCTGCCTCTCGAGCTCGACAACAAGTTCTTCTTTCTGAACAAGCTCCATTCTCCAATCTTCGGCTTGGGATCGTTCATTGGAAGTCTGCAACAAGAATACAGAATATGATACACAAGTCAAGGTGAAATCAATAGTCTACAAAATTAATGCTGTACTTACCTCTTCTTTGAGTTTCTCCAACTTTTGCTTGTTTATTGTTATTGCTTGCTTGGCATTCTCTGCACCCACTTCAAGATTCACAATAACATCTCTCTGTTCTGAAACCTGCTTTTGCAAGGCAGAGATGCTTGCCCGCAAGATATCATTCTTGAAAAGAAAACAATGAAACAAAACCATTAATATTGCTAAATAAAATCAAAAGGAAGTTTAAATTAAAATTTTTTTAATTTGTACTGTAAAGTAGGGTCATTGACTTTTCAATACCTCAGCAATATGCTGTTGAACTTCTAATTGAAGGTGCTCGATTTCATCACTTTTGGAGCGCAGGGTCAATAACTTGTTCTCAAAAATCAAAATTAATTCATCATTAGAAATACTCTCTACTGCATTCACTAGTATTTTCAACCTGTTAAGAGTTCCAACAAGTGCATGTGTATCATGTTCTTCCTGCTTCAAATCCTCCAGTGCCTCTTTTAAGCTTTCATTTTTAGCAATGTAATGCTTTACTTCAGATCTAAGTTCTTCAATGATCATCTGACATTCATTTTCCCTTTGTGAAGTTGCCTGTGAAACAAAATTAGATTTAAGAATAACAGTAATAGCAATAAACTTAAGCTATAAACAACAAAGTTAAACACTATGACTCCTTACCTCTAGTTCTTTTGAACTATCGTCTACTTTCTGTTGCAATATAGAGGCCACACGTTGTTGCGCCAATATAACTGATTGAAGGAATTCCGATACCACTGAAGACAAAGGTAAATCGTCAAAGTTACGATTGTCTGACATTCCCTTCAGCTCAGTGAGAAGTGTTTGACGGGTGTTGTAAATCTCATTCTGTAAACTATCACATTGCTTCTGAAGGGTGTTCACATGCTCTTGAATAGATAATTTTGAATTTGTTTCTTTGAGAACCTCCTGTTTTAGTTCAGCACACTCTTCATTAACACGATGAAATAAGACTAAGATCCTTTCTACCAGATCAGGAATTGATGCTTTCTCATTCAACTCTATGTCATTCAATTCACTACTGAGAAGCTTCTGAGAGGATGCCAATTCATTTGAAAAAACTGCACATTTCTGGCAGCACTCTTCAGTCACACCCCCACCCTGCAGCATCTTCAGAAGATCTTGAATTTGTACTAATTCTAGTTGAGATTCCTTAATAACAGCATCCTTTGTTTGCAGCTCAACTTCTAAAGCTTCCTTTTCAGATTTCAACATTATAACTTCATTCTTGTGATGTAGCAACTGCTCAGAGAGGTTCGGTTCAGTAGCTGGCTTGTTAATCAATTCCAGCACCCTTTCTTTCAATTGTTTCAATTCTACTTCTGTATCAGCAAGCAGTGAATTCTTACAATCCAACTCAGACATTAGAGAATTCTTAGTTGATACCAATTCGTCTATTTTTATCTCATGTTCCATGAGGGCTTCTGTTTCTTCAATTACACCTGGCACTTTGATGTTCTCTGATCCAGCAACAACATTTTTAGCACATGACTCCACCAAATCAGCAATAAGCGAAGTAAGTGGAGTATTTTTGTTAACATCCTCATCTCTCTGACAAAGCATACTTCGCACTACTCGTAATTCTTCCTCCGCAACATGGCATCTTTCTTGCAACACTTTTAATTCATTCATGTGGTCACCATCAAACTGAACCATTGACTGCAGTTGTTTCTCAGAATCAAAAGACCTGGAGTCCATGTCATTAACAGGGTTTCCAGAATTTGCACTCTTGACACACTCCAGTATGACAATCTGCTCTCTCAAATGCTCCATTTCAACCGCTGCTTCATTCACAAGCTTATCTTTCTTGTCTAGGTCGCTAAGCAAATTCTTGTTGATTTTTTCCAGATTTTCAATTTCATTCTGCACTGAAAACTGAGTTGTGGGTACATCTTCATGACTTTCATTTGACGCATGATCTTTGGAGATCAGAGCACTTTCCAATGACACAATCCGCTCTCTCAACTGTTCCATTTCAACGGCTGATTTTTTAATGTTCAGCTCTTTAGCCTCCAATTCTCCAGCAAGGATGTCATTTGCATTCTTCAAAGAGATTATTTCGTGCTGAAGACATTCAAGTTCAATATTTGTGTTTGCCTCAACATGTGAGGCATCCAAGCATTGAGTAGATGCACCTGCACCTACACCAGAACTAGATAACACAGAGGCTTCCTTAGAGACAGAATTTTCTGTTTCAGATCCTTCCAGACGAGACAGAAGCTTCTCAACCATCAATACCAACGACATATTGTTGACATCATCAAAGTCTTTGATGTGAGAGAGCATCCCGCGGATGGCATGAAGCTCTTCCTGCGATTTGCTGTATCTTTCATGTAATTCCTCAAGCTCAACTGCTTTGCTCTTGAAATTCTTATCACAGACTTCAGAGCTCTGCTCCAGAAGAATACATTTCTCTCTTGTGTCCTTCAAAGAAATAGTAAGAAGTTGAATCAAAGAGTCTAATGTAATGCTCTCATCACAATTTAAATCATCTATACTGTTGCAAAGCAATGATTTTGCAGCACAAAGCTTCTCATCCAATTCCATGCATTTTTGACAGTTTGTGTCATGCAAGACCAATTTTGATGAGTTCAAATGAGGCTCAGAAGAATTGATCAAATCATTTAGCTGACTTTTTAAGGCCTCCAACTCAGTAGCCGACAGTAATATAACTTCCTCCTTGCTGGCCAAGGCTTCTTTCAGAAGGTTGTTTTGATTCTGAAGGGATTTAACTTCTTCATTGCAAAGGGTTACTTCACTAGGCAGACTAAGATGCATATTGATGTCAGACGTCTGTTTCAACTCTGGTTCCATTTGAGTAGCACTACTCTCCAACACAGAAATGCGATCAAGAAGACTTTGAATTTCAACTGCATGCTTGGCTACATCACTGTCCTTGCTAGTCAGCTCTTCCATCAATTCATTATTGGTGGTTGTCATTTTCTCAATCTCACTTTGAGCGATGGCAAGTTCTGTGACACAGGCTTGTTTCTCATCTTCAAGCACCGCTAAGCTGCTCTTCACTTCAGCAAAAGATGACAATAATTCACCTTGATCCTTCTGTAACAAGTTCATTCTCTCCTCAAGGCTTTTGTATTCCTCCTGGGCAACCTTGGCAGATGAAATCAAGTTTTCAACCAAGGGAATCAGGCTTTCATCAAAGCTGTGATCCATCTCAGAAAAATGAGTGATTAGCAGTTTCATAACTGCTGCCATATCGCCTTCTTTGTTGGCCAAATTTTCTTTCAGAAGATCGTTTTCAACTTTGAGGGATTTAATTTCTTCTTGGAAATGAGTTATTTGATTAGATATATCAAGATTGCTGTCAGACGTCTGTTTCAACTCTGGTTCCATTTGAGTAGCACTACTCTCCAACACAGAAATGCGATCAAGAAGACTTTGAATTTCAACTGCATGCTTGGCTACATCACTGTCCTTGCTAGTCAGCTCTTCCATCAATTCGTTATTGGTGGTTGTCATTTTCTCAATTTCACTTTGAGCGATGGCAAGTTCCGTGACACAGGCTTGTTTCTCATCTTCAAGCACAGCTAAGCTGCTCTTCACTTCAGCAAAAGATGACAATAATTCACCTTGATCCTTCTGTAACAAGTTCATTCTCTCCTCAAGGCTTTTGTATTCCTCCTGGGCAACCTTGGCAGATGAAATCAAGTTTTCAACCAAGGGAATCAGGCCGTCATCAAATTTGCACTCCACATCTGGGCAATTAATGATTATAAGTTTCTTGGCTGCTGAAAGTTCCTCCTCAGTAGCAGTCTTAGCAGAAAAACTTGTTGATAGAACAGACAGCTGATGTTCTAAGTCACTAATTCTTTCTTGTTTGCTCTCCAACTGCTGTACTAGCTCATCGTGTGTTGTTTCTTCTGGCAAGGAGTAAAGAACACTATTGTCATAATGCCTCATCACATGCTGCGGAGTGTTTGTTTCATGCCGAGCATCCTGAAAAGTAAAATGGAAAAATTACAGAAGTGTTATAGAAGTTAACTAAGGAGCAAGACACTTAAATTGCTACATACCTCTAAAGCTTGTGTGAGGTCTTTTATTCTTTTTTCATAGTTTCTCCTCATAATTTCAAACTGAAAATCAAAATCATCTTTTCCATTCTGCAAGAGACGCATCTGCTCCTCCTGTTTAGCCTGGAAGGTGGCAACATAAAACAATTTTCTAAGATGCCCTCATGGAAATGGGACAATTGAGAGATAATTGTATGTTAAGATCAATTACCAGGCTTGTTTTCAAAAGCAGTTTCTCTTTCCGGCTGTCTGAAAGTTCTTTATTCATGGACGCTAAATCTTCCTTTATTTTACCTAAATCAGCACACTGGGCTTCTGCATCAAAAAGCTTCTTGGAGAGTTCTTTCTTTTCATCATTTAATTTTGATACCTCTCTGAATCAAACACATAAAACCAATTAATTAATTGAATTAATTTACCACACCCAAAGAGACATAAAATCTTACTTGGTGGTGTCTAACAAGAGCACTTGAAGATCATGAGAATTCCTGTCAGATAATTTTAAATCCTCTTGGTATTTCTTTATCTCTTGAAGGGATTCACACTGAGCACGGTAATCCTGCAATTCCCTTTCCAGCCTTCTTATCTCAGAAGTAAGTGCCTTGTTCTCCTCAATCAATGATTCGTCCTGGAACATAAATGTCAATCATCAACCTTTGTAACATAAAACTCCTTTCATATATTTTCAATAAAAATTTTTTTGCTGTATGCAACAATACTCACAAACATCTGCTTTTCCAGTTTTGTAAATTCATTAATTTCTTCTAGCTCTTTCTCTACATCTCTGATCTTAGCTCTAAGTTTGGCTGGAGGAGTTTCTGTTACAAAATCGTCATCTAGTCTGCTATGGGATAGATTAGATTAGATTACTGCTTTGAACAAAGAAGGCAGGAAAAAAATGAGCCTCATACTTACCTAAAGTGGCCTCTGTTCCTCCGAGTCTGAACGTAGTTTGGAGCTGGGGTGTTTTCAATCTCATCTTCAACTGACTTACTGAAAGTATCATCCTCCACAAAATCTGCTGACGGCAGCCAGTCAATAGACTTCTCCCTTTCAGCTTTCATCAGGGCTTTCTCAAACTCCTCAAGAGGAGTTGCAAACACTAGAAAAATTCCAAAAGAATCAAGAACTGAGACATCACAAAAACGGCATAGTACCAAGTTTAAGAGATTTACTTGATTCATCCAGATCAGATTTTAAGGACGAAATGCTCAAACGAGAGTCCTCTTCTTTAATATCGTGGAGAGCAGAAACTGATTCAGTCTTCTTCTTAGTCATAGGAAAAGCAAGGGATAATCTGGACACATTACGGTTTGGCGCAGACCATGTGCGGCGTCTAAGCTTCTTCATTTTTTGCTGGAAAAGGAACACTTGCTAATTCATGCCTCCAAAATTTACTTATTGTTGATTAAAAACAATTGTTACCTCATGACTTTCAGATTGGACTGCATCTTCAGGATTGGATACAAGAAGTGCATCTTTCAGCCGACTCAATCTCTCTTGGAGGAGACTATTCTGGATTTGAAGTTGCTGGTTTTCAGCATTCTTTTCCTCCTCAATGCTCTACACACATGGCAGATTAGAATTAAAACAAGGTTGATAATACTAAACAGCATTCAACAAAACTTTAACTTACACTTATTTCTGATTTGAGACGGTTAATCTGCTTAATGTAACGCTTGAGAAGAGCTCTTTCAGTGAGAACTTCATTCACCTGAGCAGTATTTTGAATGTTTCTAGCTCTTGAAGCAAATCTGTCAAAAATTACAATAAAACTGCTTAGACCCTCCATTAAATTTATACACATTCTTAAATCATGGCTAAGGAAGGTGCGCATTGAACATACCCTAAAGTGCTGCTGGTCTCTTCCAGAGCAGCAGGAGTGACAGCGCACACAATTGCAGTCAAAGCATTACCGCCTAAAGAGCTCTGTAGAATTCGAGTTAATTTGCTATCACGAAAATTGACATAAGATGATCTGTAATTACATACATATTGAGATGAAAGTTGAAAACTACAAAACAAAATGTTCAAAACAAAATATATACCAGACACTACTTACTGTCCTTCACTCAGCTGGGCTATAACTTTGCCTAGAGTGAACAGAGATTTATTGATGGCACATCCTTCTTTAAATTGGTCCCCAACAGAGCCTGTTGCACCTGCTCTCTCAGATCCAGCAAGATCCACCAAATTCAGATGGGATACTTGGATGGCTTCATCTGTCTCACTGTCAGCTGCCCTGCTTTCAATTATCTGAAGTCAAAAAAGTTTCACCTGAGATTCCCAGACAAAAATTAAACTAAAGGGACATATAACACAGATGCACAAAATTTCTTACCACACGAAATATTGAATGAGATCTGGAGCTTCTTTCATTCATGTTTGTTACTCCAATTTTCCTGATTGTTTCTCCCCTTTTCATCAAATCCATCACCTAAAAGGCAAATACCACAGTGAACATTGAGATTACCTTACAACTCACATGTTACTGAAAAAGTATTAAGTAAAGCCCTACCATTTGTGAACTTGAGGTAATTGTTTCTTCCAGGTCCTTCACAAAAACATTACCCGCGTTATCCTCAGATATTTTGAGGTTTCGATTTGACTTGCAAAGGAGGTCATGGATTTTTTCATTGTAGATCTCCATGTAACACACACTGGAACAGAAAGCAAGGGATGAAGGCAAAGCAAGAGTTGAAGGAGTCAAGATTAGCAGCAGCTCTAAAACCCTAGCAATAGCCAGCGGCTGTTTTAGTGCAGCAATATATACATACCGGAGAAGGAATTCTCGACCATGGCTATTTTCAATTGTATTAAAAATTAAGTTAACAGCTTGAGGTATAATTCCTGGCTCGTATTGATCACCCATCATGGTGTATGTTTTGCCTGCAAACAAACTCATGGTGAACCGCAATCCAGAGAGATAGCACGACAGTTCCAGGCCAATCTTTAACTTCTTACCTGAGGCTGTTTGACCGTAGGCGAAAATGGTGCCATTAAAGCCTTTGACAGCAGATTCCACGATGGGTTTGACCAGAACTTCAAACACCTCAGTGTTTGATGATTCCGGGCCGAACACATGATCTGTACAACAAACATGCCAAGTTGAGCCAAGGCCACCAAAACAGACGTGTGACTGCTAATTCGCCTAGCGTTCAGGGGTTTCCCTTTCTTTTTCCTTACCGAAGGTGTGTGGCTCGCCTTTCGGCCTACCCGTCGCCGGCTCGATCTGAGAGACGCTGTTGTCGCTGACCGCTCGCCAGTGGACGTCGCAGCCGCTGGCCTTTTCACGTGGAATCAGCGGCCGCACCTTGACGCCGACTTTGATCCGCTCCATGGCTACGGCTAATCATTCGCCTCGCCACCTGCTGCACGCAGACGCAGCCTGCAACTAGCCTAAGCCTACTGTACTCACTGTACAAAACCCAGTCAGACAGAACATGGGCAAATATTTGAAACGAACTAACCGGCGGTTGTGTTTGTTGATGACAGCACTACTCCACGCATCGACAAGGCCGCGCGCGATTCCGATGCTCTACTGTTCACGTCACGTGATAATTTTGTTTTTGTTTAGAAGGCAGACGACGTCGCGGGACATAACCAAAAGAGGAAATTTTTTCCTGAAATTTTAGTTTGTTTGGCGATGGCTATCCCAGGAGCATTGATGCTTGTTTCCTATGCTGTGAGCCTTCTCACGATTGGATTATGTCTTGTCCTGAAAGTTCCACAAATCATCAATCTATATCAAGTAAAGAACGCCAATGCCATGAGCATTAAAAGCCTAATGCTAGAATTGATCAGGTAACCTTTTCAGTGCTTCAATACTAGACCCCATTTTTGTTTCTTTTAGTTTATCTTATGTCTTTCTAAATAAATTTTTCTCTACATACATTTACGTAGTAAGCCTTTTCTAGAATGATAATACAGTGTTGTCACTGAGTTACATAAATTTGCTCAAATCAATAATCATCAATGTCTTACCTTTCAGCTATACAACCATGACATGTTACAATTATGCCAATGGATATTCTGTTCTAACATATCTTGAGTATCCCATCATACTTGCTCAAGAGCTTGTTCTTATTTACTTGGTGCTCCTGTATCGACGTCTTCTGAATCATCAAAGCTTTATTTGGACTGTTGTGTATTTCGCTGTGACAGCTATGTTCTTGTCCAAAATATTGCCTTCTTTCCTTCTCAATATTCTAGCAGTAAGTTTCCAAAACTGTTTTTGTTCAAGTTACTTTTTTAAAACTTTTTAATTTTTGCATTTTTATTCAATCTGATGTATCACTTGCAAACAGCCACTATGCACCCCCATTTCTGCATCAAGCAAAGTAATTCAACTAATGGCTATCGTCCGATCTGGATCATCTAGAGGAATTAGTGCAACAACATGGTTTATTTCAGCTTTTACCAATATGTGTAAGTTACCTGGTTGGTCAGTAATCTCTGTACTATTGTCACTGCTCTTCAACTTGTTTTCCAATTCATTTTACAGCTCGAGGTTTCACCATTTATTTGGATTCTGCTGATTCCATTCTCCTCTGCAACTTTGGAGTCTCTACCCTGCTCAGTGCTGCTGTTTTGTCTGCAACAATTACATTTTCCCCTGGCAGTCCAGCATTGAAGAAGTTCCCCCCACCTGGCTATGGTCCCACTTATGTGGCATATGCAAGTCAATTGATTTCAACCAACAATGAGGCCAATGAGAAAGAAAAGGAAAAGGAGCAGAAGGAGGAGTAACTTAACTTATCTTGTTATCAAACTAGACTAGAAACTTTAGGAATGTTTTGAACATTTAATGTATAATCTTTGTATTTGTGATACATTAAGAATCCATGTTCCAGATATTCCTTGTTTCTTTTTAATTTTTCTTGTTGAGTATTGGTTGTGTTATGAATGAATTCATCAAATTGACTAATGTGAGCTGTGTGATTTAGTTGTAACTCTACTGTCGATACTCTACCTGTTTTCATCTTATTTCTTGTCTTATTTATTTCCGTATTTATTTTCTTACATATTGTGAGATTGGCGAAGTACAGTAAGTGTTCAGGCCAGAATGCATATATTACAAGAAGTTATTTTTGTTTTACTGGGTTAGTCTCTAGTTGCCTTCAGAGAATACTTAATAACTTTTTTGAACTAGTCATAATGCGCCATAAATGAAGCTTTACTAATTAGTTAGTACGTGGGTCGGTGATACGTTGTTCCTTATTCATGTGTATTTTTTTTATTGTGTGTGTTTTTTGTTGTTTTTTTAGTACCTTTTAAGCCACAGTGATCAATTACCAGTTTTAGTCAGGTGTTTTAGACTTATGGTTCCAGATAAAGGGTCAGTTAAATACCTTGAGTTTGAGGTGTATCGAGTTTTCCTGCCTTCTGAGCATTATCTGACTAGTCAATAATTTAAAAGTCTCTAGAGACATTTCTACCATTAGGATCAAATATCGTACTCTTAACAATAGTGAATTAACACGTTGATTGGGACAGAGCTATAGTACAAAGTAGTTCAATCTTTGTAAAACTTTCCTGAAACCATAGAACTTGGATGTGCTAAAAATATATTTTTGAAAAATGTGACTGCATGTGTGATCATGTCACAGTCAATGTGTTAATGAAAGTGCCATATAAAGTTGATGGTAAATATTTTTTTCACCTACAAAATGTGGAGTACCTAGTACTATTTTGGAATCCCAGCATATATTTTCTAGCTTTGTCTTCTATTTTCTTCCATAGTCGTGTAAAAATAATCATCTGTAGGCAAAAAAATAATATTTTTACTTGTTTCTTGAACAAAAAAAAATTGCCAAAAGATGCCTATAGACTGTATTGTGCCTCTTTGAAATGCAACCCTTTTCCCCTTGCCTCGCTTCTGTCATGAAACAAATTCGCTATTCAATCAATTCATTGCATTTCTGTTGTATCCATTCCAAGTGAAATGAGGAAACTGGTTGCACCAACATGTCAATTTTCATAGGCAACAAACCACGCTGAATGTCGTTCTGTATGCTGAGAAAAATAAACTGAATCCGAATGCCTGGGAGGGATGTTTCTTTCTTCTTCGCCCTTTGTATTCTGAGCAGATGTCGAGTGAAAATGCGTGCAGTCCAGCCGACAGGGTGGTCAGGGACTGCGTGCTCTCCAGGCGCCGCCTCTCCCTCCGCTGCTGCCGCTGCCACCGCTGCCTTCACGGTGGGGGCCAGGTGGGCAGTCCCGGATGGACAAGCCGCCCAGCCCTGCGCCCTGCGCCCCTGCGTGACATGGACGTGAGCGACCAATGTTTGGTCCGCGGCTCGCCGCGACAAGCTTGTTTTGAGTTCCGCGACGCGCGGTGCACGGTGTGCGATGCCGGCCGCGTGTTGTGGGTTGGGGGGCGTTGGGCTGACCGGCCAGCGACTGCTGCGACGGCCAGCGCCCCCTTGCCGTAGTGCCGCGTGCCGCCGCCGCCGCAGCGAGGGGCGGAGCGCGGAGCAGCGCGGGCCGACCGGCACCGGTGGGGCGGTGGGGGTCAATGACGCGAGTCCCAGGGAAGCCCCAAGACCCTGCCGGAGCCCGCCAGCCCGCACTGGCCGCCGGGAACAGCAACACCGGGGCCCCCAGCCAATGGGCATCCCGACCCGAAGAGCCCGAAGGGCGTGAAGAAAGAGTGCTGACAACGGCCCGCGAGCTTCCGCATCGCCAGCATCATGCGATAAGCACGATTCTGCCCCAATCAGCACCGTGCTCGCCTAGATGCTGGCCGCCGCGGGGGGCATCGCCCCGCCCCGCCAGGCCAGAGCCCTGCGCGCGATGCGACGCGGCGCGACGACGCGGAGGGGGCGTCGTGGGGCTTCCCCCTCCAGGTGGGCGGGAGCCCCCGCCCGGGCCGGGCCTCGCGGGCCCCGCCTGCTGGCGAGGGGCACCAAAACCCCCACAGTCGGCGTCGGCTGCACCCAGGGGACGGACGTCGTGGCTCCAGCTGTCCGGGTGAGTGTGAGTGAGTGAGATGCGTTCAATGCCGCCAAGGTGCAGTGCCGGGCGCCTTTCGCTCAAACCTGTCATTCCCGAATGTCGGCGCCGTGCACTGGCAGACGCAACGAGGGCAGCATTGCGCGAGCCGCGAGAGTCCCACAGTGTAGACGAGCAGGGCTCTACGCGGCCCCCGCCTCGGACCCCCGCGGCCCCGCGGCCCTTGGCCGAGCGGAGCGTCGCTGTGACGCCTGCGGCCGCCAAGCCATTTCGTTAGCGGCCGCAAGCGAAACTCGGAAAGTGCAGCGGCCGCCGTCCGTCGTCCGAACGGCTCGCCGCGAGGACTGCGGTTTTGGAGACGCGACGCCGTGACCCAAAAGGATGTACACTGTCTGGTCAAAGCACGCGGCGAGCTGATCGTGTATGTCTTGTTCGTTCTTTGCATGGGATGGGCAGCAAGGTGCTTACGGTGGCGTGTTTGTTCCAGAGAAAATGCCGTCCACCGCTGCTTCCGGAAAGGCCGAGGCCGCCGCGGCCCTCGGCGCGGCCCTCGGCACCACGGCCGAGCTGTCCGACAGGGCCCTGGCCGTGGCCAAGGCGGAGCTCCGGGAGGACCGCAGCACGCGCGAGCAGGCGCTGCAGCAGTTCAGGGACTGGATCGCCAAGAACCAGGACTTGCAGAACTGCAGGACGGGTGAGTGCAGCAGCGGCAGCAGCGGCGGGGGGAGGGGGAGGGCTGGAGGGAAGCTTTGTTTCGTCTCCGTGACGTAGGACGGCACGGCACGGCCAGGGCACGGCAGGGCGCGCGCCGAGCACCACACGACACACGTGACCTTTCATGGAAGCCGCGAAGCCGCGCTCGAATCGGTCGCTGCGGCTCGCTGGTGAAACCCATAGAATTGGATCCAAAGCTCGGCGCCTTTTTCGCCGCGCGAGGGAAGGCCGACGACGGCGATGACCGCGGAGACGTCGCGATGGCTCGGCGATAGCGGCGGTGACGGTGACGGTACACCCGCGGACCACCCGGCCGTCTCGAACGCGCGACCCGGCCCGCCAGCCGCCAGCGGTGCTCAGTTGTGATTCATGTGCATGTGGCGGTAAACGTAAAAATGAAGTTGTGGCGCAACGGCACGCTACGCGCCGCTACGCGCGCTGTCCGCCGTCAACGCGGAGCGCGGAGCAACACCGAGCAACAAGTCGGGCCTCCGGGCCGGGCCGGGCCTTGGTACGTACCGCGCCGCGCGTCGCCGCGACGCCACCCGCAGTGTTTACCGCAGTGCGCGCTCATGTATTGCACACACTGCGTCCCCCTCCTTCCCTCTGTCTGTCTCTCTCGCACTCACACACGGGGTGGAATTTAAAGCCCGCGGTTTGGCCGGCAAGGCGGCAAGGCCGCGTCCCTGCAGCGCTACCAACTGCCTCAACTGTCGGAACTGAAGGCTAGTTAGCAGCCTTGTTGACCCAGGTCTAATTCTTTGGGCACACACTGGCATCCTCATCCGCACACAGGGGGCCGGCCGCTGCAGCCCGCGCCTCCGCCTGGAGCGCCGTCCGAGGCGAACCAGAGGCGCTGGCGTTTTAATTTTAATTTCGGGAAGAGGGTGGTTCTGGTGTAGACCGTCTCTCTCTCTCTGGAGTTCCGTGTTTCCGGCCGAGGGAAGTCCCAGTCCCTCACCGAGCTGTGTGTGTGTGTCCGACAGACGCGAGCTTCCTGCTGCGCTTCCTCCGCGTTAAGAAGTTCTCGCTGCCCATGGCGCAGCAGACCCTGCTCAAGTACCTCAACATGCGGCAGACCTTCGAGCACCTCATCTTCGACCTCGACCCCAGCATCCCCAGCGTGGACGCTCTCATCACTAGCGGGCAAGTGTGGCGCCGAGCGGCTGTTTCTTGTGGTGGTGGTTGTTGTTGTTTTTGTTGTGTGGTGACAGCGAGTGTAACGGCGGTCGTTTGCAGGTACCTGTTCGCCTCGCCCATCCGCGACGCCAAGGGCCGCCGCGTCATCATCGCCCTGGGCGGTGAGTCCACGTCGAATGACGTCGAAGCTGGCGCAGCGGGGTAGCGCCACCGCGAAAGCCCGAGCCCGCCAGCAAGTAAATCACGCTCGTTTTACTGTCCCAGGCAAGATGGACCCCTCCCGCTTCACCAACGTGGACATGGCCAAGGTGCACTGCATCACGTACGAGACCCTGATGGACGACGAGGAGAACCAGGTGATGGGCTTCACGCACTTCGCCGACCTGGAGGGACTGTCGCCCTCCTGCGTCACCATGTGGTCGCCCACCGAGTTCGCCCACTGCCTGCGCTGGGGAGAGGTGAGTCTCATTGCCGTCGGCATGCCGTCGGTAGACGGACTCCGAGAGACTTCTTCGTCGCTCTGTCTCTCCCGCACCTATACGGGACGTTCCACTGGTGCGAGAGGGCCAGAGCGACGAAGCCGCCTCTCGGAATCAGTGTGCAGCTTCTCGTCACGGGTCACGTCACACCCTGTCCTCGCCCGCTCCGTGGAAAGGTAGCCGCTCCTGGTCGTCCCCGTCCCCATGCACTAACCGGCGATGTCGCTCTGCAGCAATCCCTGCCCATGCGCCACAAGGAGGTGCACTTCCTCAACCTGCCCACGCCCCTCAAGTACGTCTACGACTTCGCGCGCAACCGCTTCAGCCAGAAGATCCGCAGCCGGTTCTTGGTAAGCGAATCCCATGCGACCCGCAGCCGTAGGGTCGGACTTTCCGCGTCGCGCTTCGCGGAACTCGACAGTGAGTCGCCACGAAACTTTGTTCGCAGATCCACTCGACCAGGGACGCGCTGCACAAGCACCTGGACAAGAAGTGCCTGCCGAGGGAGTACGGCGGAGACATGCCCATGGCCCAGATGATCGGTAGGGAACCAATAACGCCTCAACTTTCGTTTAAAAAATGTTAGACTACGTCTTGAGTTTTTTTTTTCAGATCTGTGGAAGGAGGAGATCGCGTCCAAGCAGAAGCGCATCATGAGCCTGGACGACATGAAGCTGCTCAGCGACCAGGGCATCGTCACCAGGAAGACCACCAACCCCGCGGGCTCCACCTGCACCGGCGTGTCCACCATCACCGGCTCCTTCAGGAGGCTCGAGGTCGACTAGGGCACCGGCCTGCCCGGAGCGCCCCGTCGGCCACCTCACCGACTGCATCACCGTCCACGCCACCAAAGCCGCCACTGGCGACGGCACCCCTCGGCTGGTCCGAGAGGGAGGGAAACAACTGGAATCTCCCAACGACTGACTTTAATGGACCAAGTTTGTGAAAACGGTGTAAAGCACGCTGCTGGTTTCAGTAATCAATTTTTTATTTAATTTACGAAAGCTTATATCAAATGCAAGACAATGGACTCGATACAAAAATAAAGTGATTTTTGAAATGGTGTCGGGGTTGTCGCTTCGCTTCACACGTCCCCGCCTCGCTGTAGGAACTCGGCGATGGCGGCGCACAGGTCGCGGGCCGCGGCCGCCAGCTTCTGCTCGTCGTGGAAGGCGATGGCCAGCCGGAGGCAGTGGCGGTACGCGTCGCTGGCGGGCGCGGCGGCGGGCGAGAAGATGGTGCCCGGGAAGGCGGACACGCGGCGCGCGTCGCGGGCGAAGCGGTGCAGGCGCTCGGCGTCCACCCAGGCCGGCAGCCGCAGCCACACGAAGTAGCCGCCGTCCGGGGCGCGCACCGAGCAGCCCTCGGGGAGGGTCGCGGCCAGCGCCGAGCACAGCGCGCGCATGCGGCCCTTGAGGACGGCCACCAGCTTGTCCAGGTGCGCGTCCAGCAGGCCCAGCTGCAGCGCGCTGGTCAGCACCCCGGCCATGTAAGCGTTGACGCCGCCGCCGCTGCGGAGAATGCCGCTGCGACAAGCAGATCACATTTAGAAACAGCAAACGGCTAGCTTTGTCGGCGCTTCAACTGGCATGGCGCACTCACGAGGTCCGCAGCCGTTGCACGAGCGGCCCCGGCGCCTCCAGCCAGCCGACGCGCACGCCGGGCGCCAGGATCTTGGAGAAGCTGCCGTTGGAGATGACGTGGCCGGGGTCGGCGCGGTCGACGTGGTCCACGGAGAAGAGGCGCCGCGGTGCCGGCCCCGCCTCCGAGTAGTGCAGCAGGTTGTACACGTCGTCGCACACCACCAGGAAGTCCAGGTCTCGCGCCACGCGCACCACCTCAGCGCACACCTCTGGGGAACAAGCAGAACAGAACGGAGCAGGGTAGGCAGGCCCGCCACACGCGGGTGCGCAGTGTTGCCTACGCCGGCCGCCGCAGGCGCTCCGGGTAGGCAGGCCCGCCACACGCGGGTGCGCAGTATTGCCTACGCCGGCGGCCGCAGGCGCGCTGCGCGCTGTACCAGTAAGTACGTACCTTGACTGGCGCACACGCCTGTCGGGTTGTGGTAGACGGGTATGCTGTAGAACACGGCCCAGAAGGGCTTGCCCGTCGACCTGGCCGGGTCGCGGAGGGCCTTCTCCTCCCTGGCGACGCGCTCCAGCAACTCGGGCACCACGCCCGTCTCGGAGAACGCCACTGCGGGACAAGAGGGACGTGAGCGTCACCAAGCGCCCCGCTGACGGCGGCAAGAACGTGTCTCACCTGGAACGATCTTCAGCCCGGTGAACTCCCTGAAGACGGAGATGGCGATCATGTACGTGACCTCCTCCACGAAGATGACGCCGTCAGGCTCGAGGAAGGAGTTGAGGATGAGCTGCAGGCCGTGCGTGGCGCCGCAGGTCAGAATCAGGTCTTCCCTGCAAACGGCAAACGGGGCGGCTGGTCAACAAACAGACTGGAAAAGACCAAGACCAGACAAGGCCTGGCGGCGCCTGGCGGCGAATTCATACTTGTGCACCGGGTCGTTGTATCGCTTCGAGAGAAACAGGGCCAGCTCCTCCCGAAAGTCGTGCGGGCCGGCGGTGGCTCCGTACTGGAAGAGGTACGCGTCCTTCCTCTCCAGCTCCTGCAGGCAAAGACACATGCCACATGCCACTCTGGTCCGCAAACCACGTAACTCCCGGGGTGCTGTCGCGTACCATGCGGTGCGCGGTGGCCTCCGCGAAGATGTCGGTGCACAGGCGCAGCAGGTCCGGCCCCGGGGTGCCGGCGCACAGGTTGCATATCTCGTCGTTGTAGACGTTGGTGGCGTCCCCGTCGAACAGGTGCTTGAGCGGCGGGTCCGGGATGCGGCCGGTGCGGCCCACCGGGCCCACGCCCACGTCGCCGACGTCCGACATCGCGCAGCCTCACTGCAAAACCGAAAGCGAAGCGTGTTGGCGCCGCTGCCTCCAAGTGCACCAGCGTAACTCCACTCGCGGCTCTCTCTCTCTCTCTCTCTCACGGCCAGATAGCCTTATCACAGCAACAGCCGGGAGATAGATAACCGGCGTAGTGGGGCAGAGGGTGGACTCAGGGGAGAAAAGTAATGAAAGAGGTGCAACAGTTGTTTAATTTTTAATTCATCGGTAAAAGTCAAAATCGTAACAGGAGATTTCAAACAATTTCATTGAAAGAAGAATATATACATATATACAGAGAAAAAAAGACTGCTTTGAAACTCTTATTCACTTTCTCCAGAGCTAGAAATATCATCAGCCTCATTTTTGACATGATCTCTATAATGTTCCGTAAGTGCCGCATTAGAATGGCATTGTTTACCACACTCAATACAACTAAAGTCACCCCTACTCTTGTGTTGGTCTTGGTGTAATTTCATCTCAGAGTCGCTCGCTAACACTTCGTTACAATCTTCACACTTAATAGCTACGTTTTCTAATATAACATTATTTTTTATGTCATCCTCTGGGATTTCTTCCTTTATGGCAACAGATGAATAAACACAGTTCATTTGATTATCAGACTGACTTTGAATCAAAGCAGATTTTTCCATATTGCAATCTTCTGCTTCTCTTATTTTTATTTTAGGTTCAGACCAATGTTGTGAATTTCTCTCAATGCACATGTTTTTAGTTTCTTCTTGGCCACAGGGAGTTGATTCACCTGTGAAAAGCTGATGGTCATGGTAGTATTGATGTGTACACCCTGGAGGAAAGCCTCTCTTGCAAAAGTAACAATCAGCTAAAGCACCCCTATGTTTCTTCATTTGATTATGAGCTTCGGCAGCTTTAATTGAAGAAAATAATAATGCACAAAAATTGCAGGCATAAAAAATTAATTCATTATGACATTTTAAATGTGCAACCAATCCCAAAAATCCCTTATGCTGTTTACAACATTCTGGACACTCGTAAAGGCGTCCATGCAGACCAATGTGAGAGACCCATTTTTCAATAGTTCCGAAAACACGATCACAATCAGAACACACAAAATAATCACCCAAATGATGAGATTTAACATGTCTTCTGAGAGAGGCCTTACATGAAAATACAGCAGCACATGAACCGCAGTGTGAATCAAGATGCTTTGCTGCTTCTATGTGATGGTCAAGATAGCTTCTACAGTTGAAGGTCAAACCGCATTGATCACAGTAGAATGGTAGTTCCTCTACAGTCTCACCAAGATTTCCTTCACGATGCTTTTGTCTTGGTGTCCACTTACATACATGTTTTTTAAGCTTTGATTGAGAGACAAATTTTTCTTTACATTGAAGACATGGAAATGAAGGTTGTTCATAGTGTACACTCATGTGCAATAAAAGCAAAAGGCGTGTATCAAACTGCTTATTACAAGACTGACAACAGAGGAACTTAGTTTTTGAACGACTAAGCTTTCTATAGCCTGTGTTCACAATGTTTGATCTTCTAATATTTTGGGCCTTCCCAATACTTGGTCTATCAGAATATTTAAGATTTGCAATATCTGATCTCTCAGGAGATTCAGAGTCATGAGATGAATTGCTTTCTTCATCTGTTGATGAATAAAGTTCGTATTTGCAGCTTTCCTTTGTAGCTTCAACTGTTGATGGAATATCGCCACTGCATTCATCAGCCTCTTGTTGGTCCGCACAAGTGCTACTGCATTCTTCCGCCTCCATCTTGATTGGGATCAGGGCTTCATGAGGTTCCTGATTCTGATGAGATTACAGGGGGAAGAAAACAAATAATAAAAAGTGAAAAGCTATATTCACTTGAAAAGAAACTTTAACATTCTACTTACAACACCTTCCGCTGGAAGATTCAAAGTCGGAACAGCACTCGGTATCAACACTTTCCATCCTGTATAAATTCAACACACCTTATTTGAATCTAATTATTGAACCATAATTTTGTTTCTTTCTATCAAGAAAAATCATTCTCACCTAAATTTGTTAACTTAAAGTCACTATCAGTAAAATGAAGATTGCAGATACGATCACGTGCTTTAGCACCATTGTTTTTTAAGGCCATTTTCCATTTTTCCAAAAGACTTGCATCTCTAGGATATCTATAAAATTTTAAATGTCCAGGATCTACTCCCTTGGTTTTGGTTGGGCACCCCAATACACTACAAGATTGAGCCATGGGTGGGTGTTGGTGCAACTTGCAGTAGAATTTTATTTTCACGGCGAAACAGACGAGCAAATATTTGGGCGCCGATTTAGACTAAAATCCTTCGTTCACTTGTACTGAGAGCATTTTGACAGATTTTGACAGCAACAATGTGACCCGGAGCACCAAGCTCACCACCCAGCTGACGTCGACTGCAAATAGGAGGGTGAAGAGAAGGGAGAAATATTCGCAGAAACTCTGTTTTCTGTCGTCTGCTTTGTTTGAGATTGAGTGGGAGAGGTTAGTTTCAAACTTGTTTTAGTTTCATCGCTCGTATATTTATTTTCAAAACCATAGTTCATTCTTAAATTATTCTTAAATAATGGCGAGTGATGGACACCAAGCACTTGCTAGTTCTATAAAAAATGTTCATCAAACGTTACGCCTGGAAGCGAGAAAGGTTGGAGAGGAAAAGGCATGGTTCGATCATTGTCAGAGAGGAGAGGTCTTGCAGGTAATTTTATTTACAAAGAGACAAGCAAAGATTCCAATTTTTACAGCATTTGTTTCATCACCTTGTTCTGCTTCTCTTGTAGACTTATGCCCAAGCTATGAAACAGCTTGCCACCGAACATTGGGACAGAAATGCTGACGATGATCAAAACAAAAAGGCTGTAAGTCGTATCAGCTGGATTGTGAAACAGTGCGAAGATTATTATTATTCTGATGGTATGAATGAGTCATTTTCTAAGGAGCTCGCATTATGTTTGCGATTTAAGTTGGATACAAATGAAATTCTTGACCATAAACCTGATAAACATATACTACGACCTAAGTTAAGAGTACTTGATGTCGGTAGCTGTTATAATCCATTTAAGAAGTTTCCAAGATTTGATGTAGTTGCTGTAGACATTGCTCCAGCATCAGAGGATGTATTACATTGTGATTTTCTTAACTTAGAGGTGACAGATCAAAGGAGTGCAAAGTTGCACTCAAATGAAAGAATACACCAGCTTTGTGCTGCATCTTTCAATGTAGTCATATTTTCTCTCTTGTTAGAATATTTACCCTCCAGCAAACAGCGATATGTTTGTTGTAGCAAAGCATCTCAATTGTTAGCACCTGGAGGTATATTGTGCATTGTCACCCCTGATTCTAAGCATGCAACTGCTAATTCTGGCATTATGAAAAAATGGAAATATGCCTTGGCTAATGTAGGTTTATTACGCATTCAATATGATAAGTTGCCCCATCTTCACTGTATGGTGTTCCGAAAGTGTGTTCATTCCACTGTCTCCAAGCAGTGGCTCACATCATCTCTTGCATCAGAGTCGAGAAAAGGAAAATTCTTTGATGCTCCAGAACAACTTATGGCCATTCCCCAAGATTATCATCTATATCAAGAGCATGAAAAAGAATGTGTGATTGATGATACTAGAGATGATGATGAAACTGTTGCATCAATATTTGCCGATTTACCTGCATTATAATGAGGCACTTTATTAAGAGTAATATATTTTATGTAATGTTGTGATACAAGTAATACACAGGATTTTCCTGAACAACGGATTTGGCGTTCCCCATGACATTTGAACAACCTGGCTTTGGGGCAGAACTAGAAATAACACACATTCTACAGATTTGGTTGTTATCTAAGTTCTGAAGAGAAAAAAGTTGTCTCTCTTTGTAAATTGAGCAAGTGAAACTCAGCTAGCCAACAGTAAAGATAAATTTACTTCTTAAAATTCATGCCTTATTTCTCATCTGAAGATGTTTAGAGGAACATTCAAAAATCAAGAAAGATATCCAGTGTAAAAATCATGAAGTCTTCAGAAGGTGCCAGTCTAACTGTGCATTAATTAAATCTTTTATTGATCAATCACACTTGCAAGTCCAGATTAAAGTTAAAACTGTAGCTCTGATATTTAAAATAGTAACAAAAAGACAATATTGAAACAGTTCGTTTGCAGTTTAGGTTTGGTGGTTTGTTACATTGGTCCAAATCACATGACTTTTACACTTGATTTCAAAACAGAACTTCTAACCAGTCTGATTAAAAAAATGTATAAAACTCTGCTTTTTCACTTCCTAATTGAAAGTAGGTTGCCAATCACTGGCAACACTCAGTCTTTTAAGTGATTCTTATCACGTTAAATGCATTAAACATCATATAAAAATACACAATTTTCCCCAACCTTATGACCAAATAAGCTACTTTTTTGCTCATAGTAATATATCTAACAGCATACAAAAATCCAAGGTGCAATTGCGACATTACATCTTTTCCACTTTCTTACTTATGTGAACGTCCTCAGTTGGTAGAGATAACAAAATCAAATTTGCTTTATACATACAGGCAAAAGCATTATTACAGCAGTCCCTGATACATTCGAATTTTGAAACAGGACTAACATCAAACTCAAAAGGTGCAAACACACAATATCCTCATATAAAAACTTATATGAGTTTGGTTGGTTCATGAGGATGTTAACTGTGAACCACTGTAGGGATTTCTTCTTGTTTGAAATTCTGGGTACACACTTGAAACTAAAATTAAAGCAAAAGGACATGCCTTCAGTTCTTTCAGGCTACTAGTTCGAGATAGATCAATACAAAATAAAAATGTATTGTCTTAATTCATTTGCAACTCCATAATATTGACATAAAAAATAATATTAGAATGTGGTAATACTTGATGCAGAGGAATACAATACTCTACTGTGTACTTTGGGCTGGACAAGCCCTTATCAAATGATGCTCAGGAACTTCTTTTTTTTTAACAAAAAAAAAAGGAGTTTGTTAATTACATTCTATCAGTTGAACACAAACCAAGAATGATAAATAAAGTGCCCCTAGTATCCCTTGTGTAGTTTCTGATACCTCATGTCAAATACCATGGTGCTCAACCTTTAATGGGTAAATACCACCACTACTAATAAATTTTGGCACAAGTTGGTTTTTACTTTCCAGATTCTACAATGGAATCTTGGACATAAAATTGAAAATATACCCCAACACAGGTAAATATAACTAATGCGTTTCTTACATATAAAAGTTCAAAACGCTTTGTGATGGCAAGCTAAGTGCAATCTGTCCAGCTAGTGACACACAAATTCCAAGACTGAACAAACACCACTGACTGTGCTTGTCACCACATCTAATTCATTTTGGCACATACCTCTCCAATTCAAGATTCATCATGAGAATCATTGAATAAAAATTGAAACAAAAAAGTTCCAAACACTACACTTAAGGTATAAATTGTTCTCTTAATTAGGGCATATTTGGGGCTGGGCAACAATATGCACAATTTTGCTTGATATGGATTGGACATTGAATACATTCCATCTACCCAGCTCCCAAACATGACAAACAAAGAGGGACACATCTAACAGACACTAAGCACGCCACTAACAAGGAAGGAAAGGGGAACACGCAAGGTAATCTAACAGACACAAAGATGATAAAAATAAGACACGCAGAGGGAACCTGCGGAAGTGACGCACGTGAAAAGAGTCTGCATCGTCGGGACTTTTGAGGCAATCCGAAGAATCTCAACCACTCTCATCTTCACACGGTTCAAGATGCAGAGAGCAAACCACTCGCCCTGACTGGGCTGGCTGGGCTGGCCAGTCCAGTCAGTCACTGCCACACTGTCCAGTGTCCACACACTCGGCCCCAAAGGTCCCGGCCGGCTCGGCGTCCTGTTCAGAAGTCTGACGCGATGAGCCGACCGGGCTGACTTCATATGGAGCGCTTCCGATGACTCTGCAGGGCCCTGCGGAACAGGGGGTCGCCGACGAGGGGCGAGTACTCCCCCCGCGAGATGGAGGCGAGCCCCGAGCCGGAGTCGTGGTGGTCGTCGCGCCCGTCGCGCCCGTCGCGGTGCAGGCGGTGCGAGGTGGGCCCGAGGTAGTGCATGGGGATGCTGGCGTGCTGCACGCAGTGGCGCGACGGCAGGTGCCCCAGGCAGTTGCACGAGCACACCGACACCTGGTCGATCACCTCCTGGTGCATGCGGCCCCCCGCCGCGGCAGCGGCCGCCGCCGCCGCGGTGCCGCCGCGCGTCGACAGCAGCTTGCCGTTGAGCGCCATGATGTCGCCGTCCAGGGTCATGACGTGGTGCGAGGAGCTCGTCAGCTCCTCCTCGTCGCGGCGGACGTCCTCCGCGTTGCTGCCAAAGAGAGAGAGAATGACGTCACCACTTAGGACCCTCGCCGCAGCGCAACAGAGCTGCCTCAGTACTTACATGACCATGAAGCGGAGCACCAGGAGGTTGATGCTGGCGGCAACCACGGCCAGGCCGAACAGGATGAAGACGAGACTCAGAGCCACGTAGCCAGGGTTGTTGATGAGGGCCTGGTCGTTCTAACAGAGAAAACGCACGTGTCATAAATACAAAACAAAATAATAAAATCCGAAAATTGAATCGGCCACGAGCTGGGATGGAAGCCGCGACGCCGTACCTGCAGAGCGACGTAGTCGCCGAAGCCGATGGTGGTGAGGGTGACGAAGCAGTAGTAGAACGAGTCGAAGTAGGACCAGCCCTCGTAGCGCGAGAACACGGCCGCCCCGGTCGTGATGATGGTGGAGGACAGCAGCCCCGTGGCGATCAGGAGGTTGATCTCGGTCGCGTCCTGGCTGGCGCAGCTCATCAGGCGCTTGGCCCGCCGGATGATCTGCAGAGGTGCAAGGGCACTGTAAGCGCGCGTCGCAAGGACAAAATTTGCAATTCTAGTCGCCACGCCCCGCTTTAGAGTGAGATAAAATTGAGAGCGGCCCGGGCGCCACTCGGGCGGCGTCGCCGCGTCGGCATTTCCAGGCGGGAGGCGGGGAAGGCGAGGCCCGGGGCGGCCCGGGGGAAGGGGGCGCTAACGGTACGCTAACAGCCTCCGCATGAATAAGCAAGGCGCTGGCAAGGCGCCGCAGCGTCCTCGGAGTCCTCGAGGGTCCTGGAGGACTCCAGGTGTGCCTCTGGGCTCTGGCGCCAAGCAGCGCGAGCGTCATCAATTATTGCTCGCCAAACTGCGCGCAACCATGGGGAAGGGAACACAGAACGGCCGGACCGAAATCAGGTTGCGCCGCAGCCGCACCGCCGCACCGCACTCAGGCGGAGTGGAGTGGAGTGCACCCAAACGGGTTGCCCAATTTATTTTTCATCGCAGGGCGAAATCCGGGCGCAGCGCGGCGCAGAGCGACCCTGCCGAAAATGATGAAAGAAGGGTGTGCGCCATACTCACCACGGACGCGAACTTGTTGAGACGTTCACCGATGCTCTGGAACATGACCAGCCACAGCGGGATGCCCACCATGGCGTAGCCCATGCAGAAGGCCTTGCCGCCCACCGTCACCGGCGTCGAGTGGCCGTACCCGATCATGGCCAGCACCACCGTGGCGAAGTAGAAGGCGCCCGCGAACTTCCACTGCGGGCCCGCGCGGTGGGGCTTGTTCTCGATCACCACCACCTCCAGCACGGTGAAGTCCTCCTGGGTCATGTTGTAGCGGTCCATCAGCTTGTCGCGGAACTCTGCAACCACCACGACGACCGTCACGACCGCGGAGAGGGAGAAGGTAGCGCTTGGCCGCTGGGAGCGCCGGGTTGGCAGGCAGGCCCGCAACGCACGCAAGCTCTACGGGCCGGCCCAGCACGCCAGGCGCTCCGTCCCGCGGGACCGGCAGCGGCTGCAGTGGCGCGCAGGACGGAAGACGCGCTTCGCCGCTTTGCCTCGCGCTGCTCACACACCGTGCGACACACGCCGCCCACTCACCTTTGAGGTAGTCCCATCGCCGGCGCTCCGTGTCCGACTCGAGGGCGTCGAAGACGGCGGCCCCGATCAGCAGGTACGTGAAGGTGAACACGACGAGCGAAAGCGTGCGCACGTTCTGCCGCTTCATCGTGATGCCGTGTCGCGGGCGTCGCGGACGTCACGCGAGGGCGGGGCCGGTCGCACGGTCACGCGCCGGCCATGACGGCGTCCTCGGGGCGGTGGAGGAGTGGGAAGGAAGCGAGGAAGAGAGACAGACAGACGGAGAAAGAAAGCGAGGAGGAGCGGGTACCCGAAGCAGCAGCAGCAGGGCCTGCAAGGAGCAGACGGGGCACGTCAGTGAGGCTCTTGGAGGCAGCCGACGACGACTGGCCGCGTACGCCGCCCCAGCATCACCACCACCCTCGCGGCACCGCCCCACCCCCGCACAGCCCCGCGCGGGGCTGACGGGGCGGGGGGCCAAGGCGGCGAAGGGGCGGGGCGGGGCGGGTGCCGCGTCCTATCTGCCCTCAGCACGCCTGGGCGGCCTGGGCATGGGCCTGCCTGGGCACGCGTGGCTGCAGCTCGGCGCCACCCTGCCGAAAACAGTCTGGGACACTCGCCCACTTCACTGGACGGCGCTGCGAGGCGCCAAAGACCTGAAATCCAATTCTGGAACCCAGTCCTCCCCTCCCCCTCTTAAATTTCGTTACGCTCCAGTGCCGTCCCTGGGGCGCCTTTTTTCACCCTCTTCCCCGACTCGCTGATTGCGAGCGCTTGGCCCCTTGAGGCCGCGCCGCGCCGCACCGTGCTGGCCGGGCCGGGCACAATGAGCGGGGCCCCGGACCCCAGGCCCCCGGACCCCCCAGGGGGTGCTGTCGCGCCGTCGCGTCCGATCAGGCGTCCCCGCCATTTCACTGCGATCCATCACGCCGCCATTAACTTTTTTGGGCGGTCGCCACATTTACGCAACAAGGGCGACACGGTGTCGGTCAATCATCCTGGTCCCCACGGCGCCCTTCCCTGCCCGTCCCTGACCAGCACGGCCAGCACGGCGTGCTCCGGAAACGATCGGCCCGCGCCATGAAATCGGCATGAAGCCGGCGCCAAACAGCCCGGGGCGACTCCAAAGCACCGTTTCGGCGCTCGGCTGCGCTAGCCCCCATCCCACGGCGAGTGCGAGAGAGACAGGACGACCAAGCGGTCCTCCGGAATGGCACGCCAGTGTCACCCCCGCGGTCCTTCGGTCTTCAGTGCGGGCCGAGCGCCAAGCGTCCGCCAGCGAAAAGGAGGGTGACCCGCCAACGGGATCAGAAGCGCTGGCCTGTTATCTTTCCATCGCCGGCGTGTCGAGCGGCGTGCACACCCCACACCACCACCACGACGCTGACACTCACCTGGCCAAGTCCGCGGCTGCAGGGCTGCACCGCAGCGGCGCGCGGCTACGCGGTGATCATGGCCGCGACGGACGACTGCTGTTCCCCGCGTCGTCGACCAGCTCGACTGGCCCGGGGCGCCCGGGGGAAGGAGGGGGAGGGGCGGCGGCCTCTGGAGCCTCCGGCAGCAGAGCAGCACCCAGCAGCCTGGCGCCTCCGGCCGGGCATAACCAGGCAGCCTAGCGCAGCCAGCGTAGCCTAGGCCACCACGTCTGTCTCCCTCCTCCCTACTGGCACTGGCTGCCTGGCTGCCCCTGGAGGGACCATAGGCACCGGCAGCCACGGCAGCGCGGTGCGGCGCGACGCGGCGGCCACTAGCCTCCGTCTCTCTCGCACCCCAGCGAGACGCACCACGAGTGCGAGGGAGACGGAGCGACGAGAGCGCGCTTCGGGAAGCAGCCCCACAGAGGGGCGTGGCGGCGTGGCGCAGGTCCAGAGGCTGGCCGAGTATCGATCCGGCCCCTCCCCCTACCTCGCGGACCTCGCGGGGGAGAGGGAGGGCGAGGACGTCCCCGCGTCCCCCACGCCCCCCCGCCTCGGCTCACCCCGCGCGTGGCGCGTCAGCGCGTCGCAGCATGAAACACATTGTTATCCACAAGCTGCGCGAGCCGCGCGACAACGAGGCGAAGAGACGGGCCCTGGCGGTGCCGCCAGAAATCGAGAGAGGAAAGGAAACCTCGGGTGAGGATGCTGGGATCCATTCATGCAAGCAAACAATCGCGCAGCAGGGAAAATAGCAGCGCGCGTCGCACGTGGAGGGCGGCGTAAAAAACCGCAACACCGGCCTGCCCTGGGAAAAACTGATAAACAATCACAAAAATTGAACTAATCATAACTCAAGTTTAATCATATTGGTAGCTTGAAGAAAAAACAATTCTGAAAAAAATCACAGATTACAGGAGCGCAACAGGTCAGGACGTCAGGACCAAGGCTTGTTGCGGTGGGCGTCGGTGGCCTGCAGCGCGTTCTCCCGGAGCCGCCTCTTGGCGGCGGCCACGCCCGCGTCCATCCTGTCCATGAAGCTGGCGGCGGCCAGGGCGACCGCCGGGTCGGGCGGCAACATTCGGGGCGCGTCCCGGCCGTCCCGGCGCCGCCCCTTCCTGGACCTGCCGTTGAGCGTCACGCGGAACTTGACGCGCCGCTCGATGTTCATGGCCTGCCTGAAGCGCTCGGCGCTGTCCGTGGTGCGCTCCTCCTCCTCCTGCTGCCCCGCGGGGCCCACGGTCCGGACGACGCGGCCGCCGTCGCGCCACGAGGTGATGCTGCAGCGCAGTGGGCTCAGGGGGCGCGTGGGCGACCACGACCGGCCACGGCACTGCATGGCGATGCGGGAGCCGCGGGGGCGCTCCAAGGGCGGCTCCACGTCGTCCACGTCGTCTTCCTCGTCGTCGAGGTCGTCCTCCTCGTCGGCCTCTGAGGCGGTGGCGGGGTGCACCACCGACGACAGCTGCAGGCGCCCCTGCGGCGCGGTGGCCACGGGCTCCAAGGGGCGAAGGTGGGCCTCGTCCTCCCTGACGGCGACCCTGGCGGGCGGGGCTGGCACTGGGGCGACGAGGGTCGGCCGGGGTCCCCGCACGTCCCAGCAGTCCGGGGCGCGCACCGGGCTGTGGCGCCCTCTCTTCGGGTGCCTCGGGGCCGCCGAGTCCCTGTCCCTGGCGTCGCCGCGTCTCGACGTCGACGAGGTGGAGTGACTGTCGCGGTAGCCGTTGCTGGACCTCGACGTCGACGGCGCCCTGCGAGGACTGTCGCGCCTGGAAGGGCTGCGTCGACGCCTCGACCGCCTCGACCGGCCCCACGAAGGGCTTGGGCTTCGCCGGCGTCGCGGCGAGCGGCTCCGGCTGCGCCGATGTCTGTCGCTGCCTCGCCTGTAGCTGGCAGACGACGGCCTGGGGCTCCGGCTTCGACTTCTGCCCCTGGTCCGCTCGTTCGACCTGGAAACGGTACCCAGCAGCTGTCAGCATGCCACACAATAACACACCCTGCACCAGTCTCCCACTATCCGTCCATGTCACCCTCTTTCCCAAGCCTCCGGAGACCTTTCGAAAGGGTGAGTGCCAATCTCGCACGATGTCAAGTGGTAAATGACAAAACCGAAGCCTCATTAGGCCAATCCTCCGGGCGTGAGTGGGCGAGTTTAACCTAAGATGATGCACAGTGCGGAGTGCCCCGCCATCGATGGAGGATGAGCGATATGATTTCTGTATATGGCTTTGAAATAACGACCTGAGTGACAACTTTTAATTGTTCTCACAATTATTTGGACAAAAGTTCCCTCACTTACCGGACCATCGTTCTCCGTCCGTCAGCTGCTTTGCTCTGTGCTTCTCTGCGTGTTTTCTTGTTTTATTTTGCTCTCGACTGCGGCTAGCGGGAGGGGGGGTGGGGGGTGGGGAGTCTTCTAGTCGTGCCGCCAGATCGCGGTAGGAGGTGGTCATCGTGGCCGCCAAGTTTAGGGAAGGACTTTTAGGGGTGCAAGATGCTCCCTGCCTCCCCTACCCTGGTTGGTTCTAACAACCCACCCCCCAGCCCCTAAGCCAGACGGCGGTTCTGCGCATGCCTGACATGTTGTTCACGGACGTGAAACTGATTGCACAAGTGCGTCGCCGTGTCGCAAGTGACAAGTGACGCTGTCGTTTTACGTCTGCTGGTGACGAAGGAAATGGCAACAATGGCCGAGGATGATACTGCAACTGCTATTGCTGATGAACAGGTGCTTGAAATTGCCTCTTACCCAAACCGAGTGATTTGGACACGGAATGAATCAATAATTATCTGATTGCTTCAGGTTGAAGGGACCTTCAGTGCACTACCAGATGAGGTGCTACTCTCAATATTCCAGCATTTGGACAACCAAGATATTGTATTTTCTGTAGCCAAAGTTTGCATGAGGTGGGAAAAGCTGGCATCTGATCCAGAGTTATGGAGTGATCGATTTGTCTTTTACGATTCAATCAAATATAGTGCATTTACAGCAACTATGCATATTGCTAGTAAACAAATTAAATACTTGCATTTAGGTGGTCATGAAGCTATGGAGGAAGAAGCTACACAAGCATTGCTGTCCTCAAACATTACTGTATTAAAAAGGCTAAGCTTTCTTGGGACTTGTCGTACAAACCCAACTAAAGTTATACAAATTTTAAACAAGTTTAGGTCAAATCTTGAATCATTGACATTGTGCATTAATGATGAGCTTGTGTCTTTCGGTACAGACGAAAAAACTTGCTATGCCATGAAAGATGCACGCCCTGGACTTTTATTCAATTTGATTGGAGGTATGGAAAATCTCAGACATTTAACTTTGTATGGAGGATTCAGTACAAAATGGTACTTTGATGAATTTCTTCAATCCGCTGGTTGCAATAAAATAGAAACACTGGACCTGAAAGATTTTGAGGAATTGTCTGAAAATTTCAGATCAAGCAGAGAATTGGATGTAGTTCAGACTCTTATTATGAAAAACAAAGATCATCTCCAATCGCTTAAGTTGCCAACAATGGGTGCCTCTAGTTCTGGTGTTCAAAGGTGTGTGCATAAATGTTACAAATCTCTCAAAAATTTATCCATTAATATGAAACTACTAATCTCATATCACAATGAGTCACTTAATTTAAATTTCCTTGAATTGAATGGACGATTTTTGCATGATAGAGAGCTTGAGTCAGTCGCTTTTCTGAATGACATTAGCCAATATGGAGACTTATTGCACAGGTTAAATGAATTAAATTTGAATCAATTTGACATTGTAGAAGAAGACATGTTTTCTATTCTATCAAAATATCTGCATGACCTCAAAATTCTAAGAATAGAAGGAAATTGGCTCACTTCAGAAAATATTAATGTCATCACCAAAAATTTGCCTTTGTTAGAGAAAATATGTGTGCGCAACTCATACACTGTAGCAGAAAAGCATATGATATCATTACATTGCCCAGTGTCCACTTTGAATGACATTGGCTTTGATGATATATATGACATGGATTGCATTTATGTAGCAACAAAATTTAGGACAGTTCCTCTCCTAGATTATTCTGTAATTTCAACTGGCTGTGAGTGTCGTAAGAATTTCCTTAGCAAGAAAGAACTCAAATCTGATCTTGATTCTAAAGCCTTCAGTCCCGAATCATTAACTTTGAGAATGATACAACTGTCTTTGAGTAACAACTTAGACATAAAGTTTTTGTCTAAATTCTGGAAGCCTGGTGATAATGACAGAAGTTTTCATTTTGAGCAGTAACTTTCTACAATAGCCATAGATATTCTCACTCGATGTCTTCTCATTTTCCATTATGACAATAACTTTTTCGAATAAAAAATAAATTAACAATCATTACTTTATTTAATTGTTCAACCTCAATTTCACACTCTATACAACATATATTTACAAACGTCAGACAGACCACAAAACAAAACAAGAAACAGAACATTTAAGCCTTTAACAACTATTCACAAATTATCTATTTTCGCTGTAAGAGGTTGCACACAGCACCATGTCCACCATATCCACTGCCTCTCAGAATAACACTTCTGTGTAATCATTCATATCATGGTACCAAGTGAGAAAGTATACTGCTTGTCTTGTTCAGGTAACAAACTATAAATTGTGCCTTTACATAAACCGTGATAAACACACATTCAAGAACGCTACTGACAAATAAACTTACGAATAAACACAAACCCTTCTTTACTTACAACCAAACACATACACACAAGCATTCACACAAGCATACATACATAGATACAAACATACATACATACTTACAGAGTGGGCTTAAAGAAATTAGAAACAACGTTCTATCTCATAATAGCACTTGACATACTCTATTCTATACAAGCTTTGAATGGTATTAAAAATCAGTCTACAGTTTGTTCCACTTTTTCATTCATTCCATTCAATATGAAGACAGCTTCTCAAAACAAGGTTGAATTCAAAGGAAATTAGCAAATCAACTTTAGAAACATAAATTTCATGACCTTTAAGGTTGTTTTGAAAGTTCAATTTACTTTCTTGTTTCCCTTTTTATTGGATTATTGTCCTCTTTCGCATGAACACAAAGAAATACAATTACTGCCAAATAAGAAAGCTGCTCCTATTCACTTATCACGTATCCCACTTACTAAAGAAATTTTGTATTTATTGGTATTATTATTAATAAAAATAAATTAGCAGTACTCTAGCATTGTACTAATTCGGTTTGCCAAAAAGAAATTCATTTAAGATGATTATGGCAGTGCATGGATAAATTAACTTAATTGATCATTACTCTTCACAGGGAGTCATTTGGTCTTCTAATTTGTGCACCATTTAAATGGTCGGACACACATTACTTATGACACTGCCAACAGTTCTTGATGCAGACAATGACATTGGGAACGGTTTGTTGTCTCTTGTGATGGCCACATTTCTGATGCATCCAACAAACTGTTCTGTTGTTTCAGCTCCACGAAGGTCACTCAGGCTATGCAGGTTTGGAACTCCTCCAATGTACATTGGATGCCGAGTGTCTGTTGCATCGCTGCCAGAAGCTCCAACAAATGGATCCACATAGTATCCATTGACTCCAATAGTCACAAAGTTCTTCAACTTCATTGCTGAGGGAAAAGAATAATAGAACAGGTATTTTAGGTTTGGGTATTCATGAGTAATAGGTTTGAGACACATGAGAAGACTGCAGAGACAAGGGAAACTCTCAGGCATCTTACCTTCAATTTTGATCCAGTCGCCATTGCACACATCCTGTGGCTGAGGCGGTGTGTACTGGACGGTAATGGGACCGCGCCCATTGTCTACAGTGAACTTGATGGTTCCATTAACCAATTGCAACAGAAGGTAGTCTTTGGAACTGTGCACCGCCACTAGAATACCAGAGGTGTATCTGGGCTTCACTTCGAGTGACACATTAATTTCCAGGCCCACTCGGAATTTATCGACTGCAAAATGAACAATCAGAATAAATAAAAATAAATAAATAATTAAATGACAAGTCATCCAACTGCATTTCATAGAAAAAAAAAGATGCCAAAAACTTACAAGCTTTAATGTATCCACCCTCTGGTCCAATAAAGAATCCTTTCTCAATTTTATCAGAACATGGCAAAACTCCCTCTGACAGAGTACGATTAGTGACCAGCTTCTTATTCATTTTGAAGCCACGCAAGCAACCAATAAATCCAGGAATATTCTGAAGGGGTAGAAAACAAAAACAAAGATGAGAATCAAAAAGTTTCTCATTTAAAATAGAAAAGCTTAAAAATAAATTTGCTTACATTCAATATGCTCAGCGGGTGATTCTTTTCTTTCAAAAGCAAAGGCTCTGCTAGGCTTCCTAAGTAGTACGGAGGTTCCACATTAAGAGTCTTGGTGTTGCCTGCAGATGCTCCACTTGCCACTAGTACTTGGTCAATAGTAAGAGAGCCATTCATTTCTTTGCGAGAGAATATAACTGAGTGCCACTGATTGTCATCGTAAGCTTCTTTGCTGACAAGCAAAGCTGAGCCAGAACCACAGTTGAAGCTGTAGTGAACCTGGGAAAGAAACTTTTTGTGTTAAATGGCTCAGCATGAACAAGCACAAAACCATAGTAAATGCACATTACCTTGCCATTAACCAAATACACAGCTATATGATCAAGATAATTCTTATCAGCAACAAAGAATATCGTGCCATTAGGTTGATCTGTTTTGAAGTCAACAGTGAGTTCAAACCTATTCTTCAAGGCCCTATGGAGAGATCCGAACTCAAAACGACTGAGTGGTTTACTTCCTACAGAAATGTAAAACAATAACCATTAGTAAAAAAATCTCTTCAGGGGGCAGGGAAAAAGAGCATATATGCAACTGACCAAAGCGCATGCCATGTCCCTCTTCCACATCTGGGTCACTAGCTGGACTTAATGGCAGGACACACTGGCCAGAAGGAGTCGGTGCTGGAGTCGGCAGCGGGGCGGGTGTAGGTGTAGTTGGAGCTGGAACGTTTACAGCTGGTTCTTCCGCATCTACTGAAATAGAAAAGAAAAACCATTAACATCTGAGGAAAAGTCAATTTTAAAAATTAACTGAGGGGTCTATACCTTCTGGGCCTTTACCATCGTCATCTAGACATGAAAAAGAGTAAAAAACAAAATTTTTATCAATCACATAGCAGAACAATGTAGTAGAAACATAATTCCCTCGTAAAGGAAAATATGGGCTCACCAAGTCCAGGGTTGTCAGTAGGATCTGAACCTGTGGGGCACTTGTTGAGAATGACATTACGGCGACTAGTGATATTGGCAAAATTGATGAGGTCTCTTCCAATAGTTGCATCAGCAAGACATCCAACAAATGGATTGGCTGATGCACTGGCTCCCGGGGAGAGATTGTAATCTTCGGGCAACCCACCGAAGAAGAGACTTCCATCTTGAATTTGTAAGTAACCCGGATTTGGTGTTCTAAAATTAGTATAAAAAGCTGTTAATTTTGACATTAATTTAAGAGAAAACTGAAAGCATTGTCAAAACTTACTTGAAACTGTCATAATCGTCCACGTATATCTGCAATCCATTCTGATCATACGTTGCGGTCACAACATGCCACTGCCCATCGTTGTACTTAGAATCGTTGGAAGTTACTTCTGCTGTCTTTGATCTCAAAACTAAAATGCCATTCACCATAGACAGAGAAAGAGTAGATGTTTGGTCTTCATCCGTGATGTATGCAATCAGGCCAGGAGATGATGAAGTTTTGAAGCGCAGGGTCAATTGAATTTCATCATAAGCATTGACGTTAGGCCATTGCATGTAGCCTGCAGCTTTGTCACTGAATGAAACTTGTCTCACAAGCTGTTGACAATCAGGATTGGCAAGTTGAAGCACAGATGACTAGAGCAGTCATAAATATTTATGAAAGAGAAATGTTACCTTAGGAGGGCAGCCTGGAGATACACCAGTAGCCTTTACATTCTTGCTCAGGTCAATTGTAGCACTCTCAATTTGAACATCTTTAATGCATCCATCAAAGCCAGTGTTTGTGACATCTTTATATGAATGGGTGTCCGGGTAGCCACCAAAGTACATCACATTTGATGCAATAAGTTCCACTATGGAACCACCTGATTGGGACTAAACAACAAGCAGGAAAAATGTAAGAAAGAAAACTGTGAAGCAATGTACAAAATTTAAAAAAAAATAATTAAATTTAGATTCTGTGGTACCTTTGCAGATTCCTCACGATCAATCTTAAGGAGACCAGTAGTGTGATCACGACCTGCTTCTACATTGTGCCATTTTCCATCATTGTATTTGACACCTTCAGGAGATAGTATCCTCACTGTTCCATCTCCTAGGTCAAACTGAAAAAAAAAACAAAAAAAAAAAAACATTGATACTGGCTTTGTTTTATCTAATTGTTTCCAAATTCATATTTCAGACTCATACCTGATAAAGGACTCGTCCATCTCGGAGTTCCACAGAAAGATACTGCCTGTCGTTTCCAATGAGGAACAATAGCCCATAAGATTTTTTGGTCTGGAAATCGAATTGTACAGAGGAACGGTCCCTTTGAAGATATGAGCGGGCGTCCAAAGCAACATGACCAGTACCATTAAATCGATAACCAGTGTTCGGATTACGATTCACAAGCTGATCCCTGAAAAGAAAGAAACAGAAATTCAGACTTTGAAAAATTAGCTTTATGGAAGGAATTTAGGGCTTGGAACAAATTTACAAAACTCACCTCTCTCTTGCACCATTGTGATTATTGGCAGCATCAACAAAGTTCCAAAGAGAGATCGGAGTGTCTCCTACAACAAGGTCTTCCATTTCACCATCAAATGATGATTCTTTGATCTCGTCTTGGATTTTGAAGGAAGTCGGGTAACCACCAACAAACAGTTTTGAATGTTCGGGATCAACATTTAAAATGGAACTTGAGCCATTGATCACATCCTCTTTCACATGCAAAATGTCTTCCCCATCCCTTCCTTCCTCACGGATTGTCAGGCTGGCACTCTTACCAATTCTGCAAGTAGTGGTACATTATAGAAGTGGATGAACTCTACATCACTCTTATTCACATACTTTAATCTTGACACAAACCTCTCTATAATTGCTTGGTACCAATTTCCATCAGCTACAACCTTGTCAACAATGAACCGTTGTGGTCTTGAACCAAGATCGGCAATAAGTACTGGATAGCCATTTTCAACTACCAATGCGAGGTAATCGTCCTGAAATAAAAATAAATGATAGAAAATGAGTCTTGCTAACATGAGACAGTGCTAACATTCAGTGCATGGAAGCGGGAGAGCCAACCGTTTTTGTTCGTCTTAATTTTCTATTAGTGTCTTTCTCATTGCCCAGATAGAGAATAAAGCCATTCTTCTGTTCTGTTTTGAAAAACACAGAGATTCGAGAAGATGTTGCCTGTTGAGACAAGCTTTCAGGATTTCTCAACTGCAAAGTAGTATTAGGGTAAAACCGTACACCAACTTTGATTCTGCAAATCAAACAAGAATATCATTGTAGAATAGTGCACAGCGGTGGACATTAAAAAATCGGGTACAGAAAGTACCACTTGGTTTTCAGATGCAAGGAAAAAGCATTACCTGTTTGTATTTTCTTTTGCTTCCGCCACCTTTTTCTTTAAGTCATCAATGGCATCTTTCACAAGAGCACCAGTCCTATTAAGAGCTGTTTGTCCTTGATTTATGTTATCTGAAGTTGTTTTGAATGTATCCAATCTGGGAAGAAGTCGCACTGAAAGACAAACATAATTATAACAAATTTAAGGCTTATAATTTAATTTTAACACAATCATAATTCAGTTTTGAGGATAGCTTTCGTGCTATAGGAATCAGTCCAAAAATAGCTTTGAGGCCTACATTGGTTATCAGCTTGATTTATAGCTTCTCGTGAATCTCCAAAATCTTTAGGAACTTGTTTAGCCATCTGTGACTGCTCTGGCAACATAGTTAAAATATCGTTGATAGCTGACACAGCATCTTGCACAGACTCTTGAGCTCTCGCACTTTCTTCACCTGCCTTGTTTACAGTGTCAATTAATGAAAGACTAGGTATGTTTCCAAGACCCCTGAAATTGAAGAAAGAGAACATTAGTAATACTTTATCACTCTTTAATACATTTTTCTCACTGACCAAAAATAAGATATAAATACCTGACAATGTCATCGATTCCCTTTTCCCCTGACTGTGTCAGATCTGTCACATATGTGACATTATCTTTAGAGAACTGAAGTTTTGGTGCCATTCCTTGGGCTATTCCTAATTTATCACTTGCATTTTGGAGGAGTGCATTCGACCGCACCTGGGATTCATAAGTTTTATCCCCTAATCCTAGCAACTAAAGAAAGAAAAAAAACAGTTAATCAACATTCTCTGTAAGAGAGCTTAAAAAATGTGCTTACTGGTCAAATAATAATTTTACCAGATCGGAGGCATTTTGTGCTGCCTGTTCTGCTTCAGTAGCTATTTTCAATGCATATTGCGTAGTGTTCACAATATCCACATAAGCATTGGCTGCAGTCAGGGCATACTGTGCTCTGTCTCTGGCTGGAGACAACTGGTTTTCTAGCTTAGCAGCCTGCAGGAAGAAATAAGTTTACTCAATCAATAAGCAAACAACAATACTGGTGGCCAGGGCCACCTTATCTGAAACATACCATGTTTTCCAGGTTTTCAGCATGAATGTCTGCGGAAATTTTCAAATCATCAATTTCCTTAAGTTTGATGCCCAGTTCAGTGATGGTGTCATTCAGGGTATTCTTAGATTCTTTGACCTTAGATGCCTCACTGCCTGTGAAGGGAAAACAGGTTTGTAAATAGAGAGAAGATGATTGAATTTTGTGAAAGGACAGTGGTCAAATCATAAATCTCACCAATTTGCTCAAAATCTTCCTTAGCCTCAAGTATTAAATTTGTTGTTGTATTCAGTGACTGCTTTGAATCAGTTAACACCTCTGCAGCAGTCTTTGCCAGATTTTCAACGGCAGTGATTTTATTCTTTACCTTAGCATTCCTTTCAAGATAAATGACCAGTATTATAAAAGTGTTAAAAATGTTAAAAATATTCATTATACACAAAATTGCACCTACTTGTTTTGCTGGTTAAGGATGTTTGTCTCAGTTGTCCTCTTCAAGGTTGAGTCTGAATTATTTCTCAAATCCTCTAATTTTTCGTTGAAATCATCCAGCTGCTTTTGCAATGCATTCAATAGGTGTGTATGATCTGTAACTGGCTTTGAGTATTCTTCCATGTCCTCTTTGGCTTCTGCTGCTTTTTGTAATACTCGCTCAGCTTCATTCTTGGAGTCAGAGAAGTCTTGTTTGTCAATCTCCTCCAGTTCCTTTTCCCCGATGCGAATGGAATATTCAGTTTGAGTGCCTATTGACAGGAAAAAGAAATGCATAAACCATAAAAAGAGAATAAACACAAAATTTGGATTTTGTTTTTAAGGATATAAAACTTACCTGATCCTGCATCCAAACTGTAGGTGATAGTATCAATTTCTTTAACAGTGTCTTCTGCCTTGTCAGCTGCAACACTCATGGCGTTTTCTAGATCAAGTGAAGAAAGATGCACTGCAGAGCCAGCGGGCGCTGTCTGCTTAGCCAACTCCCATTTGTGTTCTCCCTGTAATTATAATGTTGTTTTCTTAGAAATGGGTCCAATAATATCAAATGTTTACTTGCTGTTAATGTATGCTTTTTTTTTTACTGGTATTTCAATTATTTTGGGAGTTCTTACATTTCGACTATGCTGTTCAGCATCACTCTTAAGGGCTTCAACAGCCTTAGTGATTGGATCAAAATCAACATGATCAAGTTTCATCACTAATGGAGCCATATCATGGGCAGTATCATTTATGTACTCAAGACGTTTCTGAGTGAAATGACTAGCTGCTGCAGACTGAAAAATCATTTAGTTCAATGTCAGTTTGTTGAAACATGGGCATAAGTATGATTTTAATGGGAAAAATATTTACCTCAAAATCACGCTTTTGTGGATCAATTGTAGCTGCAAGTTCATCAGTCACATTCAAGAGACCGTGAGTGCAAGCATCACACTCGAAACACCCTTCTCCCTCTTTGAGAACCCAACGATAGGGGCAGGCGTTACACCTCTCTCCAATGACCCCAGGCAAGCATTCACATTGACCCGTTGCAGCATTACAACCAAACCCAAGAGAGAATTCTTGATTGCAACCACAGGCTGAAAGACAAAAAGAAATTAATACATAAGAAAATGAGGTCAAAACAAGAAAACAATAAAAAAAACAACCTAAACTTACAGGCACATCCTTCAGGACCATAGTTCCAGTAACCTGGCTTGCATCTGTCGCATGTCCTGCCCGTCACTCCTGGTTTGCAGCGGCACTGTCCAGTCACATCATCACATTGCGTACTGTCTGATGCCAGACCACAATCGCAAGCGGTACATCCCTTCAAGAGAAAATCAAAACCAATCAGTCTACCTCAACATATCAAAGAATCCAGCTTATTCCTAAATGCTACATCTATACCTTGCATGTACTGAATCCATAATGGTCTGGAGCACAAGTGTCACATTTCTCCCCGGCTACATTGGGCAGACACTCACAGATACCCGAAAAGTTGTTGCACTGTGCAGTTCCACAAACATCACAAATACAACCTGACAGGAAATTGTAAGAGGCAAAGAATGAGTAAGACACAACACAATTGTTCTGTTGAAATGCAATTAAAATGTTTCACATTGTAAGAACTTGCCTTGGCAGTCCTTACGGATGATTGCATCTCCATAAAATCCTGGTGCACAATACTGACAGCTCTCTCCAAAAGTGTTATTGAGACAAGTCATACACTCTCCCGTTACAGAGTCACATGAATTTGCATCGGATGGATCAATATTGTTATTGCAGACACATGGCTTACAGTAATCACCTAAAATAATAAAAATAAAATTGAAACACATGTTTAAGTGTCAGCTTTTGAAAAAAAGATTTATCAAACGATAAAAGCAATACTACAAAACATGATTTTTTTAAGTATGCATTTTAGTGTCATATCAAAACCAATTTAAAAAAGAATTAATTTGAAAGAAAGCACTACCTTGAACTTCTGGCCGACCATAGTAACCAGCAGCACATGAATGACAGCGAGCTCCAAAGTAGCCTTCTTTGCAATCACAGCTGATACTGTTACCATCAGGGCTGACAAGACAGCTGGTAGCAAAGCTATAAGCAAAAAACAGATTATTTTCAGTGATGAGCTGCTAGTAAAATCCACAGCGTAGTAATAAATAGTACTCACTTGTTTGAAGCAATAGGTAGTGGACATGCACAGATAAGGCAATCGTATGGTGAACCTCCGGTAGCATCTCCATGATAGCCAACAGAGCACTCTTCACAATGATCGCCAGTGGTGTTGTGTATACAGTCCTGGAATAATTAAAGGCATCTCATTGGTAATGAAGTAAATGAAAACAAAATTAAGCATGAATAAAAAATTTCATACCATACATATACCAGTAATGGGATCACAGACATCTGAATGCCCGTTGCATTGACAAGGAACACAATAGCCACCATAGGGACCAGTTGAAGACCTATAAAACCCTGGAGCACAATCTTCACATGAGAGGCCTTTGTAACCAGGGGGACAAAGACATTGCTCCACTGAATGGGCAACTCCATCAGGATTATACTGTTCTTGTGCAGTATCCAGACTAACATCTAAAAGACTGTAGGAAATTTAAAAAAAAATAAAGTGAGGAAAAAAATCACATTTAACAGCTGAAAAATTATAAAACAATGAAAACATTATCGTTACACATTTTACTATACCAGGAAAGGAAACTTACCGTGAGGTAACACTTTGGTCCCAATAAGTGGCCCTGATGTAAATTTCATCTAGAGTCTGAAGAGTTTGCATAAGTAATTCCCTTGTCACACGCAATCCGTTGCTAAGAACGAAATTGGCCTCAATGATAGGCAGAGAAGCATTGTACTTCAGTGATGCTGGAGGCTGCTCATCACTAAAGTGAAGAAGATATTGGTTGGTAGCAGACCCATGTAGAATCACATCTGGGAATAATACGGCATTTCCTTTGGAACAAATAAAAATTTCATAGATTATACTCAATCTAAAAAACTTAAAATATAAAAATATAATGAGATGTTAGGCCTTAAAACTTACCAAAAGTACCAGTGGTGTAGAAAACAGTGTAATTCAGTTTTCCTCCATATGCTGTGAGCATATTTCCATAGTAACTTCTTGGTGCTTTGAAGAAAACAACTTTATCTACTGCTTCTGAGTCTGTTAAGTCAGCTACTATTCCCTCTGATCCGGGAGGATCTGGACGGCTCGACATTGGAGATATGTCCACAGTTGGTTGGTATGTAACTGTGGCTAACTCCCATTCATCCATACTCCGTATCTTTATATTTTTTTAAAAATAAAAAGTGGTTATTTATTTTTTTTAAATTTCAATCTACTTCAAACACACGTTAGTTTTGATTACCTGTGCTCGGAATAGGGCAGCACTGCCACAGCGGCTGGTCTTACCGAAGCAGAAACATTTTGTGCAGCCTTCGACATTGCTTGCCTGAATATCAAAAGTACCATCAACACAGACATCACATGCTTCACCCTCTACATTTGTTTTGCAGTTGCACTGAGCTGTATTCTGGTCACAAATTTCTTCTTTACTGCCCCGTAGATCACAAGAGCAAATTGTACATAGAGGGAATTGCCAATACCCCTGCAAGCATTTATCACATTGGCGTCCAATAATATTTGGCTTACATCTGTGAAAAAAATAGTTCGGATTGAAATTTAGAGATAGAATATTCTGAATGTGACACAGCATTATATTATTTAACAAAGTCATGAGTGACTCACGAGCAGCTTCCATTGTTCAAATCGCACTGCAGGTTGTTGTCAACAACACCCTCAGGGGAACAGCCACAGTCCTCACATCCGAAATAGGGATCCAGATTAAAGGTATTGTCCTCACATTCATCACATTTGACCCCTTTAATCTTGGGAGCACACTGGCACTTTCCTAAGAGATGGATCAACTTTTGATGAATCCAATATTCATGTTTAACAGAACTTAATAATTCATATAAATCTATAAATAACTTACCAGTTTTTTCCTCGCATGAAGCAGTTGGTGGGCAGTCACAAGGCTTGCAGTTTGGAAAATCATAATACCCATTTTTACATTCTGTACACTGCCTTCCTATTACATTAGGTTTACAAGGGCACTGGCCACCAAATTTCTCACATTTGAAACTTGTTGATCCTTCAAAATTGCATTCGCACTTAAGAGCCCCGCTGTTGTAGGCTGAAGTAAGGGAGAACACAGACTCCCTGCAGAATCCCTTGGTCTTTGGGTCCAGGTAAAAGTTGTTCTGACCGCACTTGCTTATGAAAGCACCTGTTTGGTCTAAATTGTCTTGTTTGAGAATATCATCATGGTATTCTTCTGCAGGAATGACTAGAACTTGGTTGATCCATACTCCTAAGTGTGATGATGCTTCTTGGTTTGGCAGTTTCAGGGTCAAAATAAAGTCATCTGAGAGTAAAGTCCTATTGCTTCCACCCTGGGTTTTTTGAATAACAGAGCGGCAACCGGAGTTTGAAGGGCAGTGGAGGATTGGAAGGACACCCTCATGGTATTTTCCATTTTGTATGATGGTATCGAGTTTAAAACCTGCAACATTTTAGAGAGGAAGGAAAAACTTAAAAAGCCTGCATACCTATAATTGTAAACACTCCTTAAGCTTGAAAACTGATGCTTACCTGGATGATCTGGTTGATGATAGTGTACAACAAACACATATTGACCAGGACCAGGAAGTTTGCCTTCCAAATCCACACTGGGATTTTTTAGGTCAACATATATCCATGAGCTTGAATTGTCCGCAATCATTGGGGGTTTAACTGAAGACATACTATTGTCGGTATCAAACACAAACTATAAAACATAAAGGAATAAAGGGTAAAGATTAACAGTAAGATGAGATTGTGAAAAACAGAGAGCCATGTAATCCAACAAACCTTCTTAGTATTTGGGGGAGATGGGAACTTTGCTGCCACACACTGGCCATCTTTCTTTATGCACACTGGCTTAGGTTGAATGTAATCCAAAGACCAGTCCTCTTTTGGAATTGCAACTATACAGTCAATAGCAACGTTAGCCGGACCATCTGCCTAGATTACAAATTTATTTTATTAGTTAAGAATGTTCAGAACAAGGAGCTAGCCGCAATGTAAAATATAAACCTTACTTACTTTTAAACTAAACTTGATGTAGTTCCCATCAAGTTGAAATGATGAAACACGGCCTTGGTTGTCAATAATTGCTTGCCTGCAGGGAGTCGTGTAGGGACATGGAGGAAGACTTGATCGGCCAGATTGGGAATTCTCATTGCGAATTGTTAAAGTGACATTGGTGCTGCTGGTCACATCTGGTGGCGTTACGTAATTTATCACAAGAATATGCTTGCCAGGCTCTGATATAGTTATGTCTAGGAGAAGCTCCGGTTGAGTTGAGGAGAGCATGGTAGGGTTGCTGGTGAGACCAACAGTGCTCAAGTGCTGCAGAGGACAGAAAAACACTATAAACCCTATATCTGTTTAGCAGATTGAAATGTTTAAGAATTATCAGGTACGAACCTTTTCATCCTGATATATCTCTCTGATAGGCTGGGGACTACCCGAAGCATCAACAAGGGCGGTTTCTCCTCTCACTATATCACAACCATTCATTTTAGGATAGTGATATTGCTGACATAAACTTTGATTGCCAACCACACAGGGCTCAGAAACAGGTTTCAAAAGAATTCCAGCTTCATAGTAGGCAGCAGGTAACAATACAAAATAATCCTGAAAAGCAGAAAAAGATCTCAAAAATAGTAATGGTACAAATTTAAAAAATTTGCATAACATGGATAAAGAATTTACCAATAAAAGAGGTTGTGCACCCCTGTACTTAATTGTGATCAGCCAAGTTCCAGGATCCAAGACAAGAGGAAGAGGAATAGTGTTGGATTTTCCTGCCACAGTTGTGAATGCTGGTGTGCCATTAGTTGGTTTCAAGAGAACTTCAAGGGTCTGCAGAGGATCTACTGCACTCTCAGGAATGATTGATATGTAGGCGGTTTCTGGTTCAGATCCAGGATTCATGTAGCGCAGCACCATACGGTAAAGTGATGGCTTTTCTATTTTCACAATGTAGTTAATCTCATTCTGTAATTTTTACCATTTCGTTAAAGTGGTAATGTCAAGTGTTGCCAATCAAAATAATTATTAAGATCTGAATTCAAGTGAACAAACCTGTGGAATTGTGAAGAAGACGTATCCTTTCCAAGAGAAGTTGGCAAACTCATTTTCATCCCAACGGTAGCGTACAGTATTTCCTTCAGGTGTCAGACCATCTTCTGCTTCATATTGTAGGTGGTACAGGGTTGGGAAGTAATGAAGGTCGATTGGTTCATTACAAGTACGACCCATTATTCGAGGATGGCATGTACACTGTCCTGATTCTTTGTTGCAAGTGCTGCCGACGGACCCTCCAATGTCACAGCCGCAATCTAAGACAGAGGGCAGAATTAATCTTCAAGGAACGAAGCAGTGACTGCATGAAACAGTATCCTTGGAAAGCAAAAGATAAATGTATTTTTTGCTACAAACCAGAGCATCCAAATAAGTTGTCCGCAGTAAGATTGAAAGAACCATCTTTGCAAGAATTGCAGCGCCGAGAACCAACTGATGGCCTACAGAGGCACTGTCCAGACTTGGTGTCACAAACATTTATGCCACCCGTAACACCGGGTAAATAGCAATCACAATCTGCAAATATATTTGGTTTTATTTAAAAAATTGTTTCAAAAATATTTTTTGACATAAAAAGCTGCTTTTTTTGGTCTGTACCTTCACAACCCTCTCTATGATGATTTTGTAAGTTCCAGTATGTGGGTTTGCACTCATCGCAAATGCGTCCTTCCACACGAGATTTACACTGACATAGCTCTCCTGCTGGAAGTGAACCACAGCCAGCAAAGTTGGAGATAATACCAAATGGATTGCAGTTACATTCTGGAAAGAGGAGCAACAAAAATGTTGTCATAAGGTTTGGAAATATAGTGGTGAGGGATGAAGATTGAAATTATATGAGGCACTATACCTTCACAGATAGGGAAATTGTAGAGTCCTTCTTTACATTTATCACATCGAGCTCCTTCAAAATTTTCTCTGCACTGGCAATGACCATTGGCATCACAACTGACACCTTGCGAACCATGGGAGTCACAATTACAAGCTGAAAAAAAAATCAAAACAAATATATATATGTAAGAAATATAGTGGTAAAGGCATAAAAAAGGACAAAAGTGTAGTTCTGAAACATACGTAAGCACTCAGGGAATTTGTAATATCCCGGGCGACACTGGTCACAGGTGCGTCCAGCAAAGTTTGTTAGACAAGGACATTTGCCACTTGCATCACAAATAGAAGAGGAGCTTCCAATATCGCTACAGTTGCATGGGTGACAGTTTGGATAGCCGTGATATCCTGGTTTGCATCTGTCACATCTTTCACCATCATAGCCTTCTTTGCACAAGCACTGCCCAGTTCCTTTATCACATACTTCAGGTAACGTACCGCTGGCATCACATTTACAAACTGAAAAGAAAGGGATCACCATAGATATAAAAAATTCACTCTTTGACTAGACTTAAGAAACATGGGCATAAAAGGCACTTACAGATACAATCAGGATAGTTATGATAACCGTCAGCACATTGGTCACATTGCCTTCCACCAAAGTTACTTCGGCAGGGACATTTGCCTGTTTCATTTTGACACACCATTGATTGAGAACCGACTGGATTGCAGGCACATTCTGAAAATAAAAATTATGTTAGTTTCCATTTGAAAAAAAAAAATACCGTTTTTAAAAATTATCTCCTACATATAATACGCACCTGTACAATCAGGGAATCCAAAGAAGCCTTGTGTGCATTGTCTACAAAATTTGCCTCCATAAGCCTGCTTGCAGGCGCATTGACCTCCCACAGCAGCACACACACCACCTCTGGTGCCATTAATAAAACATTCACATTGCTTGCATTCTGGGTATGAATAATACCCAAAACTACAGCTGTCACAGTTGGGTGATGTGAAATTTGCCTTACATTCGCACACGCCCGTCAACTCAGCACAGTTGCCAGTGAAGCGGGGATCATAACACTGGCAGGCTGCAAAAACAGAATAGAGTGGAAAAAATGTAACATAATCTTTTTTTTTTACTTTGCACCTGAGATAAAAATTAATCATTTCTTACGTTGACAAACATCTGTAGCATTCAGTTCTTTGCCATAGGGTCGATAATATTTTGCCTTACAGCGATGGCAGTTTGTACCCTCTGTGTTGTGGGCGCAATTTTTACAAACTCCACCTCCCTCATAATTACCATGAATGTCGATTGACAAATGTTTTTCATCCACTTCAGGATCATATTCGCATTGATCTGAATGCCCATAACAATTACAAGCTGCAACATTTTTTTTCAAAAAGAGATAGAGTTAATTTACATTTTTTCAAAAAGGATAAGAGGACAATATTTTCTGCATTTGGCTAAGAAATGACATACGTTCACACTCAAATAACTCGTAGTGCTTTGATTGTCGCCAACGTTTTTGCTCAAATCCTGGAAGACACTTCTCACAGTTTGCTCCCCCAGTGTTGTGTTTACACTGGCACAGTAGCTTGTATGGATCTTTTGCACTGGTCATATGACAGTTCTCAGCATGTCCGTTACAAACACAGCGACCTCCTATACTGATGTCCTTGATGGAATAAAAATACTGCACAGCAGAAATTTAAAATTAGCACTTACAAGTGTATTTTAATCTTAAACTTCCACACATCCCAAAACCTACCCGGCGAGTGACAGTAGGATCTTGCCTTGCTACTGACATAAGATGACCTAGAAGAGTCTTTGTCCGCAAAAACCTCAAACGGACATTTGTGGCTCTTGTGAACTCTTGAAGAATTGTGGAGTTGAAGAAATCATTTGCTGATGGACGGTTTTTCAGAAAGGATACAACTATCTGTCGGATGAGTACAAATTTACAAGCAAATAAACACATTTTCTAAAATAATATGAACGTTCTTCTACCGATGGCCTCACCTCTCCACCTTCCAACGGGACGATTTTAGAATACTCCATTTCACAAAATACTTGATCATCCCTTGTAATTGGCTGCAGGGTCTCAGGACCAAATAATGCTTCACATTCACTGAAACACAAGAGAAATGTAAGACCAAATCTCTCGTAAAAAAATGTCACTAAATCCTCTAATGAGTTTGAAATTACTTCGGAGAATCGGCAAAGTACTGCCAGGGCTTGTATGTCTTGCCATTGTCTGTCGATCGTTCTAAGACCCAAATGGCTGGGCGGGGTGAATTGGCCATTTTGATGAAAACATAAGCCACATGAAATTCCTAAAACAGAGGAACAAGAAACATATGGGTAACATAGCACTCCCACTTAAAACTAGGGGGAAATTGTGGCAGCACACTGCACGCTCATCCGCGGAGGGAAGGCCGCATGACCGTGTTTGGTGCTTTGTGGGGGTGGATTGTTGACCCCCCCCCCCTCCCCTCTCTCTGAGTATGTGCCCCGAGGTGACTCCTTTTTCAGCTTGTGGACAACCAGAAAGCACGACTGTAGACTGACCTGGCCCAGGTCGATCGTAAGGTTGACCTCGTTGTACTTCATGCCTCTGGACAGGGGAGGGCTCTGCCACCAGGTCTCGGCGCCGTCGACAGCGTACTCCGCCGGGTGTCTCTTTCGCAGATCCGTGGGGTCGCAAAAGTCGCAAACCTGCAAAAAAGTTTTAAAAACATGTGTTTTAAAAATTAGGAATTGAATGGGCAAATCCGGTGGCATAAATCCTAAGACCCCCAGTTTCCTCCCTGTCATCCCGCGTTGGTGAGATTCGGGTTGACGAGGTCATCGATAACTCATCCACACATTCACAACCGACTTTGTCAGAAAGTCTGTCAATTTATTGGGATGGATACACTTTTGGCGCGGGTTTGGTCTTCCCGCCCGGTGCGCGGCCCCGGCGACGGCACTGCCGCTGTCCAGCCGGCGGGAAGGACCAAGGACCTGGCCCGGTTAGCCAATCCCTGCTCCCGAGGTCCTCCCAAGTCCTGCGAAGTCCTGCGAAGTGCATAAGGCACGTCACAGAGACCGTCATTCTCATTGCAGGAGCTTCGCTTTGAAATTGAAATCTCCAGCAATCGGGTGGCCGGAAGGTCAACGGCCCGCGGCCCGCAGTGGCATCCCCCTCTACAGCCCCCCCCCCCTCTTCTTCTTCTTCACGTGCGCCCGGCATGTCGTCCATTACAACAAATTTTATTGTTTGCGGAGGCTGACTAGTGAATGGCCGCCGAGTGAGCTGACACCAGGCTGACACACACACGACCCTACTCGAGGACAAAGGCCATTGACGAAGTGTGGCGAATCGGCGCACCGGCGCACGCTTTGCCCGGCCCGGCCCACTTTGCTCACACCGGAACGAAAAGCAACGATACAAGGAAATTTCAACGGGACAGTCGCCGTCTCCGATAGTTTGAGGCGGTCCTGGCGGTCGGGATGCCGCATTTTGATACCGGCCAAATAAACGGAAATAACGAAAAGGCGTGGGAAGTGGTGTGCGGCATGCCGCTCCATGACTTTGGCTTATCGGCCAGGCTTGCCCCGCCGGGCTTGCCGGGCTTGCCAGAGCGAAGGCGGCAACGCGGCAACGCGCTATCAAGACACCGCCCTGGCTGGGCTGCCCGGCCGGCTGTCCCCAGCGGTCCCCAGCATCGCGGCGTGGCCGGCGTGGCGCGCGGCATGCTTCGCCTCGAGCAGCGCGAGCAGCGCGTCAGGCTCCAGCCACTTCCGACCGGAACCGCGAGAGCCGCGAAGCTCGCGACCGAGGAAGCAAGGGGCCTCACGGCTCCACTACCGACCAAGCACCGCGCAGGTCGCAAGGGTGCCTGGCGCCGACGGGGTTCGAACCCAGGTCGCGACTCTTACAGCTTGCTGACCGGACCCAAAGGCGCGGGACGCACGCGGCATTGCCAAAAACTAGAGGCGACTGAGCCTGCCCCCTCCCCCCTGGCGTAACTGTCTCGCGCTATCAATGACTCGGAAGCTGTGAGGTCATCGCGACGCGTCCGTGGCACGCCGTGGCTGCCCTGGCATCTCGGCATCTTGGCCCCCATCTCCGTATCGCCGTGGCACGCCGTGGCACGCCGTGGCTGGCTACTTTGTAGCCGCGACTGCGTCTACGTTACGCACAGCGAGGGCGCGAGTGCATGCAAAAAGGCGGTTCGCAGGGAAGGCCGCTGAAAACGCGACAGAGATCCGCGGTGAGGAGAGGGGCGACTCACGCATGCCGCAGCTCACGCAGTTCTGACGGTCCCCCTGGTTCCCCGTTCCCACGCGATAGTCCGGCCGCGGCCGCCCCAGCCTTAGCAGCTAGCGCAGGTCCAGGAGGGCGCGACTGAGCACTGCGGGTGCGGGTCTCCGGCTATCTAGCCATTGTGATCGAGAGGAATCAGATTGTCGAAAGAATGTGCGCCCGGCGTGCGAATGTACCGACAAACTCGTTCTAAGATCCGAGCAGCAGGGCCGCATTGACTACGTGGACAGTCGGGAGGGGGGGGGAGAGGGGGGGGGGCGGAAGTGGCGGCAGGGGTCTCGGACTCGGAGCGCGGTTCAGATTTCACAACTTCGCACAACTTGACAACTTGAGGAGGCACGCCGCTCGCCTGCCAGGGTGGTCACCCCCCAAGCAGACAAGCCTCGCGTAGCCTGGCGGGGAATACAGGCAGACCGCGAGAGAGCCAGAGCGACGAAAACCGAAACCATCGTTAGAAATCAGTCAGCAATTCAGCATTATTGGCAAGGCGAGCCCAAGCGTTTCCCTCGTTTTCCTCGTAGGCAGCAGCCGGTGGCGAGCGCTCTCTCGCTCTCTGCTTCTCTCTCTCTCGGCGAGAACCACTGCGTGATAACAAGGGCCGGATAACGACGTCTCGCTCGACTCCAAGCTCCCAGCCCGCCCAGCAGTAGCTGATTCCGAGCAGCGCCTCGTCGGCCCGTCTCTCTCGCACCCTTCCGAACCTCCCTCGAGTGCGAGAGAGATAGGCGCGAAGTGCATTTTGGAGTCGGCCTGTAGGCTGCTCAGCAGCAGTACCAAGGGGACCATTCGCTGGTTTTCGGACATGAAAACACTGCCTCGGCAGCCAAGGCTAAGGCAGCCCGCTACAGCGCTACAGCAGGCGGCTGCTGCGCTGCCCTGCTGGCGGGATGCTGATTCTGAGAAGCCTCACAGCGCGCCCTCGCCTCGCCAGGCCACGCCCACCAACCCCATCCCATCCATTCCCCATTCCCCACCCCCGACGGGGCAGCATCCCGCTGGAGAAACAACGAAGTGAGCAGCCGCGGGCCGAGGAAGCGGAGGAAGGGCTCGAAGGGCTCGAAGGGCGAGGGCAGCCGAAGGGACCATCATGCCGAAGTTATTCTCGTCCAGATGCATCGCCGGGGCCGACAGGGCCGACAGGGCCGACCCCTAAACGAGCACTGCCACCGCCCCCCGCCGATAACGGAGGCGCGCGGCCGCGGGCGTTCGGCGACCCCGTCAATGGACAGTGCGCGCCCAGGGGCGCGGCCGGCGCGGCCCACGGGGGTTGTCGGGGGCGGCGGCCTTCTCGCTCAGCGCGCTCAGCGACGGCCCCCGTCTCAGAAACACATGTGCGTCGCAGAGCCGGAACGACCCGGCCCACCCTCGCCCCGCCCCGCCCCGCCCGACCATTTTTAGTTTCAAGCCGGCCGGAGGGTTTTGTGTGCACGGCCGTGCCGTGCCGTGCCGGTGCCGTGGCCCTCGGGGGCGCGTCGCTCAACGAGGCTCTACGCGGCCCTGGGTGCCATGGCCATGTGCAAGGCAAGGCCGTGGAACCGGCACGGAAGGAGGCAAAGTAGAGTGCCCTTCGCGACGGTGCCGCGGAAATCGGAGCCCGTCGCTTTCCGGGATGAGAGGCCCCACGAGGGGCCGCGGGGCGCGCGGGGCGCGTCCGCCTGGTGTCGCGGCGCGATGAATGCAGCCCTTGTTTTGGGTGCAGGGTGCAGCGGCGGGGCCGGCCTGGCGTGCCTGGCGTGGTGCCAACGCGCGTGCGGCGTGCGGCACGTGCAGCAGCAAGAAGCAGTGTCACTCCACTCCACTGCCCCGGCGTTGATGTCTCCGCGGGCCGCGGGGGCGCCGACGACGCCCCGCCGCAACAAGACCACCCCGTCCCCTCCCCACCCCCAGGCCCCAAGCCCCAGGCCCCAGGCCCTTGGACACCTACCTGCCCCTGGATGAGGCTGATGTTGCCCTCGCGCTCGATGTTGGCGCCGGCGCCGATGGCGCCCACCAGCTTGCAGTACAGCTCGGGCCCCTGCGAGTCCTCGCCGCAGGTGGCGGTGGCGGTGATGCTCCGGTTCTCGGCCAAGTTGAAGTACGGCGGCGTCAGCAGCTCGGCCTGGACCTCGGCCGGGCCCCACCCCGCCAGGACGCCAAGCACCGCGAGGGCGAGCAGGCCTCGGCCGCGGCCGTGGCCTCCTCCGCCTTCCCAGCGCATTTCTCACTCACAAAGATCCACTGCGTGTCACTGCGTGGGTCCCAACTCCACACTCCGTTCCGTTCCGCCCCAGCCCTGGCTGCGGCACGGGCACGAGGAGCACGAGAAGCACTGTGACTGTGATGGGGACGACGACGGCGAGCTCTGCGTTCTGCGGCGGGGGAGGGGGAGGGAGGAGGAGCGGCGCGGGCGGAGGCTGGTCGCCCCGCCGCCGGCCGCCGCTCCCCGCGCAGGGCTCTGCCTCTCCGCCCTCCATCCCTCTGCCCCTCGCCCTCGCACATGTGGTGCCCTGCCTTCCCCTCCGGCCCCTCCCCCTTCTTCCGCCTCCCCTCCGCCCGTCTGTGTTTTTGCTGCCGCTCTGCCGTTGTCCTAAACTGTTATCGTCGTTTTGGACTTATTGTTAAAGGATTGGACAAGTCAAGCCCAATGCCGCAGCACCGCAGTTACGTAAACGATACACGTCTGTCGAAAACCGCGAAAAGCGCGCGCTGCATTTTGGTTTGGTTCTTGAGTGGGGCACTAGATTTCTAGATCATGGAGACTGGGTGCAAAATTTTGACTGGTCTGAGCGTGGAGGAGTAGGCCTCTGTCCTAGGGTCCAGGGGGCTGATAGACGTGTTCAAATTCTCATAAAATTTCATTGAGAAGCTTCTCAAGCGCGATTTTATCCCAGCGCGAATTAAGGGCCTGACGTGTCTGAAGACTAGACAAGACCACAAAGTGATCTACGCTGTAAATGTGAGGCCGCGGCTCATGCTTTATTTTAGTGGGAAGTCTGTAGGGTATGGAAATAAAAAACCAGTACTTCTGGAAAAAAAGCAGTATTTATTTAAGTCATTTATCTGCAAACATTAAGGCAGCAATATCAACACAGTAAAACAAATAATGAACAGGAAGGAATAATTAACGTGCAAGTCTAACAATATGTTTTGGTGAACAAACAAATGTGTTTCTTGACACCTTTTGCCATTTCAGCATTTCCATGCAGTAAAATGGCAAGAATAAACAACTCTACAAATGGTATGAGAGGTTCTAATTTTCAGCTGACAAAAAGGCAAGCCCACAATCAATCAATAAGAAGGTATCAAAAATTATACAAGATTTCACATGGATATGAAAAAGTGGGCTACATTTAGAAGGAAATGAAAGATGACTAACTTAAGTAAAACTGAAAGAAAGGGACACTGTAAAATTCAAATTGACGGAAAAACAATCAGGGCTGCTTCACAGCATTAGGGTAGGAATATCACACAATTATACTATGGTATGTGATAGTGAGAAAGATGGAAAGAGTGACCTACTGTATCACCAATATCCTCACAATAAATACAGAAAAATATAAATGGAATGCAAACACACAAGAGAAAAATAAATTAAAAGCAACAACAGGGTCAAGGATTAGACAAACAACGAAAAGGATAGAGTAATTTGTCTCTCATCTAAAATTGCTCCCAATACTGATATTTCACAATGAGTGAGTTATATTGAATAGAAACAAAATGAACATAGATTGAGCACAATCAGATATGCAATTCTAAAAGGAGAACTGATATGGCTTAGGTTAAAAGAAAATATTGCAGAACTAATGCCATTAATTGAATCTAATGCTACAATTTAAATTTGGCACTATTATCTTTCCTTTTGTTTTCATATCATAAATTAAGATTGGCATTAGTCTTTGAGTCATCTCAATTGTGTAGAGAAATGGCCAACTGCACAAATGCCACAGGACTACTTTTCATTCAAAACTATGTTGCACAGGTACTTAACACAACAAATGCAGTAGATAAGCCAAGGGAAATGCAGTAAATAAGATTTCAAAGGACTTTCTCAAAGACTAGATTGGGCATTAAACATATGCTTCATCGAGAAATATTTCAGAACTGGTTAAGGTGGCTCAAAGACCTGCCAAATAAAGCATGTTTCACAGAAGCATTCTTTGACTTTTTCTGCAAGAAGCTCTAACTAGCACAGCACAACTAACCCTACAAAAAATATAGTTCTCAGTTAACAATGCTTTGAGAATGAAGAGGGTAAGCCAGATATTTACTTTGATTGGAAGAAGGAGTCAGGCAACAGATTAATGACCAACCTCAAACTAAAACATTGCATTTTCTCTTACGTTGATAGGTTCACTGGCCCTCTTCCATGGTATGGATTTTAAAATAGAAGTTTCAATGAACTAGTCAGAATAATAAGAATACATCAAAAGATGATATGGTTGGTTAGCAACTGATATCAGTTTGTGAAGTTACAAATTGTACATTCAATATGATGGATGGCTGATCACAAATTAGCAGTTCAGTTAGCAAAATACTAACTGTGATGTAAGAATCACAGCCAAACTAAGAGATTTCTACACTCCATATACTAATAGATAATTGAAAATATTTGATTCTCTGGGCTTTTGTATCAGTTGGACATGACTAAACTACAAATAATAAAAAATGATGTCCAATGTTAAATGCAATTTGAAAATAACAAGATCTGGCACAGAACTTCAATCCTATATGTGCTGGCAATAAATGATGTTTATCGTTACCCTCTATGTCTTGAAACACATCACAACATTGTATCAACCAAAGCCTTCTGTACCTTAGTGAAACACAAAGATATTTCAGTAATTTGACATCATCTCACTGCCTGCCAGAAATTAAATGCGAAACATCCACTCGAAATACAAGACAGACAAAAAATACAAATCAAACCTTTGAAATGAATAGAGATCACAAATTTAGTGCCAATTGACATTTGTAGCAGAAATACATAATGGCCTGTTCCAAAGAATAATTATTGCATGTGCACTGCATATTTGAAATCCAGCCACAAATCACAAAAGAAATAGAGCTGTTTCCCCAGTCAAACTGGTGTAAACAACGTAATGTTTGACAAAGTACTTAAAATGAGTAAATAGACAGTTTCAGTCAAGGTTTGTAATAAGTTGTGATGATGAGAAATAAATTACCTACATAAAACTACAAAAGAAACATTTAAAGGAGTCTTGTCATCTTCTTGAATTAGAGAACATATAAAATTAATTAACTATAAAATAAACATGAGATTATTATTTGTCTTAAGAGCCCAAGGCTTCATGAACAGTTCATGATCCATAAGAGAGATATTTAACAGTCAAATAACTATCAAGGGCTAAGTTAAAGAAGAGACTGTTATTTGATACCACAAATTTCAGTCTTCTATATTCTAGGGGGAAAACAAAACAATCACATAACTCTTCACAAAGAGAGGATTCTAGGGGTGAAATCTGTTGCTTCTTATGCCCCAGATATGAGAGAATGTGGGCATCATAGCCAGAGGTTGGGAATAAGAACTCCCTTTGGAAGTGTGTTAAGGAAGATACATTACTAACTGCCTTTCAAAAAAGAAAAAAGAGAATAAACATTTACAACAAAATAGACTCTGATATAAAAACTCAAAAGTGACACTTGAACATGAAGTGAAACACAGGTTGTTCCACTATTTCATTACTTTTTAGGCATTTGTTTGGCAAGAGAACAGAAATTAACAACAGAATGTGATTTGTATGTGGATATGGCTAAATTCAAGGTTAATCACATCTCATCACTCGAATGACATGAGATTAGCTGGAAGAGGTTTCTCTGGTGAGCCAATTGATAACTCATGCAAATGGCGAAACCATTTGTTTGCTGATCCTTTTGTCCCAGATCGAAACTTGTAGACATTTCCTGATGGGTGAAAAAGACACAATGAACATGTAGCAAAATTGAAAAGTGTCTCTTCTCTTTTTTTTCCTTTTAAATTCCAAAACTATAGTTGTATTTAATTGAGTCTCACCTCTGACTGGATCCGCGAGTTGAAATACATCTGGTTGAACAGGGTTGTCTCCAAGGGCCACACACATGCCTGAGATAGATGTTACTTTGCATGGCTCATGTTTGAAGTCTGAACGATCAGTACTGAAACACAAGAGAAAAAGTTATGAACAAACTGGTAGCACTGGTAAACCATTTATGTCTACAGATTATACTCAACTTACCCTTTAAATGATTTGGGAGCATAGTAGATAAGAGATGAAGGCCACAGTTCAATCCAGTATCTTTGCCATGAAGAGACAGCTGGTTTACGGCCATCCTTCAGCACTGTCTTTCGGCGAAGGCATCCTTGAACTAAACACTCCTCTTCACCAAGCTCATCTGTTTCAGCTAACAATGATGACCTATAAAATGATCAAACATGATAACAAAAAAACCTGGTAATAGATCAGTAACAGACCAGATTTGCAGAATGAATACTAACCCACACATGGTGAGCAACTTAACACCATCCTCATCTTTCCGTCGGACAGGTGATGGAGGGTGTGGTAACTTAGAAGTTCCGTCAAGTAGAAGTGAGGGAGAACCATTCTCCTCAAGAACTGAATCATCAAGTAAGTGGCGAGGTGTGGCTGGTGCTGGGAGTTGTGACACCAACCCAACATCAATACAAGGCAGGGCATGTGTTGTTTTGTGGAAAATACTGAAAGCACAAAGAGAGAAAAACGTGTTTGGTTGTTTGAGGTATATTTAAGACCGATTGATAATTATCAAAATCTAATAGAACTAGCTCTTAAAATCTCTTTCCCTAGAATAAAGTAAAATAATGAAGTCTTAATTTAAAGCTGCAAATGCAATACACATACCTAAAAATAAATAGCAATTAATCATGTAATATTCCATAACCAAAAGATAAAGCCAACATGCGACAAATTGTTGGGATTACGGTGTGATCAAATGGGATAAGATTGATTAAATTTAATGCAGAGTCCCAAGAATGAAAGCTTTGATACAATAAGCAGAAAAAGTTAGTAGACAAAGAAGAGTAATACTAGAGATTTGCTTTAAATCATGCACATAAGTCCAATTCTTTGATATACCCAACAACATGCGTAGGCAGCACGGCACTAAAAAAATAAAAAAAAAAAAAATTCAATTTAAACCAAATAGAAAAAAACCATAAGAAAACATGCAGAGGAGATAGAAAACACACAGGAGTTGCACCTATAAAGGAAAATAGACCAATGGACATTCTAAATGGAGTACCAGCATAAGTGTTTCGAACTTCAAGGAATGCAGTGATCAGCCTATTATACCAGAAACGACAGCAGAATTCATCAGCATACTGATGTCGCACCTACTTCACACCAGCTTATCTTGCATACAATTTTCCTAGGGCTTAAGATAAATCAAATATTTTACGATTACAATGATACATATGTAACCTAAAATATAAGATGCAACAAACGAAGTCCTGGGGCTTCACTGCTTCACTCACCCTGGAGCCACCATTCCCATTGAGGCTAGAAGAGTAGCTTGCCCTTGTTTATGAAGATTTCGAGGGAGACTTGTGCTACGAAATCTGACACAACATTTGCAGAAATGAATAAACTATAATGAGATACAATACTGAAGAGGAACAATTGATGTCTACATCTTTCCCTTGTATAGGCGCTCATAAACAGGACAATGTACATTCCTCAGACACAAGTGTCGAATTAGTGCAAGAGTCCTGAGATGCAGTGATCTGTTTTCTTTCTCCCACAACCATTCCCATATTAATACCCGAACATCCAGGCTGCTCCAAACACTCGCATCACATAAGCAATCAAAGATCAGGCAATAAAACAGACAGAATGAGGAAGAAAGTACCACACAACAGATCCACCAATAAAAACACAAACAAACAAGAGCCACCAGATCTCTCTTTTAAAAGAATATATATAAAGTAGCACCTTGTAACATAGTTTTGTTACCTTACACAGAAATTACATTTAAAAGAAAAAACAAAATAAAAGTATGATCAACTTACTTTGTTCCCAAGCTGCGACATTTTCGATGTCCTGGTACAAATTTGCCAGTTGCATTAACTGCTGCATGCAAGCGTAGTGAACCTGCACAGCCTGGACCTTTGGCTGGGGATAAATTTAATGAGGCAACAGTAGCAGCTGCGTCTGTCACTGACTCTTTGGAACTCGAAGAGGAAGGAGCTGGTGAAGGTGGCTCCAATTTTAAAGAGAGCCTAAAACAGAAATATTAGATATTAGTCTAGGGTGACTGAAGAAACTCTAATTCTCAAGCAAAATATTATTAGTAGGGGACATACTTGTATTGGTCATCTTCAACAAATTTCTGCAGTTCTTCAATATATCGAATAGATCGCAAATAATTTTGTACATGGGGTAGAAGGATAAGATTGCTGTAATCAGACTGCTGGTAGTCAGATATAATGCGTAAGATGTTGTTCATTTTATGTCTTCTCTGCTCCGACTCCAAACCCCCAGAGTGAGGATGGGCCATGTCTATGTATACTAAATCAGTAAGGAAGAGACCTAGAACATGAAGGCACATAAGATAAGATAACTCAATTCTGACATTTTCACTTTTATGGAGTAAAACGTTGGAAAACACACTGACCTAGGTATGGAATGCATGGTAGCTTCAGGCTCTCCATGTGTTCTCGGAGATTTTGCCAATTATTTTTATCAGAAAACAATTCTGCTAATTTGTCAAATAATTGCTTTTCTTTCTTAGACAGGTTACCCCAAGTTTTTGAAAGCCTGGAATAGTAGTTTGAGTTAGTGAGAAAACTGGACTAGAAAAAAAATGTATTGATGAAAGGGCAAAATGAAAAACTTAATTTATACCTGTAAACAGATGCACTTTGCAAAGCAGAGATAATAGCAAAGAGGGAATGAAGATTGTTAAGCTCATGGAGCTTTTTAGCTATTCTTATAAAATGAACCAAAATTTCAGAACGTTGTTTGGGTGTTGTTCCACTCAGAATTTCTTGTACAGTCCAAAAGCTAACCTAAAGGGGGGGAAAAAATAATCAAAAACTCAGTACTTTAAAAAAAATTGTAAACAAACAGGTTTTAGAAGAGGGTAAATATGGGTTTTAACATACATGGTTAAATCTTCTCGTGAATGACACAACATTAGGAGCAATAATGAGCTTGTTCTTTTTGTTCCATCCACAGCTAATAAGTTCATCTGGTTGGATCCCTCGGAATGGAGGAAGATCAAGAAGTGTCAACTGGGCTGCAAAATCTTCTGGGGAAACTCTTAAGGCATCGAGCACTACTTTATCATATCGACATGCTGAAGCTCCAGATGTATGGCCAGGAAGACTTTGAGACTTGTTTTGAGGAGACATATTGGTCCCCGAATGTAGTGACCTACAAACAACAAAACCACATTTGTGTGACAATCCAACTGGGTGTGATCCTACTTCACTTTGATGACAGCAATATATCTTACCCATAGTTATCATAACAGGCTCCTTTGCCATCCGACACGTTTGAATGTAAAGATCTTTTTGCATGTCCAGCTGAAGGGGTTCTGGAAATGCCATGCCGGTGTCTGGCAGACAGCTTACTCGCACTGCTGCCATTTTGAGCACTTTCTCTCCTTTGAAGTAACCCATTTGTTGTTCCATTTGGAGTGCTATCTGTCCGAGGACTGTTGATGTGAGCTGGCGACAATGGCTCACCAACCTCACTAATGGGGGATTTGTCTCGGAAGAGACTTGCCCCTGAACCGCCTCCACAGCTCTGTAACACAAAAAATGCAATATTTGGGTAACATATAAATAAGAAAGAACACAGTCAAAGTACCAAGAGTCCAATACACAAGTCTAATCAGCTCACCCACAAGCAACAGCTTGCGAAAAATCTACGAACTAGGTGTCGTAGACTGACACAGGGTGATTGGCTTTTGACAGGTTCGTTTGACACGTAGCAATACATGAGTCACTTAACGTAGACTGGAGTCCAGTCACATGGATGAGGTCTAAATTTTAAAATGGAGGGCACATAGCAAGGAAGAGACAGGTCTAACTGCTATCAGGCTGGTGCCATGTTCAGGTATGCCTGCACTGATAAGCATCAGACAGGTACAAGACCTGCCAAGGCAACTAGGATGTGGAGGGGAGAGGCAATAGATAATATTACTTCACTTCAGGTAGAAAATGGCTTTGCTCCTGAATGGTCACAGTTGAGAAAAGAGAAGGGCTATAAAACTTACATCTGATATCCGTAGCGTGGCAAGACTGTCACAGGAGACATCTCTTGGCATCTCAGAGTAGCGCATCTTGGCCATGGGCTCTGTAAAGGCTAGTGGCAGGCAGTCATCCTCACAGCGAATCAGCACATAGCTGAAACAAACCAAAACACAGGCCCCATGAAAGAACCGCCGGATGGACTAGGAGGAAAAACACAGCGCTCATTTAAATGACTAGCTCAGCCGTCGACATCATGTCACACCTGGCATGGGACAGGAGTCCCACAGTTCATCACAATTCACACCTCCCCGGTCGGCAGGGAGGCAAGGGGAGGGGGTCCGAACGCGAGCGTGGGCGACGCCATGGCGACGCGGGCCCCAGCCCCAATGCGAATGCCACCGGAGTGCTAAGCATTGGCCAACGCCGACACGCTGTCCATGTGCCCTGCAGCCTGCGCCTGCAGCCCGGTCTCTCGCAACCCTTCGAGGCGCCCCGTCCCATGGGTGCGAGCGAGACAGAGCGAGACAGACTCAGTCCACTGCACTGGCAGCTCGACTGGCAGGCGGCCGGTCCGGTCGATGCATCACGAGCTGGACGGCAGCCCCAGGCTCGGACTGGCCCCCAAAAGGCCCCAGCGGACAAGACCGCGAAAGGCCCCCGATCATCATTATGTTTTTACCCTTCATGGCCAACTTTGTGAGGCTACCGCTCCCAAACTAGTTGCGGTCAATAGCCTTCCCGATACAGGGCATGAAAGAGTAGGGTCTTAAGAATACTAGGACGTCGAGGAAAGCCTTTTACGGCAACTAGATTTGACACAGTGGCCGCCCAAAGTCAGCAAAATCAGCAAATTTCCGAGATTCGACCACTTTTTGACCAACTTAGGCGGAAAGTCGTTGCGGTCAAAGCCGAAATCGTTGTGGTCAACGTCTTCCCGATACAGGGCATGAAAGAGTGGGGTCTTAAGAATACCAGGGCGTCGAGGGAGGCCTTTTGCGGTGACTAGATTGGACACAGTGGCCACCCAAAGTCAGCAAAATCAGCAAATTTACGAGATTCGACCACTTTTTGACCAACTTGATCGGAAAATCGTTGCGGTCAAAGCCAAAATCGTTGTGGTCAACGTCTTCCCGACATAGGGCATGAAAGATTAGGGTCTTAAGAATACGCGGGCGTCGAGGGAGGCCGTTGACCGCAATTAGATCGGACGCAGTGGCCGCCCAAAATCAGCGAAAACGGCTACTTTCGTCCTATATATACTAGGACTCTTTGACCAACTTTGTGACGTTACTGGTCCCAAACCCGAAAGGCCCCGGCAGATTTTTCTGCCTGTCTGCCCTGGCCAGTCCGAGCCTGGACGCTGGCACCCGGGCACCTGCACTGCAAGCCCCTACACTCGCCTTTCAAACGGCAACAGCTTCCCGCCCTCCGCCTTGCACTGCGTGCTGCGTGCTTTCACTTCCGCTTCCGGTCCGGCCGCCGCTTCGCCGCTACCCCGCGCGCCTCAGACACTCTCCGCCACGGAAGTCCGCAAGCCAGCGCGCGTGGGGTACCGACGTACCGACGTACCGACACGACACGGTGCCAGCGAGGGAGCCAGCCAGCAGTGTCGCACTCGTCCCGACGACGACGACGTCGGCGACCGTCCAACTCCGCGCCTGCGACTCTGCGTCGCGGCGGACCAAAAATTAACAATAATTGGTCGTCTGGTCGCGAGCGCGCCCCTCACTCATTTGGCGAGGCGAGCCGGACGGGCATGGCGCGGCTGCGTGGCGTGTGTCGGGGCGTCGTTTAGTCAGTCGCTGGATGCGACGAGATGCTGTCACCGTCCGTCAGCCTGCCTCACTCGACGGGCCGGGCGGCCGGGCCGGCGTGACAACTCTCAATTTCGCGGCACGGCGCCAAAGGCGGTACACTGCGAGTAGCCGCGCCGCAGCGCCGCAGCGCCGCCGCCGCGTCTACACTGCCAGCGACCCAAAAGCCCCCCACTTCGAGTGCAAGTGTCCTCGTCGAAAAACACAAAAATCACTTCGCTTCTTTTTCTAACCCCCCCCCGCAAAAGTAACCAATGAACGCAATGAATTAGGGTCAAGATTTTTTTTCGCGGAGCTTTCCGTGCACTGCTCGCTAATCTTTTTAAGTGCCGGCCGCGCGAACCTCGGACGTCGAGCCATGGTCGAGCCTTGAGGTGGACTCGGAGGCGCCGGGCGTGCGTGGCGGGGCGGGGCGGGGCGTCGGCTGCATTCCCCGGCCGTCGGCGTCGCGTTTTAACGCCGCCCCGCCGAGCGACGGCCTAAGTGCCCCGGCCGCCGCGACGCCGCGTCCGGCTGTCCGCTTCCAGTGGCGTGGCTCGCGAGGCTCGCGGGGCGAGTCTATTTGTCGGCCCGCGCGCCAGAAGGGCTTGACCGACCGGCCTGACTGACGACGGCCAGATCGACCGGGACCCGCTCGCCAACGACACCGCCAACAAACCACCGCGCCGTCTCTCTCGCACCCGTAGGGCGTGCCGTGCGCCGTGCGGGTGCGAGAGAGACAGGAGTCATGGCCACAGCGTCGCAATTCCCCTTCCATCTCCGTAATGTCTCTATCGCGTGGAGTAGCGCCGATCGCCGCGGTGCGCGCCTGGTAGTCTGGTGCAGGCCACGTGCCTCACAAAAGCCGCGCTCTGTGATCGTGTCGCCAACAGAGAGGCAGACAGACAGACACAGCAGGCGGACGGCACGCGCTTGCAACCGGGCCGGTCCCGTCGGTCGGATTGGAAAGCCCGGACTCGCCGGCAGCATCGCATCATAGCGCTATGCAAATCACCGGCGGCTGGCGGCGGCAGTGGCGCGGACGAGACGAGGCGAGACCCGAGGGAAAGTCACGGCCAGCGTCACCGGCAGCGTGCCGCCTAGCGACGCCCAGCGACGCGCCGAGCCATCAGTCAAGGCTCGATCGGTCGGCCCGGACGCCGCGGGGAAAATGAACCGCGGCGCCGGGAGTCGAACCCGGAGCCGCGGCACGCCGTTGCTAAAGCGCGCGCGCCCAGTCGGCGACACGGATGGCCGCACCCGGCACTGCGCCTGTTCAAGTCCGAGGCAGGGCCAGGCAGGGCAGGCCAATAAACCCGCATCGCGACCGGGACACTGCGAGACTGCGAGACGGCGCGGCGCAGGGCCAACGCCTCGCCGCGCCTTGCCCCCCGCGACCTCATCAAACACCTCGGCCTTCCCTCCAATAAATAGTCCAGTTCAACAAACTTGAGGCGGCAGCCAGGGCCAGGCCGCGGCGCCGGGCAACAAGTACAGCATCCTAGAGAGAGAGAGAGAGGAGGAGAGAGAGAGAGAGAGGAGGAGGGGGCAGTTCTCGGGGCAGTTGCACTGCACGCCCAAGCCAAAAGCGAAGCAGAAGGAAAACCGGGCCCCCTTCCCCGCCGTGTCCTTCCGCTGGGGGCAAGTGCGCAGAAACACGGACTGGCGCGAATCGTGGATTACGCAGTTACAACGGCTTCGATACACATACACACGTCGATACCGTCCAACGTGTCGTCAGTGTGTGAGTGTGTGTGTGTGTTGGCGCTGGGCCGCGGGGGTGCGGGGTGGTGGCGAGGGCGGCCGGAGGGGTTCGCTATTTGCGTCTTTTTCCCCCGACCCGCCTCCCCCACAACACACACAACACAGTGCCGTGCCGCTCCTCTCGTCGCCCACCCACTATGCGGCCGCCGCCACCGCGCCGCGCCCCCAGGACGAGACGCCTTGGGACGACCTTGGGGCGGCGTCAGCCCGCCGGCCAGCCTTGGAGGCGTGCAGGGCCTGCAGGGCCTGCTTGGGGCAGGGCCATCGCGGCGTGCAACAGGATCGGGTCGGGTGCGTCCGCACCGGCGGCAAGGGCCGGCGCCGAAAGAAAGGTCGTCGTCTTCGTCTTTCTCCGCGAGGCGTCAGGCAGCCGAGCGTCAGCCCGCCGACGGCGGCATAGGCGGCTCCGCCGAGCAGGGGCGCAGGAGGGTTGCCTACCTCCACGGCGCTCCCCGGCCGCCCGACCGGAGCACCGCCCGCCGCCTGGCCGCGCCTAGCGGCCGGAGCTTCTGGCTCCACGACGACGTTACTGAACGTCCAGGCCTGGCCTCGTAAACCGCAAGTGTTGCACCACGAATCGGCCGGCCAGGCCGGCCAACCCGCAAGCGCTAAAATCGATGGAATCTCGCGGCGCCAAGTCATGGGCCCGTCGGCTTGCCCGTCGGCGAGCAGCAGGGCCCGGACAGAGTCGCTCTGTCTCTCTCTGTCTCCCGAGCTCACGGGGAGCCGCACAGGGGAGCGAGAGAGACAGACTCGACTGGAGAGCTGCGACGTGCCGAGTGAGTCATCCATTATGAAGCCGGGCGGCGAGACTTCCAGAGCGGCTCGGCCTGCGGCTCGGCCGGCCAGGGGGTGAGTGAGTGGTGAGTCACGGGGGCAGGGGCAGGCAGGGGCAGGCAGGGGGTTGGCTGGAGTTGTCGCGCGCCCTTCACAGACATCAATAACGCCTCGCCTCGCCAAGGCTGACGCGCGCGCCAACGCGGCAACAGACTCATTCCGAGCGTCGCTTTTCGCCGCCTCGTCTCCCTCGCACCCACAGGGGACCGCAGGGTCCCCATTCTGCGAAATTCTCAAATTTTCCTCGCCGTTCTCCCCTGCCTGGAAAGCAACGGTGCGCAGTGTGCCCCCTACAGTGTGGCGGTCTGACTACGCCACTGGGCGATCGAGGCCGCGAGGCGACCGGCCGGCCGGGCGACCCACCCCGGGGCCACCCGCCGCCGGGCACGCGGCACGCGGTGCACGCGGTCATCAAGACGTTTCACAAGACCCCCACCAATTCCTTATCACCAGACATTCGTTTCCAAGGGGAGAAAGAGAACGAAAAAAAAAATTAAGAATTGGTGCACGCTGGACGCGGCACTGCAATAGAGGCCCGCCGGCCTTTATCGCGGGGGAGGAATGAAATATACAAACTGCCTTTCGGAAAAAAGAAAAAAAGGAATGACGAGAGTTGAGTAATGAATGGCTAAGCACCCTGGACGGCGTGCGCGGCGTGCGTGTGCAAATCAACGACTTTGAGGCCACCGCTCCGCCACACTGCCAGGCGCTGTTGCGAGGCAGTGCCAGCGCGCCGCGATGCCCGTGCGAAACCACTGG